AATAATTATTATTATTTATTTATTTACTTATTATTGTATTTATTTTCGTTTGTTATCGTCAACACTAAACATACAAATTAACATTGAAGTTATGAGTGTATTTATTTCAAAATATAATAAAAAAGAGTTTAAGAACACAAAATATACAATAATGACACGAAACTGTCGAATTATCAATTACCTAACCTTCAAATTCAAAATTGCCTGTGTGTGAACCTTCCTCGCATTCAACCAATCACGTGCAAGGTCAATCTGGTGACAAATTTAAAATACTCCTCCTGGTTTAAAAACAGAGTATAGCAAAATATATTTAGTATACCTATTAAACACACGACCTGGCGTAGTTACGAGCTACAAGTCCATTCTTTTGTATCGTAAATGAAAGATATCATCGTCAAATAGGCACCGCTATAAAATTTGCTGCTGACTATATTTAGTTCCAACATTACGATTATTACTGATAGTACTATATCTGTTTTAGCTCTAATTATAAGTAGAGAAAAGATCACCTCCGTAATAGTAATGGATCGCCATCTAACGCTTGAGGACGCGGCAACACTCAACTGTGATACATTCCAGTGATTATAGGAAATTTTGACATACCTATGAAATAAGCACTTCTATTCATTTGATTCTCTAGTGTCTTATATTGATATAATCAAAAATCTATTATGCATGAAATATTTAGATTGGTGGGAGAGAATTACAAATTACCAACCAGTTATGAAGTTATTCAACAGAGGAGGCAGCTCAGTAAATTAGGCTAAGTAAAAATATCCTACACATTGTTACACAACTTAAGACTAGTTACTGTAAACATACACCTTTATAACTTAAGACTTGTTGATACCCCTCTATTTCATATCTATACATAATACATAAGACAATCAAAGACATCTCCACTTTGCTAGACCTCAAATTCAAAGCAATCAAGTCAATTAATCAAAGAAGAGTGGTTGAGCACAGATAGAGCCAGAGACAAACCTCTGAGCCGTATCCTAGCCTTTGGTAATTTCTTTGGCTGGTACAATGGGTCCAATCCAACACAATAGTTAGGTTGATACAAAATTGTTAGGAACATTTCCAACAAAAACAATATAAACAAGTGTTTCAAGTAACTCCAGTTTGATAAGAGTCAAGCAATATGAACAAAAAAGTAGGACCTATTTTGCAAGAAACCTTTAAGTTGACAGGGGGACACTGCCATAATTTAATTAGGTACAATTGTTTAGGTTGTAGAGTAAATTTTGTGAAGGAAATTACATGCTTGTTTTCACTGAATGTCACAACAAAGCTGAAAAGATATTACTTTTGTTTATTAATGATGATATTTTCTACCATACTTATCTATTTTGATTTATTTTGATCAAAAAATTTCAGATTGTTAGTCCCAATGAAGTATTTGTTTCAATAAAATTTTACACAAATTTATAATATTATGGAAACCTTGTAAAATGCCTAATTATTTCATCCAATTACTTACAGTATCTACTCTTTTATACAGATCATATTTAGGATCCCAACTTTCAAAATGTGTAGGTGTTACATTTTGATAAGAAAATTTACATCCAGGCCACATCATACAACCTGAATATCTATTACTTTCCGACATCTCATTTAAAGTCTAAAAATCAAGTCTACACAAAATTCTTAACACTTTTAAAAATAAATACTAACATACCCATATTGGTATAGCTTTATCATTTTGCATAAACATACTTTTCTCCATACCAATTTTTTTCCTTGTTTCAGGATCATAAAAATTATTTCCCATAACACCATGTTCTTCAGCATACATACCAGTAGATATTGTAAAATGATTTGGAAACGTTTTCGTTGGAAAAACATTATACATATAGTCAGCATATGTTCCCTCTCGTTGCAACTTTACCAATGTTGGTGTAGAAGCTTTATTTATGTAATCATATCGAAATCCATCGTATGAAACTATTAATAATATTGGCTTATTAGAATATGTATAGGCGAATTGTATAAAAACGCATTGTAGAAATATATTAAGTAACATTACGTATACCCCACATAAAATTATGTTTTGAAAGAACTGACATTTATGACATTGACTTCTAACCTATTTTAAATATTTCAATATCGATTTTAAGCATAAAATAAAAAGAATTTAATTTATAAATTATTCTGGTTAATAATTTCTTAGATAGTATTAAAAATTATTTTAATATTTATTAAAAATCAACAAATTAAAATAACATAATAGAACGCTTCCTGAAATTATTTAATGAACGTTTACTAAACGAAATAGGATTATAGAACTTTAATCAATTTTAAACCACCAATTAAAGAAAATTGTTCCCGCTTCACTAACAAACAATTACAGTGTATATCCCATTACCCTTTATAAATCCTTTAAACTCATAATTAGTGTGTACAACTGAGTGTCATGTTTGTATAAAGATTTTTTGTTGTGATTAAAGTTTTGTATTAGTCATTCAGTGGCACAATTTTTAAAGTATACAAGGGCGGAAAAGAATTATATCATAAAAAAGAATTGTTAGTTTGGTGAAAAACATGGAAATTATATTATACAATTTTTAAATACATCTAGTCGTCAAAACGGAGTGGTTAATAGAAACTAATGGGTGTGATGAGAGGTGCAGTCCCCCTTGTTGGGCTGCCTGAATTATGGGCAATTGTATGGGGCGATGTTTGCCTCAATCGAATCGTTTCGTTTCAAAACACAATAGTATTCACGATTTTTCACAATTACTTGAAGAGGTAAGAATGTTTATCTACTTGGTTCAGAATTAACTTAATAATTAAAATTATATGTTTATAACAGAATAAGTACTAATTTAAGATTTGTTTTAAAGAGTTCTATGCAGCATGAGGAAGATAAGAGGTAATTATTTGAAATTTAGATGATTTTCTAAACAAAGAAAATGTGTATTTAAATTTTCTGTGCAATCGTGGATGTAGAAATATCTTTGTAAGGCTATTTTCCAAAAGGAAATCAAGAAAAAAGGTGAAAAACTTCGTTGAATTATGCTTTATCATTAGTAACTTAAATCGTTTTTTTAGAAGCCCGTTCTGGAATTTGTTGATGATATATTAACTCCTCATCTCACCACATACAATAGACTCAATGATAGCCAACAACTATCTTGTACAAGGTAAACTTAAAATTAACATTTTAATCAAAAAATGCGATAATTAAAGATATATTTTTTAGTTCATTTACAGGCAAAGATATTCCATTACAATGTTTAGATGCGAAAGCTTTGCTTGCAAGAACAAACATGTCAACTCCAGCTAGTTCCTTGGATTTGGAATGGGAACATGAAACTTTACCCATTTCAATGGTAAATGATGCTTCAGGTGGTTCATGGTACTTAATAATTTCTTTAAAGAATTGAACAAGGAATTAATAAATTCGTTATAGGACGATTATGCAAGAAGATATAATGGAAAATATAGATAATACAGAATCTAGTGTAAAAAATCCAATATATACCGAATCAGATTGGTCACGAGTATCTTCCGCTAATTCTTTGGAATGGGATAATGTTCCAACTTCAATTCAGGGAAGTCCACCCGCTTCAGAAGTCGATGCGGATACCCAATTTTTACTGAGCGAAATCGAAAGACTCACATCGCAAACTTTGATGGAAACTGGCAAGGAATTGTTTAGCTGACTTAAATTACTCTTTTTTAATAACCCGATAGAAAAAAATTAAATTGTTATTGAATAGAATAATAATTACTGTTGTGCATTACCATATTTTTAAGATTTATGCTTTTTTTTGAATACATATTTATGGGTACAGAATTTTATTATAAATTGAAAATGAAATAAACACTATATAATGAAAGACTCGTTTAGTTGAGGCGATTTTCAATTTATAAATAAAAAATTTGTACTAAAGGAATGAAATGAGCTTAAGAATAGTTATGTAAAAACTTATTTTTTTCTTTCAAGTCAAAAGTAATGAAGGTACAAAATGATTCATCCAAAACAGAGGAATATAAGAAGATAAATGTGTTAAAGAATGAAAAATAAAAACGAAATGTTGACTATAAAGTAATGAATTAATGTGTGTAATAATTATGTTTTAATATTGATTATTTTAATCAAAATAGTAGGTAGGGACCAATAGCTTATTTTTGTATAGTTCAAATTGCAAATGGTTTATGGAAAGTTAATAAAGACAATAGGTAATGTAGTCAACATCACATACACTGTGTATATTAAGGAAATAATATAAGTTAGGTTGAAATTCTTTCAGAAAAGTGCTTGGACACAAAGAATTGAAATTCTTTTATGATGATAGAGTATGAACTCAACGTGAAGTGTATATTTTATTTAATCCTCAGTTACTCACATGGAATTTTGTAACATGCTTAGTAATGCTAGGTCTGCTGGACTTATAACCAATAATTTTAGTTTTTAACGTTACTTGTCGAAGTTGTCCCATTATTTGCTAGTTTATATTTCTCCAAAGACTCTTATAAGCTTCAAGGTAAATTATTCATAATAGCATACTCGCAAGTTGAGTTGTTGCTAAAGCCAAGGGGCTTTATCTGTTCTACTTCTTTGAGATATGGTTACTTTTCCATCAAAACGAATACATCTGAGGAGAAATCTAAACCTTGTTTTAGACATCACCTTACGGAATATTTCTATTCCAAAGTTATTGGTTGATAAAAAATCATCAAGGCGTCGAAGACCGCCTCGAAATACTCCTGCTAAGTTTCTTTGTAATCTATATCATAGCCGAACTTCTTGATACTATTTGAGTTACAGACCAGTTAGTAGTGAGCAAAATTGACAGGAAGTTTCGACATACTGGTTCTGTAAAAGATAAGCCAAGGAATAAACGCCCTAAAATCAACGAGGACATAAAACTAAATGTTTTACTAGCTATAGAAGAAATACATATAGCCAATAACTATGATACCCTCTTTCATCAGTATGTAAGGTTTTACGACTGAAAAATTAATCCTTATAAAATACAACTGGTATCTGAATTAAATGAAGACACTCAAATCTTAATGGATTCCTAGTCATGTTGAAAACATTTTGTTATCAGATGAATCAACCTATACATTAACCGGGCAAGTTAATAGACAAAACTCATCAAAAAATCCCAGAGGCATAACAGAACAACACGCTCAGTGTCCTCAAAAAATTTATGTTTGGGCAGGAATTATCAACAATCGGGTCTTACTTTTTTGAAGAGACACGAAATCTTTCAACAATGTCTAATCCCGAATTTAAGAAATTCATTTTCCAGTGGTGAACCCGACGAAATTTTATAGCTCATGCAAGATGATGCAAAACCACACTATGCAGTTCTGGTCTATCTTGATAAAATAGCACATCCCAACTTATAGATTTGAAGGTGTGGATCAATTGAATATCAACCAAGGACCGCGGTCTTTTGGATTTTTTTTTATGGAGTTTTTACAAAAATGTTGTATACAAAACTAAACTTGAATTGTTTGACCACTTAAAAACTAGAATTAGAAGAGAATGTGCTAACATTAGTCAAGAAATAATTATTAGGGTCCAGCATGAATTTATGGAGTATTATAGAGTTTCAGTTTCAGAACTTAATTAAGTAGATAATTATTATTCCTTATTAATTACAATATTAAGATAACACCATGTTATCTTTTACCTGAAATAAAATAGTAGTAATATTTTTTAACAGAGATTCACAATTTCATATCTCAATTTTGGGAAAATCTGTACATTTCAATTTTATCTCAATAAATGCGCGTTAAATAAAATAACATAGATGCCCAAGCATTTTTCTGAAAGAAAATTTTATTTCTTACATTATGTACACAGTGTATATTGTGGTTAGAAAATAATGAAAATATTCTAAAAGGGAAAAAAATATTTATTAACTTATCAAAAATCTACATGGAGTGGCCTTTTTTGTTGATTATATTAGATGTTTAAAATTATGTTAAAAAAAACTTTCTCAACTAATATGCCTAAAAACAATACTGTTTTGGAAAGCATAAAGGGATTTAATGAATTATCTTAATCTCCTCAATAAGAACATATTTTATTGTGAAACGCTGCTGAGACTTTTGATTTTAAACACAAATAAGATGTATAATCAATAATAAAATAATTCATATTTTGTAAAGAAACAAAAGAAAAGGCTAATAAAGGCTTGCAAAAGGAATTGTATTGTTATTAATTTTATAATATCTTTTTAACAAAAAAATTGTAATATATGTTAACAATGGATAGTTAAAAAGGTGTAAATAAAGTAGAATGAAAGTAGTCTAGATTCAAATATGTGAATAAAATTGTATGTCTGGACATATCGAAATAAAAATAAAAATCTTTCCTGATTATAATTAAAAGAATTTATTTTTTAAGGATTTATAAAAAGTCATCAATATTATAATTACTGTAGCAATGAAATTTATTCCCTAAATTGTTTTTGTGTTGGGGTTCAAAGGAGGTTTTCGTCAATTTTAATAGCTTATTTGCTAAATCTTCCATTATAGCACCTAAAAATTAATGAATAAGTATTAATTATTCATTTAAAAAAATAAAATTTTATTCAGATTTCGTCTTATTATTATTTTCCTTACCAGTGCATAAAATATACTTTTCTTTTCCAATATATTTCATAGTTGAAACAGTTTTCGTAAGACATTCTTCAGAAAGAAATGGGGGATCAGCAATAACCAAATCGTAATAACCATTATATTCATTAGGAATTTTTAAGGGATTATTATAATCATAATAAATAAAATCATCACCGCAATAAGAAAATCTTTTATCATATTCATACAAATGTACTATAAAAGATAATTTAATTCATTTTACTTTAAAAAATTCTTTAGAAACCTACCTGAACAATTATTTAATTCATCTTTAAACGTTTTATACAACGTAGGACACGAAATCAATGCAATTTTATCTCCACTTTGAACACTTTTCTTAGCTATCTTACATAAAGTATTAACTGTAGAATCGTTATACCAAAATTGACTTAATTGCTGCAAAAAATATTTTATAAAATGTGAATTCAAATGTGTTTTTGTATTTACCCAATTTTCATCTGGAGTGTTATCGGATAATATTGTTTGTAAATGTTGCTTTTGGTCTTGTTCTCTATAAAATTCTTGTAAAGCTGCAAAAGTTTCAGCTGAAAGTTGAGGAGGATCATCATCGTTTTCCATCTTTCACAAGAATATCTTAATTTATTGTTAGATTGATTCCATACAGTATTAAAAGTTAGGTTATGTGGAGTGTCAAAAAGATAGGTTATGTTTTGATGTTTCATCAAAAAGAATTTTGGAGAAACTTAGTTTGTACATAAAATAATAATTCAATATTTAATAATTAAAAATAACAAAAATATGTTTTCATTAAGAATGAATTAAAGTATGAATTAGATATGTACGTGGAACAGCTTTATAACTTATTTGTCAAGTTTGAATTTTTGATGATTTAAAGTAACATTAACGAAATATGTACGTGTCTTTAGTTATTTGAGCTTTTTATGAAAACGACAAAGTTTTTTAAAAGTAATAAGAGTAAAAAATTTTAGAATTAAGTTCCACATGAAATGTATTAAATCCGCCAAAAGGTTAGAAAAATCTGTCAAAATTTAGAGGACCATCATCTTATTCAACCCTTTGAAATGCTTTAATAGCTCTCAACTTGCTACCAATTAATACCCTTGGCACACTCATAACGTATACCAAATTTGGTACTTCTAGCTTAATGTATTACGAAGATATTGAATGTTTTAAAAATTTAAGACCCAACTTTGAGGGCCCATAACTCCTCGCAGGGGTATAACTTAATATAGAGATAAGTTGCGTTAAATTATCTTATTTTCTTGTTTTCTACATGTCCCTGCTCTGTGTCGGTTCTTTTGTGAATCACCCTGTACAAATAGTTTATTTTTAAAATACATCACTTCACACAATTCTAAAGCATGTGCAAATTATTAAGTTTAGTATCAAGAAGTACAATAGCAGGAAGCGGAAAGCAATCTATACAAAATTCAACTCATGCGAGAATTAAAGTCGAATGATGTTTATGTTGACTGAATTTTTTCAAATCAAGGACTTCCAATACACCTTATTATATAAATTGTCCACTGAGTATCTAAACATCGGTATGACTATTGAACTAGCAGTGTCATAAATCCACATTTCCTTGAAAATGAAACGGCAATTGGGAATGAGTCTTGTTGGGTTGGGTTGGGATTCGAAATTCGATGGTTGAAGCACCAAAATCATAAATGCCAAAATTTATTGACAACAATATTGATCGTATGTATAAGGTAATGAAGTATTGAGACTGGTTAGCACGAAGATTCATAATCAATACTATTGATGTATGATTGTGACATGTGTGATTGTGCCTCTTTACACAAATACACGTAAAAAAGAACAGTATAGGATAAAATCACAAAAATAGATTTTATCAAATAACTTTAATGTATTATTAATAAGTTGAAACATATGACTCATTTTCTGATAATTTCAGGAAAATCATGAAAACGGCATTGTTGACACAAACCGTAATTCACCACAATTCTCAAAATAGGTAGGATAATTTATCTATTATTATGTCATCAAGATACATACCTGTAATTTTCTATAATGTTAGTAAATTGAAATAATTTCCAACAGTTTACCATTCACCTTTGTAAAATCAAACCAACCTAACCAAATGACTTTGTGTTTTTGCAAAACCCTAAATTTAACTTTATACTTATTTAGATTAACCGGTTTATTTCCGATAAAATGGTACCACATAAAAAGCGAGTGTCACTTTAAAATTTCAAAAATATGGGGTTTCTACAGTTATCTTTTAGCTGTATTGATGATTATTTCGTTTTTAATGTTTACGAATGTTTTATTACTATTCCAAATTGCTTCGACACAATCTTTATCAGAAATTCTAACGGTTTTTGAGGATACAGTTTATATGGTCTATATTACAATAATTATTTTTTCGACAGTTTTTCAATCAAAAGCATACGCTGATGTTATGAATACGTTGATTGAGTTACAAAGAACTGGTTTAATGTGTAACGGAGCTTTAAAAAGTATAAAAACAATGAATTCAATAAGTTTCTTTCTTGTTTTATTTGTAATATTTGGAAAGTTTACTTTTTTGTTTTATTTCCAAAATCAGTTTGAAAATACATTAATGGATAAGAAATTTTTTCTTGCAAGAATGATTCAATTATATACTTACGTCGCTTACGCCTCTTTTGTTATAATCGTTGTTGTACTTACCACGATTTTTGGTTGTTTTCAAGAAATTTTTAAAACTACATTAAAACGACATAATATTCATTACTTTGGTATGGCTGAAATCAAGTGGGAGACAATCGATCTTTTATGGAAAACTTGCAATCAAAAATATCATAATAAAATTAGAATTAAAGGAACACTGGAGGAAAAATTTGAATATTTAATGATTCTTCATGAACGTATTTGCCATATTACCACCAGAATGAATCGAGTTTTAGATCTGGCGTTGTTCGTGCATATGATTGTTGAAATTGTTATGATTGTTGTTCATAGCTATTTGGGTATTAAATGTTTTGTTGGTGATTCTTGTGATATTGGAGTGGAATTGATTACAAGTCTGTTATCTATTTTTCATATTGGAAGTCTTTTAATGTTTTTAATGTATTGTCAAAGATTTTATAATAAGGTAATTTTAATTTATTAAATAATTTTTTTGATTCTTTTAATTGTAATTTTAGGTGTACTTTTTGAAACATTACTTATTAGAATACTCGACAAAAATTAAGCGTTCCTCTATTCAATTACATATTAGAATATTTTTAACAAAATTTGATGTATTTCAAGATCTTACAGTGTTTGGAATGTTTCATATCAATCTTAGTATTGCTCCTCCTGTAAGAATTTTATTTATACAGTAAAACCTCGATAGATCGGACTACGGACATAACGGATATAATATTTGTTACCATTTGCAACATGTAAAACTACGAAATCAGCTAATTTTCATATTTTCGTATTTTTCTGGATTTTTATGCATGTGACAGAAAAAGTGTAAGAGAGCAATATTGTTAAGAATAAAATTTGCAACAAGTTTTATTTCAAAAGATTTTTTGCAAAATGCTCCGTTTCCCGAGTATTACCATGAACAACTTGAAAATGCAACAAATTCATCCAATTTTCATATTTTCGTATTTTTCTTGATATTGCCACATCTAAGAGCAAAAGTGCAAGAGAGCAATATTGTTGAAAATAACATTTTCTATAACTATTGTTCCAAAAGTTTTTTTGTTATATACTCCGTTTCCCAAGTGTTACCATTAAATTGAAAAAATGCAACAAATTCATCCATCTTTCATACTTTCGTATTTTTCTTGATATTGCCATATCTAAGAACTAAAGAGAAGAAGAGCAATATTGTTAAGAACAAAATTTTCTATAACTATTGTTCCAAAAGTTTTTTTGTAATACACTCCGTTTCCAGAGCATTACCATTAACAACTTGAAAATCCAGCAAATTTATCCAATTTTCATATTTTCCTATTTTTCTCAACATTAACGCATCTGAGAGAAAAAGAGAAGAAAAGCAATATTGTTCAGAATAAAATTTTCTACAACTATCGTCCAAAAAACTTTTTTGCAATATGCTCCGATTTCCCACTATTACCATTAACAACTCGCAAAAAACAACGAATTCATCAAATTTTCACACTTTCGTATTTTTCTCGATATTTACGCATCCCTTCCCCGTATTAGTCCGTTATATCGAGATTTTACCGATTTATTTTAATCATGTTTTTTTTAGATCTTAGCAAATATTTTAACATACGTTTTGGTTGCTTTGCAGTTGGATATAAAGCGAAAATAGAATGGGATAATATATATTTGTTATAATTTATAGACAAAATCGCGGAAAAAATAAATTTAATGAGAATTTAAAATTTAAATTTTGATGGTATTATGCCATTTTTTGTTTCTCACCTCCCTCAATTTCATTTTAACTTTTTCTTGTTGCATAATACTCTTTAACGTTTCATATTTGACTAAATTATTGTAACATTCTGATAAATCTTTTGATATCAAATCATCAGGCAATTCGTCGGGCACCTCCCCACTTTGTTCCACTTCATCTTGAGCCTAAAAAAATTATATTATACAAAATATTAATTATTAAAAAAAAATTGTTTCATTTCCGTACTTCGGATTTTTCTTTAAGATTTGGAAGCAATGTGCTGTAATGTTCAGCACAAAACAACTCATATTGGTCGTTAATGGATTTACGCGTTTCCCGGCAAATCTCCAATTCCAATCTTAATTGAGTTTGAAGCAATAACAAATTTTCTTGTTGCTGCACAATCTCATCTTCCATTAGCTTAAGCGTGTTTTTACATTCAGTCTCTGCATCGGAAATCTTCATGTTTCCATCGTCATCGTATGTAATAACTCCAGCTATTTCTCGCCCCATTTGTGCCAAACGTAATGCTTCTTCTTTCGTTTCTAAATTTTCTCTCATTTCCTGTAGAGCTCGAATTTCGGTTAAATACTTAACGTTAATGTCTTTTGTAACAGTTTCGTTTTCATTTAATTGTTCCATTAGTTGTTGGTAACCGTATTTTTCGTCAAGTGTAAACTCATTCCAAGCTTCATCATAACTTGGTACATCACTTGGCATTGAATCTTCCATGGTTTCCGACATTGCATCTTTCATTTCCGTACTCATACTAGATCGTTTTTTAATTCCTTTACGAATGGTTTTTGAACCTTGTCGTGATGGCTGATCTTTTGTAGACAAAGATGCTAAAAATTACTAATTTTAATAGCTAAAATAATTTGATTATTAATAAAATCAAAACGTACGAGATTTTCGTGATGTTTTATCTTTTGATTTCCTTCTTTCTTTCGAATCTTTAGACCCTTTCACAGATACCGATCGTTTACTAGCTTTCGAAGATTGACTACGAACACTATCTTTTGATTTCATTGTTGGTATCCTGCCAGAAGACTGCAAAATTATAGCTTATTATAAAATATGTACAATAATTATTTAAAGCACTGTTCTAAAAGATTGCGCGGCCCTTTCCATCGCCATTTGATATGCCCCGTCAATTTCCTCTTGCTTTTTCGCTTCCAAGTCTATAAAGCGATCTTTAAAAATTTGAAGAATGGTACTGATGTCGCTAAAACTAACCACCACCAATTCGCTTATCTTATCGGATAAATAATTTTCGGCTAATTCTTGTAAATGCTTGATTCGATCGCGAGTTAAGTTTTTATCCAAAGTGTTATTTAAAATCATCGATTGAACTTCTAGTTCTTGACGCATCGTGTTTACAGTTTCCTAAAATTATTAATTTTGGAGAAAATTTTTTTTTTTTTTTTAATTTAAACCTGTAGATGATTAATTTTTCCCTCGTCAGTTTCTTTTGCGTTGTGTTCGGCTCTTTTACCTTTTACTCCTCGTATAATGTTACTTAATCGTAACATGGAAAGGGTCATTGTCAAATCGTTTCTTCCGGTTCGAATATGGCCAATTAACCTATATATTCAAAACGAGTATGATGCGGATTAGGTTTAAGTAATTTTATGAGTACCTCATTTGACTGGATTGACTCAAAGCTTTTCCAAGATATTGTATAAGAATGTTTAATTTTTGTTTTACTAAGATATTTTCCGTGATATTTGTAATGAGGGCGAGAACGAATTGTTCGATTTGCGTTTTTGTAACATTTGCCATACCTATTTCAATAACATTCTTATAAAAACAACTTTGGTTGCCCACTGTGTCGACTCCAGCTAAATCCACAAAATGTAGCTAGAAACATTTTTATCAGAAAAAATTTTTGCAACTACATCTTTGTTACTTTTGACACAACTTCTAAAAGTTTTGCTTCATCAGTTAATCTACACGTTGCTGTAATCGTTAAAACACTATGGGATGAATGTGAGTCATAAAGAGATTTTTGAACGTTTGACTTTCTCCCTTCTCCTAAACAACACAAAATTAATCAACCCGATACGCTAAAAATAATTGTTTACCTTTAAATATTTCGAGGAATACACTCTCCATATCGTTAATAGGTTTTTTTGATATATGGTGCATAGATTGTGTATGATACACAGCAAGGTTTTCGTCCAACAAATCATAAATATGCGTGTTAGTCGCTTCAACAAATGATAAAGTAAATGAAATTTTCATTTTTGTTTTGTACTCTTCACGCAAAGCCAATAAAAATTCGATAGATCTTGAAATTAACCCTCTGTCTTCAAATGAATTATTGATTCCACTCATGGTTAAACTTTTTCCTGTTCCTGTAGCACCATAAGCTATAACAGCCGCGTTTGAGCCCTCTAAAAAACTTAAAACTTGGGTCAATCTCGGAATACAGTTATGATTGAGTACCTGTGCAACACATCTGGCATTATAAGGTTGAATATATCGCGTTGAGAATCGTTATAAAAGACTCCATCGGTTTCAAAACACCAATAGTTAGGGATGATGTTATCGTTTCCAGGTAAAAAATCTTGCAAGCATCTAACGTACATGGTTTTTTTGTTGTCGAGGATTTTTACGTACTCCCATGATGTATCGACTGTTGGAGTACAACGGAAATAAACTTTTGCAGTTTTACATCTGCGGTCACTTCCTTTTCCCATTTTCTTTACTTTACAAAAACCTTACAAATTCATGTATATTTTTTGAGGGTTTATGTCAACTATCACAGTGAAGTTTTTAAAACGTCTATTATGTACATACACTTTGTATCATTCTTACAGAGTCATAGTATTTTATATCATTTCGCTTTTCTGTAATTGCTACACTCGCTTAATACTAGGAAAAAAGGATGTATGGCAAAGTTGTTCCAAATACTATCGCCTATATCTATATAAAATAAGAGGATTTAGCCAAATATGCACATTCTTTTCTATCAATTTCAAAGTAGCCCGATTTTAAGGCAAGTTAACCCTAAAACAAGCCTATCAAACGTCAAATCAACTCAACCACAAAGTAAGCCAACCTCAGAGCATTCCAATCCACTTCCAATACAACTTAATTCCAAAGTTTTTACATGAATGGATATAATTACTTTTTGAATTTGGATAACTATGAAAGTCAAATCTACTTCAACCTCATCTGACCATAAGGCAAGCAAATGCAAACTCAAAACATAACGACCCAACCTCAAAGCAACAGGATCAAACGCTAATGAATCTAATTTAATTGCAAAGAAATATAATCTAACCGCAAAAGAAACTCTAAAGCAAGCTAAACCAATCGTTCTTAACACTAAAGTGACCCAACCCCAAACCAAGCCACCCAGAATTCAAAGCTTGTCAATAATAATGTAGTCTAACTTCAAACCAAAGTAATCAACCCTTTATATCCATTCAACTTCAAAGTAACTTAACTCCAAATCAAAACAATCACTCTTCACAACAAGCCAATACAATCCATTGCAATACTTGGCATGCGATTGGGTTGGGTTGGGTTGTAGAATAGAATGTGTGATGAATTAGAATAAAACATAACTTGCTTTAGACAATCAATTTAAACAGAATGGTGAGGTTCGCAAAACAATAAACCAGTTCTTTTCGGCGGGAAGAAAAATGTGTTGTACATGATAATGTGTAAAAGATGATTATGAAAGAAGAGGAGACGAGGTTGAGCAGGGTTATAACATAACACTAGATATCATAGAAAGCACTTTTCCAGGTGTATGGAAAGTGGAAAAATTGATACTTATAGAACATATATAGATGTTTGGAAAAACATTTTAAAGCACATGACTCAATGTATTAAGGCTTTACTGTCAAGACAAAAGTAGAAGCCAGAATTAGTAGTGAATGAGTAGAATCATATGAAGAAGACTTAATTTTATGGAACGTTCTAAATGCTTAACGGTAGACAGTGCGTTACACATATTGTAGGTATCTGTATTCATATAGATATGAAACTTGGTAATGAATTGTGGAATCAAAGAATATATCAATAACATGTAAGAGAAGAAACTGGATACCTGACAGTGAGAGAAATTTACCTCTACAAGGCAAAACTATTAAAAACGTGATATTCTATCGATAGCTGCGAGTGTAAATTACAGACAAGGGGATAGCAATAAGGAAATAATTAGTAGAATGAGTCAAGCAATAAATGCAATTGAGTACTAGAGGAGAGATAAAATGAAGAATGTTGAAGTTGGAATTGACATAAGTACATTAGAGTCAATCGAGGTAAAGAGCGTGGAAGGCCCAAGAGAGCATGAAGAGAAGATGTGCAGAAGCAATGAATTCTAGGAAATTGCCAGATAGGGTTTGGCATAATCGGAAAAGATGGAAACTACGATTGCGAGAAGGGATTTTGAACTATAATTAACCTCGCTTAATAATAATAATAATGTAAGGGAAATTTTTTAGGACAGACGATGCGATATGGGTTAAATCCATTAACCAAGGGATCAATACACAGTAATGTATTAAAACAATAATCAGGTCCATATTATTACTTAGTTAATGTGAATGATACCCTGAAGAAAAAACACCAAGTCAGATACGATTTCGATACACATTATTATTTCGTTGGTTTCATTATACTTCAAGGTAAACCATTATCTAATGGTGTCCTAAATATTAGTTTCAGTTAACCGAGATAACATGCGGGCATATATTCTAGGAAGTCACTATTATTAAGATAACGATTTATCATAATTCGTTTAAAAAAACAAAGACAACATTAATCAATTTCCGTCTATCACGTAGTTATTAGCATATAATGTTATACTGTGTTATTAGTAAGTTGCAAGATACCGACCGATCGAGTTTGAACTGGACATCCGTTTAGGCATAACTTAGGTAAATAACACTTTCACGGCCTATTGAGTGTGATATATGTATTACATAATAAACAGGCAACCGCTGTAGCCATGGAAGTGTTAAAATAATTAAATTATGCTGAACATGTTTTCTAAAGTATGATAATGTTTTAACAATTTCAGGTGTATATGACCAATTTTGGATAACCTTTCTAATTTCTACTTTGCGTTAAAGTAATTAGCAATAAAGAAAAATAAATATTATCAAGTAATAAAAGTAAATATACTCAAAAAAGGTGAGTTCAGCTTTTAGGTTATGTTTCAATTCATGTTAAAAAGACTTTTTCAAATATTAAATTGGAATTGTTTTTATCTGTATCTTATTAAAATTAGACTATGTTAATTAACTTAGGATAATATCTAAAAAGTAATAAGAATCAAAGATATAAGTTTCTTATAGATAATGTGTTATTTTAGTTGCCTATAGTTAGATTGTATTTCTTTATATGGTTTTATTCAATACACTTAAATTGTTAAATAGTATTACTAACTATAAGAAGATGTCAATCTTAATTGGTAAGTCTTCCATACAATTAAGACCAAGTATATACTAATCATTCAATTTTAGAAAAGGTAAAACTAAATCCAGTAGATTTTTCTAAAGCAAACGCCAAAAGAGAGGAAGTCTTTTATCATTTATTCACAAAACTCAAAGCTGATAGTCAAATAATAACCGAATCAACAGTTCAAACTATCCCACTGAATAAAAATTTAGAGACAAAAGTGTTTATACACGGTTGGAACTCTTCAATTCACAAAGGAAATTGGTATGATGGTTTTAAAGATGCATACTTTAAAAGAGGAGATTACAACATTTTGTATGTCGACTGGTTTATACCGGGAAGTCAAGAATTTCCCGTATCAGCTGCTAATGTAAAACCTGTCGGACATTTTATAGGAGATCTTTTGTTAGCTTCCAAGATTCCATTAGAAAAAATTCATGTTATTGGTAAATCATTAGGTTCACATGTTGCATCATATGTAGGAAAAAGAATTTTTGAAGTAACCTCAAACAAAATTGCTAGAATAACAGGATTAGATCCAGCCGGACCTAAATTTGAACATACAGATCTGAACGAAGACCAAAGATTATTTAAATTAGATGCCGAATTTGTTGATATCGTCCACACAGATGCTGGTTATTACGGGTTTATTAATCCAATAGGAACAGTTGATTTTTATCCAAATGGAGGAAAAGATCAACCTGGATGTGGAAGTGATGATAGCGGACGTAAGTTTCTCTTTTTTAGCTTTAAAATTGATTTTAGACGATTATAAATAATTGTAGATAATGACAGTCATGGAAGGTCAAATTGGTTCTTTTTGGAATCGATTAATTCGAAAAATTTCTTAGCAAGAAAAGCTGAAAGTTGGGAAAAGTACTTAGAAGGAAAATATGAAGATAATGAAGGTGTTGTGTTTGGAGAAGATGTTCCAAAAAATGTTAAAGGAAATTATTATTTTGAAACTAACTCGAAATATCCATATGCTAAACTATAAATTGAAATATTTAAGTTTATAGCAACACTGTTTATTAGAAATTTATAAATAAAATAAATATTTTTCTAATTTTTTAGATTTCATTATTGTTGTTGGTTGGGTTGCCTAAGTTAGATATAGATATCAAAATAAAGATTAAGACGCTTGTAGAAATGTGAGTGTGACTAGAGTTTTAAAATATATAGTATAAAATATGTAAGTGAATGAGATATAAACTAGTTTCAAAAATAAATATAAAAATTTAAATTTTAATTCGAATCAAGTAGAGTTAGTTGCATACATCCTACTATTTTCTGTCAAAAATAAAGTGCTACAGATAATCTGGATAATCTAGATCAGTCGTTCAATTGATCTAGTTAAGAAGCTATATATATTTATATAGAATGGTACTATCTAAGCAAAATTTTAAGCCGAATAGATAATTTCAACTTATGAAAATAGAATTCGATTTCATCTCTCTTGAATTGTCATGGATAAGATTAATTATCCATTTGCCAGTTTTTACTGTATCATGAGCAACTAAGATCTTATCTATATCAAAGATAAGATGCGGACAAGTACTCTGGAAGCTGCTCAGGATTTAGATAATATGGTAAAAGTAATCCTTATGAGGAAACAAAGATGAAGAAGTAATTTATTGATGGATTGAATTTGAAAACTGAACATCTATATAGGTAATTAGCTAAGGAATACTTAATCTATTATAATAAAAGGTAATTGTTGCAATAAAAATTATACTAAATGGACGTTTTCACATGGTACCATTAAATGTTTTAGCTAGTAGGATTTTTGAATTCTTTAGTTGATTTAAAAATGTTAATGTTAATTGCAAACAGAACAAATTAACACTGTTACTTATAAGTTAGAAAGATTTTATCCACTTAAAAAAGCTCATCATATAGGTTATGTTTTTATTAAGGTTAAAATATGTTGAAGATTTTATGATTAATCTAAAAACCTATCTTTTGCAAATAATTGTGATTATTGTAAGTTAAATTATTTATTTCTTTTTTACAGTTGTATTAAATTATTTAACAGTATTATTAACACTAAGAAAATGTCAACATTAATAGGTAAGTTTGTAACAAAATTTAAAAGATAACAATTAACATAATCAAATTTTAGATAAAACAAAGCTAATTCCAGTGGATTATTCTAAAGCAAACGCTAAAAACCATGAAGTATTTTATCATTTATTCACAAAATCATCAACTGGAAGTCAACTAATATCCAAAATAACCATTCAAACAATCCATTGGAACAAAACACATGAAACTAAAGTGTTCATCCATGGTTGGAAGTCTTCAATGCATAAAGGAAATTGGTACCACGCATTTAAAGACGCCTACCTCAAGAAAGGCGATTACAACATTTTGTTTGTCGATTGGTTTATACCAGGAAATCAGGAATTTCTTGTAGCAGCAGCTAATGTAAAACCTGTAGGATATTTCATAGCAGATTTTATATTAGCTTCAAAAACACCATTAGAAAAAATTCATGTTATTGGTAAATCATTAGGATCACATGTTGCATCATTTGTTGGAAAACGAATTTTTGAATTAACATCAGAAAGAATTGCTAGAATAACCGGATTAGATCCTGCTGGGCCTACATTTGAGCATGAACATCTAAATGAACAGCAAAGATTATGCAAATTCGATGCTGAATTTGTTGATGTTATTCACACAGATGCTGGTTATTTTGGATTTAATACATCGATTGGAACAGTCGATTTTTATCCAAATGGGGGGAAAAACCAACCTGGGTGTGGAGATGATGATATTGGACGTAATACTTTTTAAATAAACAAATTTTTTGATTTTTTTAAAGATTTTTTATGATTGTAGATGATGAATGTCATGGAAGATCTAATTTATTCTTTTTAGAATCGATTAATTCTAAAAATTTTGTTGCAAGAAAAGCTGAAAGTTGGGAAAAATACTTGGAAGGAAAATACGACGATAATGAAGGTGTTATTTTTGGGGAAGATGTTCCAAAGAATGCCACAGGAAATTATTATTTTAAAACAAGTTCAAAACACCCATATGCTGAGATATAAAAAGAAAGATCTAAAAAATTAAATTTATTAAAAATTAGCAAATTTTTAAGTCTTTACAAAGTATATTCCTTGAGCTGATTCCGAAATATTCTCTCCATAAATAGTTTCGTCAGTCATATCATAAATTTTCCTTCTAACATTTTCCAAACTTTTACATTTCCATCCAATAATATCTCGATTATTTATAGAATCCATAAAGTATTTACAACTTTTCCTATGACCATAAAACACTAAAATCAAAACCAAAATTTATTATGTTAACAATAATAAAGAAAAATCTCACGATATTCCTGAAAATCATCTTTATTCCATAACACATTCAAATTTGGTGGCCGATTTCCGGGTTGAAATCTCGAACCATTAAAATAAAAATCAACCGTTCCAAGCGGTTTTTTAAATCCAAATAATAAACAATCTGTGTGAGTAATATCTACTAATTCAGCGTCGGTTTGTTGTAGACGAGCCGAATCCGGACAACTAGGTATTTCGAATAATTGTTTTGCTGGATCTAAACCGGATATCCTTCCAATTTCTTTTCCCGTTAATCGGAAAGTTTCTTTACCCGCAATTCCCGCGATATGAGCTCCCAAAGAATGTCCGATTAAGTGAATTCGATTGTGAGACGTTAATCCTGAATCAAGAAGACGAACTATAAACTTTCCAATGTAATTTCCTAAACAAAAAAGAATAAAAGATGAATCAATTTTAAACATATTCCCATATTTCGAATTAAAGGTTTATTGTATTTAATTAACAGTATGTGGTCAGATATTCTGTAAGATATAATTTATTAGTCAATTATATCTCATTGATACAGATTTATTATCAATATAGCTAATATTAAAGGCGAACGATGATATTGTAAGATTATAGATAATTTTGTTTATAAACTTGGGTGGCTTTAGACAAAATGTAATCAAATAATTCTTAAAAGACAGTACGACGATGGAAGAAAGCGACAGAATCTTCTAAATTAGATGAATTCATATTCTTACAAGCTTTAGCAAAACTTTTAGAACAAAAGTTGTAGCAAATTTTATTCTTAACAATATGCCCTTTATCACTTTTGCTCTCAGATGCATCAATATTGAGAAAGGTACGAAAATATAAAATTTGGATGAATTTGTTGCTTTTAGAAGTTAATGGCAACATTCGAGAAACGGAGTATATTACAAAAAAAACTTTCTGAATAATAGTTATAGAAAATTTTATTCTCAACAATATTGCTCTCTTACACTTTTAATCTCGGATACGTCAATATTGAGAAAAATATGAAAACATGAAAATTGGATGAATTTGTTGCATTTTCAAGTTGTTAATAGTAACACTTGGGAAACGAAGCATATTATAAAAAAGCTTTTAGAACAAAAGTTATAGCAAATTTTATCCTTAACAATATTGCTCTCTATCACTTTTGCTGTGAGATGCATAAATGTAGAGAAAAATTATTTTGATTTTTGTAGGATTGCAATATGTTGCAGCTGAAGATTCACCTCGAATGAAGACTTTGAAGAATTATATGGAATTAAATTGTGAAGGAATATTTTCATGGTTGATGTTATTAGAAATAAAACTACTTCTACTAATTCACTCAAATGGCTTGGGTACTTCTGTAATGGCCATGTTTTTGATATAGCTATTGAGATAGTTTTTGGTACTATTTCGTAAGATGTAATGCTCTATAACCAAGAAAGTAACCATATTAAAACTTTTCTGCCTTGGTCACAACATCCTTATTTTTGTCCAAATAGCTTGCAATTTTATAATCGTAGCATAGCCATACCAGGTGTACCCATTTTATATAATAAAAAGGTATACTATTTACCAACAGAAATTGATGTTTGAATTGCATTAACATATGTTAAACCAGACAATTTTGACCAATCGGCTTGAATAACATTACAATTTCGCTTTTGCAAGTATTTTTCCATTAATTCTACGTAATGCGAAGTACATTTGGATTCGAGCCAACCATGTACGATCAATTTAATGGGTAAAGGTTCCAAATAACAATCTTGAGGACCATGACACGTACGATTCTGTATTTTTCGCGTAGTTAAAGCAAAATGAACGTCGCCCGTTTTAATCGGTTTATCACGAGGAATCAAGAATTGTGATTTCCAAAAATTTTTCAAATTCAATTTCGTATATAAAATTTTTTTATGCATAACGAAAGAAAATTTTTCTGTTTTCTCGATACAATTTGAGGTTTCGTTTGTTTTAACGTCACTTTTCAAAATATTTTGTCATCTAATCATCTCTCATAAAAATTATTAAAAAAATTTAAAAGTTAAAATGGCAACGGGTGAAAAGTTAAGTATCCAACCAAGATGTTGCGGAAAAATGTGTAAGAATGATCAAGTTTTTTTATTAAAATTATATTTTTATTGATTATTTTTTTGTAGCAAGACACATCTTTAAAGTTAAAAAAGTGGATTTTTCGATAGCTGATTGTAAACTAGACGATGTTAAATACAAGGTTTACAGAAATAATTCAGACGAGGCGGTACCTTACACTGAAGATACGATAAAATCAGCTGAATTAGACCTCGATCTTCCTTTTACGGTTTTAATTCACGATTGGTTATCTAACGGGGATTGTTATTGGTATGAACCATTTCGAAAAGCACTTTTCCAAATAGGGCAGAATAACTTGGTCTGTGTCGATTGGTCAATTTCCGCCGCAAAATATTACGATATGGCGGCGGCTAATTCAAAATATGTTGGGGGATTTATTGCAGATTTTATACTCGCTTCAAAAGTTGACATAAAAAAAGTACACGTAATAGGACATTCATTAGGCGCGCAAGTAGCCGGATTCGTTGGGAAAAGAATCTTTCAACGAACATGTGAAAAATTGGCCAGGATTACGTTATCCGATCCTTCAGCATTAGGTTTTGAACTGCCTACCGTTAGAAACGATGAAAAAGCGTACGAAGAAGACGCTGATTTTGTTGATGTTATTCATTCAGATATGGGCCATTATGGATGTATTGATCCAGTAGGTCACGTTGATTTTTATCCAAATGGTGGTAAAGAACAACCAGGGTGTCCAGAATTATGTGATGACGGTACATTAAAAATCAGTTTTAAGGTGGTTAAAAAATAATTTTCTTTTTAATTTTTTTGAGATGACTGTAGCCGCTCAAGAGCGATTTTATATTTCATCGAATCGATCACAAGCGATGAATTTAAGTCTGCCCCAAGTGAAAATTTTGATGAATTTATAGAAGGAATTTTCGCCGAGGAAGATATTATTGTTTTTGGTTATAATTGTCCAACAGAAGCGAGAGGAGTACACTATTTTGCAACGAATGAAACTCCGCCATATGCTCAAGGCGATATATATCCAAAAGTTTTCAGTGACGCTTCGGATGATGGGGAAGAAGGTGATCAGGGTGAGGAAGGTGAAGAAGGTGATCAAGGTGAAGGAGGCGAATAGGATTAAAAGTTTGAAATTTAATGAATGTTTTTTGAAGGTAAAATAAAAGCGTTTTATACATTTATTGCAATAAGAACATTATTTTATTTGTGCAAAAGGAGGATTATCATTAGTTATGAAATAATAAACACCCCTAGCTTGAAAATCAACATTTTCCCCAAAAGTAACGTTTTTACTATCATTTCCACAATTTACTTCTTTAAAATTCTCCCAAGATTCACAACTTGTAGCAATAAAATCATTTGAATTTATTGATTCTATGAAATATAAATTACTTCTCTTGTGGCTACATTTATCGTCGATTTGTAAAAGTGGACAACCAGGTTGTGAAGAACCACCGTTTGGATAATAATCAATCATTCCAATCGGTTTTTCGAATCCATAATTTCCAACATCAGTATGAATGATATCAACAAATTCGGCGTCTGTGTCTGCCAAACGGAATTCGGATGTCATGTTTGATGCTTCAAACATTCGACCACTAGGATCTGTTCCGGTTATTCTTCCTAACTTTTTTGAAGTTTTCTCATAAATTGATTTTCCAATAAATCCAGCGACATGCGACCCTAAACTGTGTCCGATTACGTGTACACTTTCAAGATGAAAATTTCCAGCTATGATAAAATCCGCTATAAATTCGCCGATTGGTTTTGAATTAGCCGCGGATATTTGAAATTCGTTACTTCCAGCTTTAGACCAATCGATGTAGATTATGTTACAATCAAAATATTTTTTGAAGTATTCATTTTTTAGCGGTTCATACCAATTAGTTGTTTCATTAGACATCCAACCGTGAATAACAATTATCGTTGGAGCATTCGCAATTAAAATTGAGTCAGAAACAGTTTCTTCTGTTAAATATTGCCCTTCGGAAACATTTTTTGTAAAAACGTGGTAAAGAACGTCCGTTTTTTTGGCATCTGCTAGTATAAAATCAACACCGGGGAGATAACCATACTTTTTAACACCTAAATAAAATTAAAGCAGTTAAAAAAATTTGTTGATGCAGCCAATTATAAGACTTACCATTATAAACGTAAGAATTCGTTAAAATAAAACAATAAATTATTAAAATAATAGTACAAAACAATGATGATTTATTCATCATAAGTTTTAACTTTACAATAGTCATATTATAACTTGAAAATGTAATGAAATATAGTGGGTAAGGCAAAACAAGGAATTCATTTATTCTATTTTAATGGGAAAATTCATTTACAGTAGTTTGATATGTTTTAAAAATCAATTTGTGGTAAACAACACAAAAACGTAAGCACATAATGATATATTATTTGACTTTTTTGCTATAATTTGACCTTTACCAATTTTATTTTACAGATCAGAGAAGATTTATTTTAACAAGATCTTTAAGGAACTTTACGTGTTCGAGCAAGGTAAGCAAGAAGTCCAACAAAAAGTCTTGTAGTACGCAGGCCAGCTTATATCTTGATGACTCCCTTATTACTACCTTGCGTTTAGCTTTTGAAGTAGAGATAGCCATGGTTTAGGCCTTCTGAAAATAGTATTTAATCTTTTTCCAACAGTATCTATTAGCAATATCTAGTCTCCTACCGATACTATAGTCTTTTACTAGCAGTATGTAGTCTCCTGGAAATAGCATCTATACTTTTGCCCACAGTATCTAGTCTCCTATCGATACTACAGTCTTCTGCCATAGCTTTGTAGAGACAAAACGTCATACTTAATTATAGCTTTGTTTTGCTTATGGCTTATAAACTCCAGTTATTTGAGTTTTAGATAGGAAAATGTTGTAAAATTGATCAAATAACTAATCCAATATCTTTTAGACTTGAGGTATTTAAAACCAAGTGAGTTAAATTCATTTTTTGTTACAATTTTGAACTACACATACTTACTGTCTAAGCAACGCTGATGAATTAACTTAAAATGGCAGAGAATGTCCAGGGTCCAAGATAATTCTTCCACCAACTGTATGCTTTCTTTAATGGGGTTGGTTTGTCTTTAGCTATCGGAAGGGCGTTTCGAATTTTGCTAACTGTACCGTATTGTACCACTATATCATTCTTTTTCAGACAACTTGCGATCCGTTCCATTACAGAAACATAAAGGAGGCAGATAAAACCGGCTGGTCCAGTACTTACCGTGTCTTTCTTCTGCTTGCGTTTTTGGTGTCTCGTTAATATCCCTCAGAGTGTAGCCATTCTTCTGGAGTACATTTAGAAATTCTTTTCCTTTCTTGAAATTATTTTCGTCATACAACCTTTCTGGGCGTTGGAACAAGGCTTGAAACTGATCTATTCTGTTGTGGATGGTGATATTAATTTACGGAAAATTACGGAATTTTCGTTATTCAAACATCTCCATGTAGAAAATGGCGATACCGGGGACAAAGGTCCCTCCACATTGCTTGTACAATTCTTGCTCCCAATTAAAATAAGTAGATAAACATACTTCGGTAATCCCTCTGGGATGAGTTTCTGGCAAAGACCATCCTCGGAATGTTTAACTGCTACTCAGGCAAATGGAGATTTCACATCGAAATATACCGGGATATTCTGATCCAAATTCATTATTTTGGTTGTTTCCACAACGCTAGTGCTAATTCAATTCAATCCGGAAGTTTAAGGCTTTGTACTTATAGAACAAAATAATTTGATCTGTGTCGATTGGTGATATAATAGAGGATGATGGTGAAGAATGTGTTTAGGATGAGGAAGGAGATCTGGAACCAGATGTCATAAGCCATAGAAGAATACAAGCATTTTATACACTTTTTTTATACTCTATCATTAAAAACAAGAATTTTCTAACTAAGTCTAAATTATACATTACAATTTATTCTATTTGTGCAAATGGAGGATTATCATTAGTTATAAAATAATAAACCCCCCTAGCTTGAAAATCAACATTTTCCCCAAAAGTAACGTTTTTACTATCATTTCCACAATTTCCTTCTTTATACTCCTCCCAAGATTCACAGCTTGTAGCAATAAAATCATTTGAATTAATTGATTCTATGAAATATAAATTGCTCCTTGCGTGGCTACAGTTATCGTCGATTTCTAAAGGTGGACAACCAGGTTGTGAAGAACCACCGTTTGGATAATAATCAATCATTCCAATCGGTTTTTCGAATCCGTAATTTCCAACATCAGTATGAATGATATCAACAAATTCGGCGTCTGTGTCTGCCAAACGGAATTCGGATGTCATGTTTGATGCTTGGAACATTGGACCACCAGGATCTGTTCCGGTTATTCTTCCTAATTTTTTTGAGGTTTTCTCATAAATTGATTTTCCAATAAATCCAGCTACGTGTGAACCTAAACTGTGTCCGATTACGTGTACACTCTCAAGATGAAGTTTTCCCGCTATAATAAAATCCGCTATAAATTTGCCGATTGGTTTTGAATTAGCCGCAGATATTTGAAATTCTTTACTTCCAGCTTTAGACCAATCGATGTAGATTACGTTGCAATCGGGATATTTTTTGAAGTATTCATTTCTTATCGGTTCATACCAATAAGTTGTTTCATTAGAGAGCCAACCGTGAATAACAATTTTTGTTGGAACATTTACAGTTAAGATTGAGTCAGAAACGGTTTCTTCGGTTAAATATTGTCCTTCGGACACGTTTTTTGTAAAAACGTGGTATAGAACGTCTGTTTTTTCGGCATCTGCTATTGTAAAATCAACACCGGGGAGAAAATCATACTTCTTATCACCTAAAAAATTTAAGAAATTAAAAAAAACATGATTAATGTAACAATTATAAGACTTACCATTATAAACGTAGGAATTCGTTAAAATAAAACAATAAACTATTAAAATACTAGCATAAAGCGATGATGATTTATTCATAATATAGTATTTAACTTAGCAATATTTAGTTATAAATATAAGTTGAATACGTAACGAAGCTACGTAACAAGGAATTTGCTTACGTTACTCGTGTTGTTACACCACAAATAGATTTTTAAAACCTGTAAAACTGTTTCAAATGAACATTTTCGTTAACATAGAATAAACCAACAATCATGCAGTTTTTGACTTTTAGCAAAAATATAATAAATATAATTTGACCTTTATCACTCTTATTTTATTATAGATTAGATAAGATTTATTTTATTACTTTATTAGATTATTAACTTCATCTATGTTGACGTCAAATTAAGGATATTTCATGACAAATGTTATTAAAGTTAAACTATTTCTTGTTATTATCAAATCAATTCCATCAAATCACTTTATTTATATTCATGATTACTTTGTTTGTTTCCTTTCACTTCAAATCATTCCTTTTATTAACTCCTCAAAACTATAAAGAAAAAAATGTTTAACCAACATTCTTTCAAGCTAACATATTGCATCATTTATTCTTTTACAAGTATTTATTTTCTAAATCTAAATCGTTCAATTAATAATTTTTTTTAGTTCAACTGTCTCATTGCGATTCAAATCCAATAAACGAAGCTTTTGATTATTGGAAGAACATTCTTGAAGGTTCAAAACGTTTTCTAGGAACTGTAAATGAAAAAGACGTCCAATTCGTTTTATTCAACAAAAAATTTGATGAAATCTTTTTAGATGCGACTCAAGATAACATTTATCAATTTTTTTTACCCGAAATCGAAACGAAATTTATTGTTCACGGTTGGGGTGAGTCTCGATTTCGGCCTTATTACAGAACTTTAACTGAAGAATACACCAAGAAAGGTGACTATAACATCGTTCATGTTGATTGGTCAAAAGTAGCAAGTGTTGAATATAACGTAGCTGTTGAAAATACTTTTAAAGTAGGAAAGATCTTAGGGGAGTTTATAACTAAGTTGTTAACTAGTAATATTACAACGCATGAAAATGTTCATTTATTGGGACATTCTTTGGGGGGACATATTGTTGGTGTTAGTGGGAAAGAAATTTTTAAGCTTACTGGATTAAAAGTTCGAAGAATCACGGGATTAGACCCAGCTGGACCATCTTTTGAAATCCCACCGATTGAAATTCAAAAAAGGTTAGACAAACATGATGCTGAAATGGTTGATGTTGTTCATACAGATGGGGGAATTTTTGGATTTATGGAACCACTTGGAACTGTCGATTTTTATCCTAATGGTGGAAAAGGTCTCCAACCTGGATGTTCGTTATTTAAAATTTCGATTCCACCTACAATTAAATCAGCCACAGATTATGGTAATACAAAAAGAAAATTTAAGTTAGAATATTATTATTGAGTTAATTTAATTTTTATTAGCATTTTGTAGTCATACAAGAAGTTATATTTACTTTATAAATTCGATTAATGAAAAAATGATCGCTAAAAAATGTAATTCTTGGGCGGAATTTCAAAATGGTGATTGCGATGGAAATGAAAATGTTGTTTTTGGGGAAGATGTACCTTTTAAAGCTACAGGAAGTTACTTTTTAAGTATTGTATAAACAATGTTTTTGGTACATTTGTTTTGTTAAAATTAAAAGTAATTTAATGATACCTACAACTTTATTTAGTGTTTAGAGTCCTTCTTTAGTTTCAGTTGAGTGTTTCCATTAACAAACTCGATTTATGTGAAATACAAGCTTATTTTGCACAAAATATTTTTTCTTTAAAATTATTTACTTAGCTTTATCACAGTTTTTTATACAGCCAAAAGGTTATATATTTGGATGTAGCTATGTTCCACTGGTTTCTGAAATCATCTACTAGTTGATTGACACCATGAAAGCAGTATACAAGCTCTGGATACTGGAACATATTACTATAAATGCTGTATCTAACAGCTGAATACCAAAATCATCCCGGGAGTCTGGAATCATCTATAAAAGTCATCTATTAGAGAATGCTGGAATCATCCACAAGGTGCTAGCATTATCCAGTATATACTGATATCATCTATCAGATGCTGGAACAATCTGAATACTGAAGCTAATTACTGCATTCCACAACTGAACAGGACATTGGAATCATCAAAAAAAAAACTGGAATCATCGAGGGCATACATATACCTACAGAGTAGTAGGTTGTGTGTAGAGTAGGTTGGAGTAAGGTTGGATAGAGTTAGGTTGGGTTGCGTTAGGTTGGGTTGGGTCTCACATAAAAAAGGTCTCCAAAAAGCAGGAAGCTTAATGCCTTCTCAGGCGTTACGCCCAAGGTCCTAGTTAAAAAAGAGAAAGTTAAAAGCCACGGTTATTCTGACTGTGCTTTTATATGCTGACTCGGTTACCAGATGCTGGATCGATCTAAATTTAATTACTGCATACAACAGTTACTAGAAATCAAGCACAATACACTGGAATCATCCAAAAAATAGTAGAATTATCCAGAAAATACCGCATAACACCAAAATGGCAATGCTGTTAAGCAGATTACCTAATTAGAGTTTAGAACAAACTCTAAAAATGGCTTACAGAAAACATAAAATATTAATAATTGAAAATTTCATAAAATAAACACATTTCGTAATCTTAGATGGCAAGAAAATACAATCTGACATATTTAACTAATTTTTAAATTGTATGATTAATAGAGGGCAGCTTAATGGTTTGCCAAAAATTAATATCATAAATAAGTAATTGAAACTCCAAAAAAACACTAACAGGATGTTATAAATCACGTGAATTTATAATATGATAAAAAATTGAACAAAGGAAATTCATTTCGTATAATGGCAAAATAATAACTATAGTTATTTCAATTTTATATACAGTTTTGTTTCACAATGAAGAACATTGCGATATTTATGCCAACGTGTTTATTGTTTATTTTTATTATTTGTAAGTATGTTGTAAAATATTTGTTTGGAATGATGTAATTATATTAAATTAATTCGATTTAAAGATGCAAATGGATTGTTGGAAGAAATTTTGCGAAACGACATCTTTAAAATAATCAATAAAATCCCATTTAATTTTACCCGTTTTATCTTCAACAACATCAAAATGAACGAAAGCGACGTTACCTATTTTTTTTATAGTAGAAAATTTAAAAATATAACATTCAATTCTAAATATATTAATCCAAATTATTCACTTAAAGTTCTTATTCATGGTTGGACTGAACACGCATCGGTTCAATGGTATACAAACGTAATTAATGCTTATTTAAAACGTGGATATTATAATATAATAGCTGTCGATTGGTCTTCAAAAGGTGATGCTGATTATTTATCGGCTTCAAGATACACTAGAGGAATAGGAGAAAAAATTGGGATATTCTTAGTAAAGTTACACAAAAGAAAAGGAATTCCGTTAAAGAATATCCATTTGTTATCGCATTCTCTAGGTGCTCATGTTTGCGGATTCGTAGGAAAAAAAATTTATGAATTAACCGGTGACAAAATCGGGAGAATAACCGCGATGGATCCTGCAGCACCTTTATTTGAAATTACACAAGATATGAGATTATCAAAAGAAAATGCAAAATTTGTTGATGTGATTCATACGGATGGTGGAATGTTAGGATTTAGACATCCAATAGGAACAGTAGACTTTTTTCCAAATGGTGGATCAGCAATTCAACCTGGATGTTCTTTATTAAAAGCCGATCTCCACTATGATGATTGTATGGTAATGGGATGAAAATTTATGTTTGATAATTCTTTTTGGGTATTTGTAGTTTTTTGTAGTCATGCTAGTAGTCATCGACTCTTCATTAAATCAATAAACCACAAAAAATTTTTTGCCAAAAATTGCGAATCCTATGAACAGTTTTCAAGAGGGTTATGTAGAAATAAGAAAACAATTTTTTTTGGGGAAGATACCCAAACGAATGCAACAGGCTCTTTTTATTTTCAAACCAAAGATACCGACATCATTTTGTAACTTTAATTTCTTTACTGCATGCATAGAATTTTCGAAAATATGATGCGCATTATATACAAGTATTTCAAAATAACGTTTAAATGATGGAAACTTAATAAACTCAACAAGTCAAACTTGATTTTGCCTAATCTTCTAACCTGGCTCATCTTAATCTATCTGACTTTATTATTTACTTTATTGCTTTAATCCAAACGTCTAATTAGCTATCATAGGAGGTAGATTTAATCACAACTATTAAACGGTCATACCTGGAAAACACTCTTCCTGAACTTTTGGAAGACTTACCGTTTAATCGGAGACTAAATCTTTGCTTTATCCAGGATTTAGTTCCGCTGCACTTTATGCTTGCTGTTGGGAAACATCTTAACAACACATTTTCTGGGAGATAGATAACGCAACAACTTCCCATTGCGTAGCTTGCCCAATTCAATGCAGAACTAGAAACTATGTTGATGTTGCAGGACGTTAAATGTTTAAACGTTATTTTGAAACATTCTGTCTTATTCATGTAAAATTGATATAAATAATAATTTTTGTTGAAGAAAACATTGACTTCGTATTATAACACTTTTTATTTTATACATAAAAGAAGTAATAAATTTTTCTTTATATACACCATATTTACATTATCTTAAATTTTTCAATTCCTTTTTTAATAAATTTATTTTTTCTTTTAATTTTGTGGTGCAACATTATTAGAAACTTGAACTTCTTCATCTTCTTCTTCGTTGCTATCGGTATTTTGTTCTTTTACTTCATCAACTTGTCCAACCAAAGCCCGATATTTTTTAGCGATTGCTTCCCAATCGGTGACATGTTCTATTCGGGTCGTTTGAGCTGAAAAACTCAATTGGGAACCTAAAGGACTTAAATGAGCTACCGATAGCGTTGTTGATTCTTTCGGGCCGACTTGGTTGCCCTTTTTTACTTTTGATAACCATTTTTGGCCCGCTTTCGATCTCGGGCTTAATTGTTGAGGACGTTGAAAACCACCCATAATGTGTACAAGGCTTGTTCTTTTCTTGGCACGAACTAAAATATTTGATTTGTGTTAGTTAAAAAAGGATAATTCTTGGTTTTTTGATTTTTACCTCTACTTTTACACAGTTTTACTAAATAAAATAACCATGTTGTTATTAAATTTATGGGGGATGGGGCTGAGGTTGTTCTGTGCATCGATCTGATGAGTTTACTCAAACCAAATTTCCATTCAATGTCGGATTGGGCCTAATTTTTTGAAAAATTTATGTGAATAATAAGTAATTAAGATAAATTAAACAGAAAAGTGCAAAATTTTTTTGATGGTAAACTTTAACGGTTGCTTACAGTTCGGTTGTTTGTTGAACTGATTATGGAAAGAAGTCGGTAATGGGTTTTCTTCTATTTTGTGCTTATGTGCAGGTTTATGTACAAGTGATGAGTGGTAAAAAGTGCCAAATCTAAAAATTGTAAATATGATATGATGAAAAATTTATCAAAAAAAGTATTTATTTTGTTCCCTTTTTAAAATATTATAAATATAACATTTATTCAGTGCGAAATGGTCCAGCCCAAATGAACTGGTGCAAAGAAGCTCCTTTGGATTACATCCGAAAATTCTTTATTTTTTTTTTCAGTTCAACTTTCTGTCTTCCATAATTCCGCTGGAATCTTTTTCTACATTGATAATCGTTTATTTTATGCGTGCTGGTGTCGATTCTGGCTCATTTATTTTTTTATAGATATATTTTTATCCGCCTTTTATTATTTTTGTTACCTGAATCTTCTGGTACGTATCCGTCATCATAGCGATGAGCAGTTTGACTAGGACAACGACCGAAATGGACATGTACGCTCCGTATATCATCTTAAAGAACACGATGGTCCAGAATGGTTGCGTCACTTCGTCAAGCTTTAGGTGACCAAGATTAGACTGGCCGAAAATAGCGAAAAATAGCAGCCCGAAAGCATTGAGAGAGTTCGTTTGGACTGGAATAGAGAGAGAAAAAGATGCAAGTGATTACCTGAATGCGCTGATAGGTGTCAGACATCATAGCAATTAGCAGATTGATCAGTACAACCACTGATACCAACATGTACACTCCGAAGACCACCTTGAAGAGGTTTTCGGTCCACTGTGGTCTGTAAGCTGGTTCTCCTGCTGGCGCTTTTATCGTCACATCATCGTATGTCGTCTGGCCGAAAATGGCGAAAAACAAACGTTCGAACGCCACCAATGGACTCATTAACACTGGATTAAGGGGCAAAGAAAAAACAAGAAACGTGTAAATTTTTTTTTCTTTTTTCTCTGATTTTTTAACGATTTTTGATTTCAAGAAAGAAGATTAAAGGCTTCATGCTTGTTTGTTGAACTGTATTTACAACGATGCCAAGAAGAGAGAAGAAATGATTTCGAAATTTAAAAAAAATTGCAATCTTTTTTGTGTTTTTGAACATACAAACCTTCAATTTTTTAATATTAACGTGTTATGTTTAAAATGTAATGATACTAATATCTACACAAAAAATTTGTTGCGTAAAGCAAAAATGTTACAGCAATTATAAAAAGCTTGTTAAAAAAGTATTTACAAATTCAAAACCATGAAATCATATTTTTTTTTTGATTTCCTGCGGAAAAATTAAAGGATACATAAAAAACATGGCAAGACAAAGACGACACACACAGACAAAACGTTGTTTCTTCTAATGAAGTGGGCACAACACAGAAAAAATCTATTTCTTTTTACGATTTGTTTTGTTTCGGTCTCCTTTGAAACAAATAAAAACACACAAGACATACAATGAGGACGTTTTCACAGTTATTATTTTTATGGTGGCTTAATTCAAAATAATGCGGAGCCACGAGAACACATATTTAACACAAGGACAACAATAAATATTGTTAACAAAGATATTGATAACAATAAGACCACAGCACGCAGATTTATGGACTGACTTACTATCTCCAGACACTTCGGGTTGGGAGTATTTCTTGCGAAGAGACCCGCGTGGTCTAACTCCAGCTGGACGCTCTTCAATGTCATCGAGAAGTTCGATTGTTGATTCTCTTACCGCTATTGTCGTTTTAAAATTTGAATATCAAATATGAAAATATGTATAAAATTAGTAATAACGTTCTGTACAAATCATGTATAATGGAAAATTATGCTTAATAAATTTAAATGTTAATATACATATTATGTACAAGATGTGGAAACTATACAAGAAGTGTTAGAAAGTACAAAATTTTCAAATCATTTTATATACACTCATACAAGAAAGAAGATATAAAAGTATTTTTTATATACAGCAAAAGAAATAAATAAATAAATATTGATACAAACTTACCTCCATCAAAACTTTTCGCTGAAGCAACTGTTCTTCCCAAGTTCTTAACTTCACTGTCTTTGTAGTTATCGAACCGTTGATTCAACGCAACGAAATGCATAGAAAATCCAAACACAAAGATGGCTAAAACGGCCAAAAATCGTCCCAAATCTTTCATCAAATTTCCAATGATGATGGCCCACGGTCCAAAAAGGTGGTGAAACGACAAAAAGTCCAAAATTTGTACACAAGCCAATAAAAACGATAACGCGAATAATTGATTTCTGCAATACATCAATGTTGGCCAATAATTTATTTTGACCAGTTCGGCGAGTCCAAGTAAATGAGCTGCGACGCCGAAAATTCCGAAAAGAAGTACGGACAGTTTTATCCAACCCAATCCGGATTTGTCGCTTGGGTTGGTTAATTCGAATAATAAAAGTCCACTAAGCCATATCAAAAGAACCCATTCGTACCAGTATGGAAGTAGGCTCGGTCTGACAACTGGATAAATAGGAAAAATGGCCACGAGCAAAAGGAAGAGCATGAGATAAACGTGGGATGTTAAATAGGACATAAATTTTATAATAGGTACTTTATGGTATTTATGGCCTAATGGAAGAGTAAAAGCCAACCAAATTGGTGGGCAAATAATAAATCCTACAAAAAGGAGCATCGTTCTCCACGCCGTCCAATTAAGTGGTCCTCTCCAAAGTTCCTGTAAACGATAATAATTTATTTAAACGAGTTTGAGCCAACAGATAAAATTACCTAATCTTTACCTGAAGATATCGTTGAACAACTGTATGCGCAATAACTTCTTTTTGTTCATTCTCAATTAAGACATCTAAAAATTCCACATTTCTTCTATCAGTAGCCGTTAACACTCTTCCAGCAGAATCAGCCCCTGCAGCCAATGCTAACAATTCGGTAGCCATAGCTTCACAATGTTTTCCAGCAGCTATTAAATCCTTAGCCCGTTCTTTTTCTTTAGTTGACAAATTAATCAAAATATTCGACAACTTCGCAGCGGTATCAACTGGAGCCGGCGAAACCAAAACAAACTCCTCTATCGGTCGATTATTATGATTTTTCGAGCACACCATTAAATTATAAACGAATCTCCTATCTTCCATCAAATTGTACGTATCGTGTTCTTTAGACATCAAGTACTCTAATACATCATGGTGACCTTCAGAAGCGGCAAACCAAATCGGAGCACATCCGAGATTCGTTTCCGATTTCGGGGATGCACCGGATTCCGTTAAAAGCTTAACAACTTCGAAACAACCTGCCCTTGAAGCGTAATGAAGCGGCGTCCAACCGTTTTTATCAGTAGCGTTAATCTCCGCACCTTGACCTAAAGAACGAAAGCGGTATTGATTTTAGTTAGAGATTAAGTTAATTTAACTTTGATTTAATATGCAATTTTGTGTATAATATACATATTGTATGTTTTTTAAAATGATACATACCTAAAAGAACTTCAACCATCTGGTAGTGACCATTTGTTGCTGCTATATGAAGACCTGTTTTTCCATGTTTGTCATGACTTTGAAGAAGTTCTGCTGATCTGCTTAAAAGGAGCCCAACAACTGTTGTGTGGCCACCAAAACAAGCTAAATGCATTGGGTTGTAACCCTAAAAAAATGTAAATTAGTTAATGAACAATATTAAAAAGATAATATCATTACATTTTCATGTGTTGATGCATCAACTTGAACTCCAGCAGAATTCAACAATAATCTAACTACGTTTTCATTTCCAGAGAACGCTGCAAGATGTAACGGAGTCATTCCGGATTCGCTTCCAAGTGTTGGCACAAGCGAAGCACCAGATGGTGCATCAGATTTTACAGTTCCTGGGACATGTGCCAACAATTCCCGAACAGTATCAGCTTGTCCAAAATAAGCTGCTACATGTAAAGGGGTAACTCCCAGTTTCTTACTCGTGACTCTTAAAGAATTTGATGATCTTAATACTTCCAAAACTTGACCATGCCCGTTTTTCGCAGCTAAATGCACTGCTGTAAATCCATTTTTGTTTTCATCGGTAACATTAGCCCCCGCTCTAACTAAAGCTTTAACGACTTCTGCGTGACCCCCTTCAGCTGCGATCTGAAGCGCTGTGGCGTCGGTTAATTTATTTCTGGCGGTTATAACTCCAGTTCTATCGAATTTCATTAATTCTTCGATGACGGTAACACTTCCTTGGGCTGCGGCGATGTGTGCGCAAGTATTACCATCTTTAGTTGTGGCCATCACCAAACTGGGATGTTGTTGAAGAAAAAGTTTAGCTACTTCGGAGTAGTTGTTTTGGGCTGCCGCATGAATCGGTTTTTGTCCTTGATCATCAGTTGCATCGATGTTAGCTCCTAAATCCAAAAGAAGTTTGCAAACTTCGATTTGTCCAGCAGCTGCTGCAAGATGTAACGGAGTTTGTTTCTTTAATGTTAAAATGTCGATTACCGCGTTATGATCTTTGATTAGAAATTTTACTAAATCAGTATAACCGTTCATAGCGGCTAAATGCAAAGCTGTTCGTCCGTTTCTTGATTTTGAATTAATGAAAGCTTTGTTGGAAAGTAATGAGTCGCAGACTTGGATGTATCCTTTTTCGGCGGCTAGATGCAAAGCTGATCGACCGTCGTTATCAAAAACATCGACTCTCGCATGGTTCATTAAGAGGTTATTAACCAACTCGTAATGTCCACGATTTGCTGCAATTGATAAAGGTGTCCAACCAATTGCTGATTGCCTGTTTAAAGCTTTTTGTGTTTCAGTAACCGTCATGTGTGAAATCATCTCGATCAATACATCATTATTTCCAGCTACAGCCAAATAATGAAACGCTGATTCATGGGCTGGTTTTGCAACCAACTTAACATCGGCTCTATTTTCCAAAAGAATCTTTACAACCTCTTTATCAGCATTAGGAAATTCCACTTCATCCTTCGTTACCGTACAAATATAATGCAAAGCGCTTTCATCGTTGTTATTTAATTCATTAACGTAGGCGGTTACTTCATCTTCGCCTTTTTGGGTTTTAACATAATTTATGAGATGTTGAACAACATCTGGTCGACAACCTTTACATGCAAGATGAAGGGCGGTTTCACCGTGTTTATTTTTGTACTGAGGATCGCCCCCATCTTCTAGAAGTAAAAGTAAAGTTTGAAGATTTCCGTGTCTTGCTGCAACATGAACCGGAGTTTGCCCTTCTTCCGTTATTAAATTTGGTCCTGCACCCGATTTTAGAAGCATCAAAGCGCATCTTTCACCATCTTTTACTCTTGCTGCTATATGTAATGGTGTTTCTTTTAATTTTCCACCTACAATGATAAATTAAGCATAACATGCTATTATAAATTAAGTGATTTACCTCTGACATGAACATCAGCACCATAACCCAATAATGTTTCAACAACCGCAGGTTTACAAGATTCAACAGCGATATGAAGGGCGGTGTAATTTTCCTTTTTTGCGAAACAGGGTAATAAAAATTAATAGAATTCCCGGTTGTAATATCTTTGAAACTTTTTTTAGTAATTACTTACGTTCGTGGTAATGTCTACTTTTTCCCCTTTCTGTATCAGTGTGTTTATGATTCCCACGTGGCCATACCTAGCTGCGGTATGTATACTTCTTGCACCGTCCTTCGATGTGGTAGGAGAAAGAAATGAAAAAAAGAAACGTGGAAATAAATAAAACCCGAAACGACAACGAACGACACGAATAAAAATAAATTTACCTTGGCGTGTTATCTAAAAATTAATCTGTGGCATTTTAACCCCTTTTTATATTCGCCCCAGATTTCAAGTAGAAGAATGTCTAACAGAACTATATATCTTGAGAATATTTCTAGGTTTTTTGTTAGATTAAAATCTGAACTTAACCCACAGCGATTTATAAGTCAAGGTTAACGTTTTAATTAAAAATAAAAATATGGTATGGTGTTGAAAACAATAAATATGAGAAAAATTTTTTTTAATAACTCAGTTGTAGATAACTTGGACAGTGTCAAAACTAAAAGCTGCGTAACTTATAAAGAACAAATGGATAGACGTAAGACACTTGAAACTTGTAAATAAACTTTGTAATTAAAAGTTTATATGGCAGATAAAGCTAGAACAACAAAAAGTTATCCTGACTAACATCTAAGACTACAAGATATCCAAGGAGAGAGAGCAAAAAATTCACTTTGCTATAGGTAGTAATGGTAATAATCTACCTTCTAGAATATAATTTTGTAATTTGATTTCAGACTAACTTGGGAATGCGGTCAAACACAATGTGTAATACATTGAGTACGAAACAAAATAGAAATATTTCTTGAATAATACATACCTTATTTGGCATATGTAGATAAACTCCTTTCTTGAACAACATCGTAGCACAATCAGCATGCCCATTTAACGAAGCTATATGCATCAAAGTAGAACCATCTTTAGTTCGTTCAAAGATGCTAGCTTTGAATTTATCAGCCAACAACTCAATAATTCCCGCATGACCATTTTCAGCGGCAAGATGCATTGGAGTTCTGTCCTGATTATCAGTTACACTAGCGGAAGCTCTTACGCCATAAAAATATTTAACCAAAACTTCGTCTCCTTCCGCTGCAGCTATATGAAGTGGTGTTTGTCCTTCCCCATTTCTAATATCTACGCTCGTTCCATAATCGACCAAAATCCTAACCATATCGACGTCTTTTCTTCTTGCTGCTAAATGCAGCGCTGTATCTCCATTTGCCGCTGCAGCTTTTAACTGATCGGCGGTTTGAGAACTTAACAGTTCTCGACACATTGATTGATTTCCTGCCTCCACAGCTAATAATAACGGAATTTTTCCTTTCTGCAAAAATTAGAATTAAATGACAAAAATGAATTTAAGCATTAAATTACTTTTTCTCGTTCCTTTTTACGTAGCATACGCTTAAGTCTTAAAAGGGCCACAATTGACAAAGTCATTTTAAAATCGTTTTAGTTCTCGTTTTGATATGGTTTTTGTTGTATCTGGGTCACATTAGGGTTAGTAACCCTTTGGATGTATGCATGAATTCAAAGCGTTATGCAAATCGTTTCTATGCGGAGCTGTAACGCGATTAGCGATGCCACATTAACGAAAATAATGGTCCATTTTTCGGATTTTAAAAAAACGTTAATGTTTTTTATTGTATTCCAATCAGTTGATTTTTAAAAATAACTTCTTAGCTTTAATTGGTGTATGTATAAAATGGATCCTGAAAGTTAACAGGTGTCCAAGCACAACATATAAACATTAAAAAAAATCTTTGTAAATGGTTGTAAAAAAGTTTTAAAAAGACACCGATTTCACGACATTTTAGTATGTACTTTTTTTTATTTTTTATGTATCAACTAACATCGATGGACCATTCCGTACCAGTCTACAAAAGTAGACAACATGCAATGAACCGAAAACGTTTATATCCCGATAAAAAAAGCACCAATTTAAGTCTCAAACCTTAACAGCTCAAAATCTAATATTTATTATCTATAAGTCACTCGTAAAAATCTGAACGCAAACTGAACCAGTAGACATCAAGAAAACTACTGTAAATGTAAAAATCATTTCAAATTTTGTCGATTCGTGGGGGAAAAACTTTTTGGAGCCATCGAACGACCAAACAAAACGAAAACTTAACGATTTCCCTCAAAATTCGAGACGCAAATAGTAAATACGAGTGACATAAAATATGTTCTTTTGTCACGATATATTGAAATTTGGCTTAAAAAATGTACTTACCCCGTCTGGTCTTAATCGAATATCTTTTCCGGCGGCTGCTAAAAGTGCTCTTAAGATAGCTGTGGCAGTTCCCGTTTGTCTTGAAGCAACCAAATGAACCGGAGTTTGTTGCCTTGACTAAAAACATAAGAATATTTTTATTTAAGGAAATTATTTAACATTTTTTTTGTAGAAAGCTTTTAGGTGTGAACCACTAAAAAAGCTCGTTTAAAATCGACACCTCATCTCTATGGCAACTAAAAGCCTTTATTTGCTTTATTTAGATTGCGTGATCATGTGGAATTTTGTAAAGTTTTGTGAAATGTTTTTTTTTGTTATTATTACCCCTCCTGTTGAATAAGGATCCACTCCACGTTTCGTAAGGAGAAGTTTAACGACATCTTCTCTTGAATACATCGCCGAGATATGTAATACATTGTAGTTGTCCTGAAATAAATCAGACCATAAAAAAATATTTATAAAAAGTGATCTAAATCTAGATATTTTACAAACAATCTTTGAAATGTACACGATGCAAAACTTTGTTCGTCGAGTGTTTATACACGCAACTTAGTAGTAGGTAAAGTTAGTGTGGAATTTCTTAGAAATCGTCAAGTCACTTCAGAAAAGAAAAGTCACGTGAGAAAATCACGTTTAAATATAAATCATGATCTGATTTCAAATCTTTTGATCATTTTAGCATAAAATAATCAAAAAAAAATTGTTTTGGAACATATTTCTTTTTTAAATTAGACCATATCACGTTCATGATGCATTATGGGAAGCGTGATTTGACGCCCTCCATCACACAAATGGGTTTTTGAATTTTAATTGAACAATGGGGAAATTGATCGGTTTGGCCTCGATTTTCGGAAAGGGTAATCAGGATAAAATGTGAGGCTTGGCGCAATCTTAATGGATTAGATATAGAATTTTGAAATTATAAAAAAAGAGACTTTTTTTATTCAAAATTTTCTTTACTTACATTGTTTCTGGCACCAACGTCTGATCCTAAATCGATTAATTTATCCAATAGCGATGTCCTATTGTCCTTAACGGCGTACATCAGCGGTGTCATTCCGGTTGCCTGGAAACTCAGATTTTTAACGTTTTAATATCGAACAAACTTTGTCCTGCACGTGTCTCTTGTGTATTTATGACACGGCTTATTAAAAATGAATCAAAAATCTAAATTTATAAACGCAATACTTATTTATGAAATAAGTTGGGTAATGATATAGTTGAAATTTATTTTTTAACAAATTTTTATTAAACATTTTGGGCTCTTTATTCTTTATCGATTCCTTTCTAGACATATTTAGAACAAGTTGGATTGGAATTAATACGGTTTCTGGTTTTAATTAATGGTCGTTTTCCTTTAGTGGATTGTAGGAAGTTGTAAATAATTAATACGATCTTTATGTCACAGTTAGGGAACAAGTTACATGTTCAATTTCAATTCAAGGTGAAAGATCTTGTACTAGAATAAGTCATGGAGTCTTATCAAGATTTATGTTAAATAGAAACTGTAAAAAAAAGATTTGTAGATATTGTTAAAACGTAAATAATTTGTGGTGGGCTAAAATCTATTTTAATATTGCGTGGAAAACTTCTAGATAATAAAGAAATTCAACACTTTATAAAGATTGTATTGTATTGAAACATTTTAGTATATTTATTTATATATCAAAGGCAAGATGTGAAGCAGTTTAAACATTTCGAGAGAAAGATTGCGATTAATCTCGAGACTGTTTGAGATAAATCACGCCCGAGGTATACACAACAATTATAACTAAGTCCGTTTTGCCCGAGTATATAGAAATTGGCTCCCACAATGTTATTAGCAAACAGAAAACAGTAACAAAAACCAGAAATTCTGCAACGGTTAGAAAAAAATAAAAAAGAAAGCAACTCATTCATTACCGTTATAACGAAGAAAGCACAATAAAATATGAAAAAGCTACCTAAGGATCGACCATTAAGCCCAAAACTTAAAACCACCAAGAAAGTCGTTGCACAGAAATTTTGGCTTATAACACAAGATCCGTTCCTAACTTGTCCAACTAAACCTCTATCATGCTAGATTAGCAATGATCCACATTTGTTCTACAGGGTCTTCTCCTCCTTAAAAATGGTACTTTGTAGTCTAAATGATATAGTAGAGTACTAAAAAGATGCTTAATGTGTGACTGCTTTTGCTAACTCGATCCAAACACCTAACGATGCTCGTATTCGTGAAGACGAGTGTTTCACTCTCCACGGTAGATGAATCAATAGAGGGAATCAATAATAATGAGTATTCAAACGGATTCCTCAGATTAGGAGAAATCCGCCATCAACCTCCGCCTCGTTATTCGATAATTGTTCGATCCACAACTGAAGCATAAGCTGCTGTTTGCATCACACTTTAAAAAACGTCTTGCTGTTATCTTTTTGGACGCCCAGAAGGCTTGTTTGCCTCTGTGTGAAATATCAACCTAATAAATCATTTTCTGTCAATCGTTCTCTTCTCTCCATCACACACAATCTCTTCTGCCACGATATCTACGATCAAATTTTCGAAGTATTTGAGAATACTACCGGTTGCCTTGTTCAAAACTAAACTTCTTATTCCTTTTCTGTCAATCCACTTCACTATTTTATAATGCGAATCCAATGATCCATCATTTCAGTCTACCTTACTTCTAAATACGTAGCCAGTCAAATTAAATTGTGCAACTTAGAATCCAATAACCCCGAGTAGGAAGAGTAAGATTTAATAAAATATTGAAAAAAATGTATAATATAGTATATCGCCAAAACGGGTAAAGTTCTAAATAGAAAGGTTATATTTAAACAGTTATATATTAGTATATAGTCCCATATAAATGGTACATTTCGAAAAACATAGTTTACTTAATATGGGTAGACTTAGAAAATATTACAAGAGATTGAATTTGAACTCCTAACCTTCTTTCTATTATATAAAAATTAAATTGAACAAACAATTGTATCATATCCAACTAAGAATACAATATAAAGTGTAATAAATAAACATAAATGTATTCAAACAAGATTATTTTTGTTAAATTATTCTTTTTTTTGCCTCTTTTTAACTTTTTGTATATAATTGTACAATTACGGTCAATTTTCAATTGCATAACATTGAAAAAGATTTTATCATCAACACATGTTCAACCTTGAAAATGTTATTTATTTAACATTTTCTGCACAACATGTGTTTATGTTCTGATGATATAATTATACTGATTAATGTAGCAAATGATGTAATTTTTAAATTCTTTAACCCACATCTATTTTAAATTTTTTTTACCTGATCTGCAACTCCTAATAAAGGCACTGTGTTGGCATCTTCTCCGGCGTTAGCAATGGCTTTTTCAATAGATTTAAGGATCTGGTCAACAGGTCCCCATTCTCCTTTTTGACAGAGACTGAGAACCTTTTGGGCAGCATCCCTCGTGGAAGCCCCTGCGCTTTGTGGTTTGGAAGCCGGAGTCTCATCCGTTTCCGCATTAGATCCGGTTTCATCTTTCCCGTTATCCTTATCCTTGACATTATCTTTGCTACCCGTTTTATTAATTTTACCTTTATCGTCTTTAGGTTCATCGTTTTCCTTCTTATTTTCTTTTTCTTTATTTACGTTTCCAGCACCTTTGCTTCCGGCGCCTTTTTTACCACCCGATGTAGACATAGTAGGTGCGAACGCACATATCTCTTAACGCGAACGATTCGACGAGTTCAAGTGAAATGATTTTCCACGTATTTTCCGTAAAAATAAAACTAACATTAACCGGAAACACGCTGCTATTAAATCCGTTGTTTGCAACATTTTTGTTTAGTCAATAATCGAGGTGTTTGTTACGACCGGAATCGAAATTTTCATTGCCGGAAAAACCTTTAAGAACGAAAAATGAAACAACAAAAATGACTTTTCACCAACCCAACCAACAGTCATCTAACAAAGTGTGCTCGAAGTCGTTTTCTTATAAGAACAGATTTTCTTCGGTCAATCGAAATACCCCCTCTTCAATGTGATCGCGCGGTTTTGGAAAAGCCCTGCGCCTAAGTCCGAGAAATCCCCACCACTTCATAGAAATAAGGGTGTTTTGCACACAGTTTTGCGATTCACGACGAAACTAACAAAGGCAGCAATGTGCATGCGGCCAAGTTGACCTAGAAAGTAATTATATTGCGACTCCCCTCAAAAGCTAAACTTGTTGTTGGTGGTTAATTTTTATTGGCGTTGGATTTTCTTTTTACAACGCCGCAGTAGTATTAGGACGGCGAGCTTTCGAAAGCTTTTCCAACGTAAATTCAACGATCGATACGCAACGAACCATTTTTTTCCTTTCTTTTCTTCTTGGTGATTTGCATATTGCTTACGTAGATGAGAATTACGTCACAACAATTTTTTGAAATGACATGTTACATCTATATTAATTGAAACTAGATATTCCTAAAAGTAATATATAAATTCATATCATATGATTCATAAAAGTACAGTTGATATGGTTTTTTGAAAATATTCTATTATTTTTTATTATAAAAAAGTTATTAAAGAAGAAATTACCAATTTCTTCTTCAATAATTTTTTCCTGAAAATTTCAATAATATTATCTCATAATTTTTATATCATATCATAAACTAGGACCTTTAAGTTTCAATATAACATACATATCATATCATGATTCTTAAAAATACAGTCGATATGACTTTTTGAAAATTTAATATCATCCTTAATTTATAAATTTGGTAATTTCTTCTCTAATAATTTTTTCCTGAAAATTTCAATAATATTATCATATAATTTTTATATCATATCATAAACTAGGACCTTTAAGCTTCAATTTAACATACATATCATATTATGATTCTTAAAATCACAGTCGATATGATTTTTTGAAAATTTAGTATCATTCTTAATTTATAAATTTAGTAATTTCTTCTTTAATAATTTTTTCCTGAAAATTTTAATAATATTATGTTATAATTTTTATATCATATCATAAACTAAAATCATTAATCTTGAATTTAACATACGTATCATATCATGATTCTTAAAAACACAGTCAATATGATTTTTTGAAAATATTGTATTATTTTTGATTATAAATTTGGTAATTTCTTCTTTAATAATTTTTTCCTGAAAATTTCAATAATATTGTTATATAATTTTTATATCATATCATAACCTGGTATCTTTAAGCTTCAATTTGATATACATATCATATCATGATTTATAAAAACATAGTCGATTTTTTGAAAATTTTGTGTTGTTTTAATTTATAAATTTGGCATTTATAAATTAAATCGTTAATAGAAAAAATAAAGATAAGCCCGATGTCATAACATGCTTATCCATTGAAGTTCAATTTTTGTTTATGACTGAATAAGTAGAGCGTTTAACTTTGATATGTGTTGAAACAACGAGAGGGGTTGGCGAACCTTCAAAGAAAACGACGCGTGCTAACCAAAGGCACGCTATACGTCCGGTTCAGTCCCTTAAAGAAACTTAGATTTACCTTCATTTCAAGTGGTAACCCAAATTTCCAAATACAAATTTAGCCTTTTTATCAAGCAAGGTCATAAGATTCATTTTACGTTATTGTTAAAAATAAAAATAAACGTTCTTATCAGATTAAAAAGCATCTAATAGCCGTTTATATCGACTTATCATTATCAGCGTATTTAACATTAATTATAAAGAAATAAAACAACTTATCTTTCTATTTCTATGAGGGAATTTGGTCAGTGTAGATTATGTCGAAGGTTTCAAAAATTGTTTCTTATGGAAAGATTGGGTAAAATATTTTTTTTTTTAATCAAATTTTTCCATTCATCTCTTTTAGATGGAGATTTTCATCGACGTTAAGTTATAAACACCAAGCATGTGAAGAACCACTTAGGCACATTTCCATTGGTACATTACTTGAGGAATCTGCAAAAAAATATCGAGATGTTCCCGCAATTATCTCAATGCACCAAAATGAAACTCTAACATATGGTGATTTATTAAAAAAATCGGATCAGTTAGCAGCTTCTCTTCAAAGTCAAGGTTTGGAAATCGGCGATAGAGTTGGTGTTTATCTTCCTAATCAATATGAATGGGTTATTATTATGTTGGCATGTTGCAGAGCTGGATTAATTACAGTAAGTATTAATCGAAATAATAATTTAAAATACGCACTTTAAGTTTTAATTTATGTCAGGTGGCCTTAAATCCTTTTTACGAAACCCCCGAAATGGAATACTGCATTAATAAAGTTGGGATAAAGGCTTTATTTACTGGGGATAAAGTAAAACAACAAGATTATTACGAAATTATGAAAAATGTGGCGCCCGAATTACCCAATTGTGATCCCGGAAAATTGAAGTCAAAAAAAGTGCCTACCTTAAAAACTATTATACACTCAACAGATAAAGAAAATAAGTGAGTATTTTTGAAACAACATAACACCCAAAAAATTTTTTTTAATTTTAGAGGAACATATACTTTCAACGAAATTCTTAATTTTTCAAATGAAACTCAAATCAAAAATATCCAAAAACATCAACATTTAATTGATTCAGACCTACCATGTAATATTCAATTCACATCAGTAAACAATACCCCCAAAAATAAATCTTTTAAAAACATTCTAAATACATTTTTTTAGGGTACAACTGGAAAACCAAAAGCAGCCGTAATCAGTCATTTCAATCTGGCAAATAACTCCTATTTCATCTCAAAAAGAATGGAACTAAACAAAAAACACCATAAAGTGTGCGTTCAAGTTCCACTTTTTCACGCTTTCGGAACAACTATAACGATAGCTTCTGCGATTCATTTCGGAACAACTTTAGTTTTTCCAAGTTTAAGTTACAACCCTGAAAATAATTTGGATGCATTAGCCACCGAAAAATGCACCATAGCTCATGGAACTCCAACAATGTATGTTGATTTAATCAATGTTCAATCAAAACGGAAAGAAAACTTATCGTTGGAAGTTGCTTTAAATGGTGGTTCTCCATGTTCTCCAGAACTGTTACGTAAAATGATCGATGTGTTGGGTGTTAAACGTGTTAAATCGGTTTATGGATTGACAGAAACGACCGGGTCATCATTTCATTCACTTCCTGGTGAATCCCAGGATCTCTCGATTAACACAGTTGGTCATCTTCAAGAACATTTGGAGGCGAAAATTGTTGATGAAAAAGGAAATACGGTTCCTATAGGAAAAAGAGGGGAATTATGGATAAGAGGTTATTCTGTTATGTTAGGATATTGGGGTGATGAAGAAAAAACTAACGAATTAATTACACAATCGAAATGGTTAAAAACTGGGGATCAATTTATTATGTTCGAAAATGGTTATGGAAAATGTGTTGGACGGATCAAAGACATGATTATTAGGGGCGGTGAAAATATTTTTCCTAAAGAAATTGAGGATCTATTAAACACACACCAAAATATTTTAGAAACACAAGTAAAAATAAATTTAAAAAAATAATAGACAAAAAAATTTTAATTTTATTATTATGATTATAGGTTATTGGGATAACTCACGAAAGATTAGGTGAAGAAGTTTGTGCGTGTATTCGATTAAATGATGAAGCTATCGATTTGAAATTGGATGATGTAAAAAAATTTTGCGAGGGAAAATTAGCCAAGTTTAAAATTCCTACTCAATTAAAAGTTATGAAAACGTTTCCGAAAACAACGTCGGGAAAAGTGCAGAAACATATCTTAAGGAAATTAATTGAAAAAGAAATAAACTAAAATGTATTGTAAAATTAATTTGTAAAAAGATGATAAAAAATCATTTCTCGTTCTTCATCGATTTTAAACCAATATATATGTTTAATATATATGTCTGCAGTCGATGAGCTGTAATATATGTTGTCCAATTCCAATGGTAGTATCGAGATGATACCAATTATAGCGCTTCGGCATCAAGAGACCTCTTCTTCGTCTATTCAGTCTTCTTTTTCCTTCTGGTTTCATATCGAATATTTTCTTTGGCATACTTTTCTCATCTATTCGAACCAAATGGCCATACCATTACAGCTGTTCTACCTTCTACCTCCTTTACTAGAGCTTTCAAGCTTAGTTATTCTCTGACTCTATTGTTTTGTACTGTGTCTTCTGGTTTTTCGTATTTTTGCATTGGTCCCTTTCAACTTCTTGGCTACGTCCCAGAACTGTATCTGGTTTTTCTTATAATTTTCCCTCAACTTCCGGATTCTTTCTGCTTCCTCCTGATCTGCGTGTATCTTGTATAGTTCCTGATCTGCGACTGTTCTCATTCTCTTAAATCTATTCCATACTTCTTTTTCTCTTTTAGCTTATCCTTTACCATTTTGTTCTTCTTTGATTTTGGCCCGTCTTAATTGGTTTTGTTGTACATACTTTGTTGTGGTCTTCTGTCTCTACTTCTTGCTCTTATAGACTTGTGAATTAATTTACAAATGTAAATTAAATTGATTTCGTCTACAATTGACATTTGTAGTATGTCTGAGACAAATTCCAGAAACTTGAACACCGTAAATTTTGAGCCAACCCAATATGTAAACATATAATTATTGTATATAAACTACTAATATAGTCTTAAAAATACTAAAAATTGTTCTTAAAATAATAATATATTAAAGATTACGTAAGATTTTTTAAGAAACTCATTCCATGAGATGCAATTAAGATGGAATGTACGATTGATAAATACAAAAACATAAATTTCGTCATGTCCTTAATTACAATACCTTTGTTGTACTTCCACATACAAAAAAAATACAATAATTGATATGCAATTACACGAGTTTTGCTTCGTTTAATTAAAAATAAATTGCTTGGGAAATTTGCCAAAGGTTTCCACGTGGTTATAAAAAACAATAATAACACCTTCTTTCTTCACGATCTTTCTTAATGTTATTTTAATGCAATCTAATTAAATCAGAATCGCTTTTAAAGTTTAATTTAAATAATTAAAACGATCTCGAAACATTTATTTTAACCGAGTTACTCTAAACATTTTGGCTCAAAATCAAAAAAAAAGTTTTTCCACTAAAAGTAACAAAGAACATCGTTCCATTACAATTATTTTTAGACGTGCACATTAAATTACGTAACTTAATGTACAGAGACTACTCTAGACGCCGACGCCGCGGTTGATTCAGTTTTAAATAGGGAGGCATCGGCGTCTCGGCGCCTTTAACTAAACCATTAAGGACAGAAAAAGATCGTTTAAGAGTAACTTTTAAACATTTTTTTTCGGTAATATGGGAAGTGGAATCGAACCGACCGTTTCTGTTGAATTTGAAGTTTTTGGCAGAGTTCAAGGTAATATTCTTAAAGAATTTTATTCTTTTTTCTTTGAATGAATTTGTTATTTAGGTTGTTACTTTACTAAATATTGTAAGGAAACGTCTGAACATTTATCGTTATCGGGTTGGGTTAAAAATACTAAAAAAGGAACGATTGTTGGTAAAGTACAAGGTCCTAGAGGAAATATTGAACAAATGTAGGTATTTCTTTTGAATCAATGTGATTTATTTTTACGCTGTTTTCTTTTTCTAGGATAGTTTGGTTGACAAATACAGGATCACCTGGTTGTACGATTGAAAGATGTGAATTAACCAATTGGGAGAATTTGGCAAGACCAGAATTTAAAGACTTTAGTATTAGGTTTTAGGAATTTTTTTATTGTTATAAATAATACTTTCTACTTTTTCAAATAAATCTATATTTTTTAAAAACGAAATTGTTTGACTTTAAACAAAAAATAAAATACATTTTTATGTAGAAACATTTAATCTTTATTTCTTTTTAATTTTTTTAAAAATAAAATTCTCCCTTATTGTTAATCCTTTGGAAAAGATAAAGCATTCTTAGATGGATTAATAAAATCGTGAATCATTTTATGTATAACCTCATTAAGCAATCTTGTACCATCCCTCAAACCCATATCTTCCTTTTGCGTAATAAATTCAGCGCAATATCTTAATTTAGTATCCCCCGAATTTGCTCTAAGTGTAGCTTCAATTCCATTAATAAACTCAAAAGTAATCATTTGCATATTCGGTTGAACGGGAAAAACAGTCAACCTCCTATATGGATCACTGTTATCAAAACCAAGTGTTATATCACGAATATGAGTTATTTCAAATTTTCCTTCCCCAACCGATCTTGGATAAATTTTTATAAACTTTGACGACGGTGGATTACAACTACACCCTTTTCTTTTCTTTACTGTAGCATCTTCGTACGGTTCCGGAGCGCAATTACATGATTTTTTTGGCTTTTCCGGTACGTTATCTTTGTACTCACGAAGATCGTTAAAAATGGATTCGATTACATCGTAATTTGCGGCGTTGAAATACGAACCATAATAAATATGAAACCCGTATTGGCTATAGATTTGATCTAACTTATCATCTAGTGTAAGATCCTTCGAAGTTAAATAGTTAACCATCGTCATTATTTGAATACTCGCTATAATTCCATCTTTATCGAGAATTTCATCGGTAAACATATAACCGTAAGCCTCTTCGAAACCAAAAATTACTTCTTTACCTTTTTCTCTTAACTTATATGCTTTGTTGGCTGAAAATAAATAGTGAATTAGTTAAAAAAATATTTAAACTACATCTACATCAAGTAGGTATCTAATAAACTTAATCTTAAACTAAGTCGAAGAAATCATCAACTTTCGTAATGCTACAACAGATAATTTTCTCAATATCTATATTATTAAATGATAATAGAAAATGATCTGTTAAGTTCCTCCAAGGAGTTTCGAAAGCACATGGAGAATTTGCATCGTGAACAAGAAACATTATCAATTTGGCAAAAACAAAGACATTATTAAAGACAGATATTTTGCAATGGATGTTCTGCTTAGCCTATTTCCTTTACAGTTGCATATAGAGAAAGTGGCCAGAACTACCATTTATAGGTTTAAGCAATATGCCCAAAACTGCTCCGACATGTCCTAACAATAAACTGCGGAAGACACTATAAGCACTGATATTGTGCTATCGTTCAGCTCTGAGAACGGAGCTATAAGTTCAGCTCCGAAGATTCCAAGATGTGCCAAACGTGAAGCGATGTAATGTTAGAAACAGAAACTTTCTCAACTGTCTCCAGAATCATAACGATTTTTGGTCGATTTCACTCAATTTTCAACGATGGTGTTAAAGAAAATTAAGTTGAATAATCTTACCGATCCATCTAAATCCTGGAAGTGTTTCAACAAAATTAAATTTTTCTTCTCGTGCCATAGTTCTTAAAATTTTTGAACTAACCGTAGTCGCAATCATATAAACATTTTTTAAATCTAACGTTTCTTCGTTCCTCTTTTTATACTGATCTAAAGTCCACCAACCAAACAAAGCACCTAATTCATTTCCATCAAAAGTTTTCCATGTTATATTGCTAAAATGAAATTATAATAGTGAATATAGTACTATTAATTAAATTCATACTCTTTTCCCAATTGAGAAAATGTTATCCTACATCCATCAGGATCAGCCGCTATAACATACTTAATCTTATTTGTTTGAGCCAGATTTTTAGCTTTCTTTATTGATTTAGGATCTTCGGGGTTTGGATTTTTAGTCGTTGGAAATGTTGGATCGGGGTTAATTTGGCTGGGAACCGGTTCTATCATCAAACAGTGATTATCGACGACTTTTTTGAACACTTCATAAGTTACTCCATGAAGAGCGGTAAAAACAAATTTATTTGTAGATTTTGAAGCAATCGCTTTATACTCATTTATTATGCTGTCGCTCACTAATTCTACATAACACTCAAGTACTTCATCGTAAGGATCTGTTAACATACAAGGTTTTGCGTACTCTAAACCATCAGTATCCCAACTCTGCGCTCTGGGTTCTAAGCGTGTTAAAATAGTGGCATCTATCTGCTCATCTGTTGGTGGAATTATTTGACAACCATTTGATGTAAATATCTATGTTACAAAAAAAAATAATTTGGATTTACACTAAAAAGTAGTATTTTTAATTATTACCTTAATTCCATTGTAAGTTTTTGGACAAGCTCCTCCTGAAATCATAATACCAGCTACACATTCAAATAGTGTAACCGCATAAGGAACAAAAGAAGTTATAACTTCTTTACTAAACATTCTGACTGGATAAGTTTGGCCAATAAAAATATTAGCGAGAAGTTCTGAGTATCTTTTACTATTATAACGTCCATCGTAACCAATAACAACACCGAACAGTTTTAAATCGTCCTTATTAAGATCTTCTAAATACTTAACTAATCCTTGGCCGATTTGAATTACCATCAAATCATTTATACCATTAAATCCCGGTACCATATCACCTTTAATCGTTCCCCCGACGATTTCTAACCGCTCCATAAACATATTCTTAAGAGTATTTAAATCTTTTTTGTGTATTAACGTTTTTACCAAGTCGGAATTGCAGTGATTTTTTTCCCATTTTAGGTAGTCTTTGATGATCGGATCGAGATTTTTGTCACCTGTTTTGAATTCGTCATCAAAACTATCAAATGGATCATTCGCTACGCATTTTATAACACCTTTCTGTTGGTTTTTTAAAGAACCCATTAAGGGAAATTACTTATAATTTAGGTGGAATTTTCTAATTTTTTTTTCTTTTTATATATAATGTCTTAATGACATTTCCTAAATATGTACGTCATAGAATAATGCAGAAAACGATAATGATAATTAATTAAATCCAGGTGTATTACTCTCATATGACGAGGATGGTAAAAGCATTGATTATACTACTCCAGATTGCTAACCATATGTATAAAGCCGGCAACTGTATATGTATATAAATGTATATGGGTTGCATCACGCACTGTTTATTCTCAAAAAGAGAATAAATGTAGATAAGTGAGATAGAGTCATAATAAGAAAAGAGACGATCAATTAGCCCCGACCTCAAAGGACGTCACCTATATATATATATACACTGTATCTAAATGACATCAAAGAAATAGCATCTGAAAAAGTTTTCTTCATCTCTCTCATTATCCGAGGAATAAAATGCTTTCACTTTGCTCAAGGGTTTAATGTTTAAGGGTCGATAGCTAACAATTAATACATAAAGTTCATTGGTGTTACTTAGATACAATCGTTACTATTTAAAATTCTCCTTAGAAAGAATCTTAAAAACGCACCAAAATGAAGTAGGACTAATAAACATTTTACTGAAGGAAATAATAACAATCTTTAAATGTGGAAATGTCTTTTAGTGTATCTTGTTTAGTGATTTGATGGCGTGAATTGGCGCACGCATCTATTAAAGAAAAAAAAATTAAATAAAATAAAAGTTATGTAAAGCAAACGCTAGGGCCTCCGTGCCTAACCGTGGGATCAACTATTGAAACAAATTATGAAAGAAATAAATAAATATAATCTATTTAAATAAATTAAAGAAAAAATACAATATTTAAGGCATATATTCGAACATAGACGCTACAATACTAATTATTATAAATTATCTTATCGCATATACTCTAATAACGACTACTTACATAAACTAATTTAGGTACTAAAATAAAAATAAAAAATTCTTATTAGCGGTAATGGTGAGGAAAACGAGAATAAATAAAGAAAACTTAGCGTAAATCTAGCTTAAACTATGGGCACAAACGAGAGAAGAATCATGTTTAAAGAATCTGCCAGTTCCAAGATTCCGGAGGAGACTGAAAGCTATTGTCACGGAAAATCCGATATATACCATTGACATGTTTTTCCAATTTAATGTTTGAATTCAATTTGTATTATATCACAATGTAATTATTGTTAAATTGACGCACTCTATGCTTTTTTGTAAAATGGAGAAATAAAATATTATTATTAAAATATTAAAAATATTATTCCTTGTGGAAAATATATTGAATACTTCCATATCTTGAGCTAGTGTACCATATGTACATATGAATAGAACATTCGTGCAAAATTATTTAATATTAAAATAGTATTATTTAAGTGTTTGCCGAACCTATCCTTTGATATCGACTCCTTCCGCTGACAGAATGAGAGTCATTCGGCTTGCGCATACTACATATCAATCCTATTATTCCACGTGGAAAATAATCATGATGCAGATATACCCACTTCATAGGCATGCTGGAGGGTTTGTAAGCCTCGCTAACGACAATGCCTCCATGAAAGTACTACCTCTCATTGAGATCAGAGCATCATGGTTATTTTCCACGTGGAATAATAGGATTGATATGTAGTATGCGCAAGCCGAATGACTCTCATTCTATCAGCGGAGGGAGTCCATATCAAAGGATAGGTTAGGCAAACACTTAAATAATACTATTTTAATATCAAATTATTTTGCATGATTATTCTATGTATATGTATATATGGAAAACTAGCAGCTTCAGATATGGAAATAGCCAACGTTCCACATTGGAGCACCAGACTCATCCGCGAGTCCATCGAAATAGAGAAGAACGGTACCTTCAACAAGAGAGATGACGCCCTGCACTTGTCAGCCACTTGGAAAACGGTCCTACACCGTCCCCGATCCGGAGCAGCCTTCCTGAGGGAGGGGATTTTGGGCAGACCATAGAGTTTGGGGCACCTGCTTGATTTTTCCCGAGGGATTAAGGTTTTCTTGATCTCGGGGCCTATTGGAGATGCCTCTATTATCGATTTGGTGGTTTTTTTCCAGGTAAGTTGTATGGTTTTTTGCTGCTAAAAAAAATTAAAAGTCGTATAAACGATGAAAATATTTTATTTCGGTGCTATCTTCGAAGATTTCGAACGATTATCGTTCTTCTTCAGGCAGGACTAAGGAACATTCAGATATAACAAAAACACAGATAAAAAATATATATAATTACCGTCGGTGTAGGAGCATCGAGAGTGAAGAGAGTATTGTTTCAGAGTATTTCTTCAAAAAGATTCCGTTTACGAAAAATTCAAATGTAAAAAAACTTGAAGAGTAAATTGAAAAATCCAAAAAATTAAAATGGCGTTTTTCTATTCATCGTAAATCTCGTTTTTCAAAGTGTTTAAAAATAAATGTTAAAAATTAACGACAAAACAAATTACCAAACCTGTAGAGAAAGAACCATAATAACTAAATATAAGAAATCAAAAAAGAAAGAAAATTTTTAAACTTACAATTAACACGTTAAAATTTCCTTTAAAATTAAATAACTTGAGTCAACATGATGAGGGATGAAATTGGACTGAAGGTCATAAGGAACGTTCGCCAGATGATAAAGGTGAAAGAGTGAGGGAAAACGAGTGGGAATAAGAACGTCAACATAAAATCTTTCCATACTAAATTAATTCTTCGCATCATTAAAAATCTGAAACATAAAATTAAAATAGAAAATCGTATTGTTACCATGGGAGACAAAAATGCAGGCCTCGTTGAGTTGGATAAAGAGTCATACATAAAAAAGACATTAACTTTTTTCAAAGAAAATAACATTTTAAAAATTAAGAATAATTTTATCTTTGTTTGTTTATTTATTTATTTATCTTTATCTCTCTAGCTCGACCTCTAGCTCTTCCAGGGATGCGTTCTTCTTCCGAAAGGTTTTCTTCTTAGAAGAAACAACATATGCTTGTATAAAGCTAGATCTACACGATACGCGAACTGGTTCGCCACTTCATTGAAGTATCTCTAGCCAAGTACCCCTACCTCAAGTACCTCTATCTCTATCTCAAGTACCTCTATCACTACCTCAAGTATCTCTATCTGAAGTACCTCTACCTCAAGTACTATAATAAATGTTTCAATATTTTATTTAGGATGGACTTTAATGGAAATCCTCTACTCTCCGCTCAAGCTCGACCTTTTAATATATTTTGTTTCCGTGCCTTTTAACCCCTTGTCTAATTACTATATTATTTCAAAATATTAATAAAAGATAAAGCTTGTTTACAATTAAAGACCAATAATTTTAGGTTTAATAACTAGTTTTAAATAATAATTATAGATATTTAAAGCAAATAAACTAAAATAAACTCCGCCTGCGACGTTAAGCCCGCCTTTACCAACTTTTTCCGTAGAAACTGGTGGAAACAACCTGTCAGTTATCTCGGGATTTCCCCAAGTACTTAACTTAAAACCAGATAGAACAACTCTTAAAATTGTTCAAAGTATTGAAAAAATTTCTCTAAAAATTAATATTATTTTTTAATGAAAATAAACTGGTAGAAACAACCGGTTTTTACGGAAAACGTATAATGTTTTCATACAATAAAATTTTATTTATTAATTAAAAAAGAAATACTAAACAATTTTTATTATTAGTACAAGAAAATATAAGAGGGGGAATATAAATCAAAAATAGTGCTGCCATCTCTTAATCATATCCATTATTATTATAAAATCCACCAGCGCCCCCATAGCGGACAAATCCAAAAATAACACTTTACGCGTTACCAATTTTTACGTAGCGGTTAGCAGTCTGGTATAAAATAGTCAATGGTAAAAGTAACATTTATGATTAATGTACGGTTGCAATCAAAAAATTATAACTTATAACAATCAAACATGCAGAGTTGGATTTAAAAAATCGTAACAACGATGATTAGGAGAAATAAAAAATTATTTGTGGTTTCCTTTAAATTGCCTTTTTGTTTCATAACGATACCTCAATTAGTTTTTGAGATACGTAAAGATTATCCGAATATTTTTATGTTTAAGTTTATGTAAGGTTGCAATCAAAAAATCATAACTCCTAAATTTGAAGATTCGAAGAAATGATCTTCAATACATAAAATATTAAATAAATTTACTTTAAATTGCATTTCATTTCATGATGATATCTCAATTAGTTTTTGAGATACGATTTTTTTAATATCAGCTCTTAATGTTTAGAATAATCAAACAAAAAAATTGAGTTTTTAATTCATTTAACGTCAGAAAACTGATTCAAAACAAAAAGAATTTAGTAATTGGTAAATAAAAAGTCAATAAATTTTTATATTTATTATTCTTACTTTGCTTTCATTATTTTTAGTTTCAAAATAAAATCATCCCTTATTTGCTTTAATACTTTCTTAAAGATAAACCGTTTTTAGTCGGATTAATAAAATCACAAATAATTCTATGAATAACTTCACTAACCAATCTCCGTCCATTTGATATACTCATACTCCTCTTTTTAACAATTAACTCCGCGCAATATCTCAATTTTGCTTCTTTGGGGTTCATTCTAAGTGTGGCATTAATACCATTAATGAATAAAAAAGTTATCATTTGCATATCTGGTTGAATAGCAAAGGTTGATTTTCTATCAGGTTGACTATTATCGTAACCAACCGATACATCCCGAATGTAATCGATACAAAATTTTCCATGTCCAACCGATTGAGGATAAATTATCTGATTCGGATTTTCATAATGTCCAAACGCACAATTACACGACTTTTCCAATTTATCCTGCACGTTATCTTGTTGGTGATGACGAATTTCGTCAAAGATTTTCTCAATCACCTCATAACTTTGAGCGGTAAAATATGAGCCAATGTTGATATGAAATCCATATTGGGTGTAAATTTCATCTAGTTTATCGCCAATACTTTGCTGCTGTGAATTTAGAAACGAGACTATCGTCATTATTTGTACACTGGCTATTATTCCATCTCTATCTAATAACTCATCGGTGAACATATAACCATAATCGTCGTCAAAACAGAAAATTACTTCTTTACCTTTTTGTTTTAAATCATATGCTTCGTTAGCTAAAAAGATTTTTTTTTAATTACAATTTAGTATTATTAATTTTATTCGTGTCTGAGGATGACCTAGCGATTGAAATCTGTACCACCGAATACATTGATAACGATCTTAATGATAATGATGAGTTTAGAATCAATTTTATATAAACGGAAAGATTAATTATTGTATCATGTTTTTAAATGTATCCTTTTTGAAATTAATATAAATTAAGTAATTTGGTACTGCCATCTATAGTCGCGGAGAAAAGTAATGCTTACAATCGGAAATTATACATGTTTACCTTCTCGGCGCTAAAGCCGATAAAACCTCGTATTGGACTAGTCCACTAGATGGCTAAATATGAACATAAAAATTTTTAGTTTTTATTAATCAATTATTTTTAAAAACAATATGTGTTAGAGACGACATAACTGTGTTTAGAAAAAATTATTTTTAAATTACCGATCCATCCAAATCCCGGAAGAGTTTCAACGAAATTAAATTTTTCTATTTCTGCCATGGTTCTTAAAATTTTTGAGCTAACACAACTAGCAATCATATAAACATTTTTTAAATCCACCTTTTTTTCTTTCTTCTTCTTGTACTGATCTAAAACCCACCAACCGAATAAAGCTCCCAATTCGTTAGGATCAAAAGTTCTCCATGTTATATTACTGAAATTAAAATATAAAAAAAGTTATAAAAGAATCATTATTACTTTCATACTCTATTCTGAGCTTAGAAAAAATCGTTCTGCATCCATCAGGATCGGCTCCAATAACATATCTAAGCTTACTCTTTTGAGCTAGATTTTTAGCCTTATTCAATACCAGTGGATTTTCAGGATTCGGGCTTTTAATCAGAGGAAATTTTGGATCTGGTTCGATTTCAGTAGGGACTGGTTCTATTTTCACACAGAGATTGTTAACGACTTGTTTAAAAATATCATAAGCAACTCCGTGTAGTGCGGTGAAAACAAATTTAATAGGCGATTTTGAAGCTATCACTCTATACTCTTTTATTATAATGTTATTCACCAATTTAATGTAACTTTCAAGAATTTCTTCATAAGGATCCGAAAACAATGCCAAATCGGCATATTCTAAAATTTCGGTGTCCCAACAATGTTGCTGAGGTTCCAAATTTTCCAAAATAAACTTCTGTATTTCTGACTCCATGAGTGGGGTCACTTGACAACCATTTGAAGAAAAAATCTAGGACAAAATATAAACTTTTTTTTTAGAAATTGATGTTTACGACAGAATTTAAGTGTATCTTTAGATGTTTTTGCAAATAACTTATTTGTTATGTTATTTTATCTGATTTTAGTACTTATCAAATAATTTCGATGTTTATCAAAAGATGACACTGTAAACGAACAATTGGTTTGCATTTAATACTAAGTTACGTAATAGCTACGACAAAGTTATTCATCTTTCTAAGACTGCACAAAACCAGCATCAAACGATAATTGCTTTGTTCAATCTGGAGTTAAATTGTACATGCATTATTTAACGCAGTAGAAGAAACATTCAAAATTGCAATTTGATCATTTGCCAAAGTTGCCATCAATCCACATACTTGCGAAAAAATCAACCAATGTTTCCATGTCTTGACTATAGTCATTTATTACCGCATCTTATCGTTTAAACCTTGAAGACTAGATATTAGATTGAGTTAGGTTGAATTGGATTGGATTGGGTTAGGTTAGGTTGGGTTGAGGGACAAATGCTGGGATTGATACTTGCTGCAGGGAGAAGGCTGAAAGAAGACTATTTCATAAATCAAAGATATTTTTATTTTATTTCGTCATGCTCCCAAAACCATGAACTGCAACGAGGTCAAAGAAGGGCAAGGGAAAAAAGGACGCCTAAAAAGTTAATGAAGGGAAAGACCAAAAAAGATCTCAACTAGGTTTCAACACTATAGATTGTTCCGAGCGAGTATTAAGACGTCATGGAAGACAGGACAAGAACGAGAAAGAAAGGAAGAAGAAGGGAAAAAGAAAATAAGAAGCAACCCCGAAGAAATGCCCTGGTGGGTGGTTCCGGGGTATGGAAATGGGGAGTTTTTAGTGGGTAGCTGTGGCTATGATAGCAGGAAAAGGTAGGAAAAGGCAAGATGTTTGTCAAAACGCCTCCAGAATAAAAAATCTAGAAAACCACCTATGTCCATTCCTTCGAAACCATATACCAAAATTGGTATTATAAGGGTCTTATAAATTCAGATTTTTGTACTTTGGGAAATGCTAGTTGTATGAAGCCGTGGAACTTGGACAGGCTGAATTAGCATTTATTCGCACATACGATGCATTTTTTAATTTCTTCAATCTAAATATAGGATAAAAGCTGAAACAGTTGTCCTGATTATCACCAAATGTAATGTCAGCGTAGTTATGGACAAAAAGAAATGCGACGACAAGATAAATATATTTAGCAGACACTTATGGCGGAATTATGGATTATCAAAATTCCAAATAAAGGAACCAAAACTTTTTTAGAAAACCAATTCAAAAAGTAAGCATAAACTTTTGATAAGCACTAAGTTTAGCTAAACTGCAATGTGAAAACGGCCCGGCATTATTATATCAGCTGTGTCCCTAAACGTCTCTATTCTTAAATATAATGATTTTTAACTTACAGAATTTTTAATAACAGAAGCAAATAACGTTATGTTTCACAGAACCATCTTTTTACAAACACCAAATAACAAACCGAAAACTTTTTTAATTAATTCTCAAAACATTTCCTGATATTTTGTAAATAAATTTACACTTTCTGTCGTAAATTATTACTCCCTAAAATTTCTTTTAGATATTACTTTAATCCCGTTAACATTTTTTGGGCAAACTCCACCTGATATCATGATACCAGCTACGCAATCATATTTTGTAACTGTAAAGGAAACAAATGGAGTTATAATTTCTTTACAAAACATTTTCACTGGATAATTTTCTACAACGAAAATCGTGGCGATAAGTTCCGCATATCTTTTACTGTTATTTCTTGCATCATAACCAATCACAATGCCGAATTCTCTTAAATTAGCTTTATCAACATTTTCTAAATACTTTAGTAATCCTTGCCCGGTTTGAATAACCACCAAATCATTCATACCGTTATACCCTGGTATCATATCACCTTTAATCACACCTCCAATTATTTCTAATCGATTTAGTAACATTTTTTTGAGGGTGACTATGTCTCTTCTTCGCACCAATGCTATTATATGCTCTCTGTTGCTTTGAATTTTCTCCCATTTTAGATAATTTTGTATGATCGGATCGAGGGTTTCATCGTTCGTACTAAATTTATTGTACACAAGATCAGTTACTTCACATTTTAAATTTATAATTTTTTGGTTTGAGTCACACATTAATAAAAAAAATTTTGAATTTTGATTAATAAGGTCAGATCTTATCTTGTATTATTTTTTTTATACAAATTGTCTTGATGACAATTTATAGCTTCATTTTTAGTCGCCATCTATTGAAATGTATTACAACTATAAAATTACTTTAAACAATAAAAATTTTTTGTGATATCTTTAATCGCAATGTTTAAAAAAAAATTTTTTTTGTATTCAACTTCGAGGTAATGATAAACAATTTTTTGTCGGTTTTAAAAAATCATTAATAATTCTATGCATAACTTCTTTAACTAATTTCGTACCATTCAACAAACCCAAATCCTCCTCTTTTGTAATAATCTCAGCGCAAAATCTTAACTTGGCTTCCTTAGGATTTGTTCTAATCGTAATTTCAATGCCATTACTAAACTCAAAGGTAATCATTTGCATATTCGGTTGACGTGGAAGAACCGACTTTCTGTTAGGTTCATTATTATCGAAACCAATTGTTATATCTCGAACGTGAGTTATATCAAATTTTCCTTTTCCAATCGTTCTTGGGTAAATTTTTTTATCTGGCGGGGGAAATGGGTTGCAACAACACCCTTCCTCTTTCTTCAATGGATCTTTGTAAGCTTCTGGGATGCAGTGGCACTTCTCTTGTGGTTTTTCCGGTTCGTCGCCGTGATAATGACGAATCTCTTCAAAAATTTGTGCGATACCATCGTAACTTACGGCGTTGAAATATGAACCATAATTGATATGAAATCCATATTGCGCGTAGATTTCGTTAAGTTTATCTTCGAGGGTTTGTTTTTGCGCATTTAAAACGGCGACCATCGTCATTACTTGAACGCTCGCTATAATTCCGTCTTTATCGTAAAGTTGATCGGTAAACATGTAACCGTAAGTGTCTTCAAACCCTAAAATTACTTCTTTTCCTTCTTGTTTTAAGTCATAAGCTTTATTTGCTAAAAAAACATTTCATTGGCGTTTTATGAACTTCATTAAATTAGTTATGTACCTATCCATCTAAATCCTGGAAGAGTTTCAACAAAATTAAATTTTTCTGTTCGTGCCATAGTTCTTAATATCTTCGAACTAACTGAACTTCCTATCATATAAACATTTGATAAATCAATAACTTCGTCTTCTCCTTCTGTAGGATGTTTCTTTTTATACTGATCTAGAACCCACCAGCCAAATAAAGCTCCTAATTCGTTGCCGTCAAAAGTTCTCCATGTTATATTACTAAAATAAAAATGTTAATGAAACTTAACAAAATTTTATTAATTTTATACTCTTTTCCCAGTTGAGAGAAAATCATTCTACATCCATCAGGATCCGTACCAATAACGTACTTAATCTTTTTAGAAACAGCTAAACTTTTTGCTGCGTTCAAAGCTTTAGCATCTTCCGGATTAGGACTTCTAACACTTGGAAATTTTGGATTTGGTGCAATCTGTTTAGGAACTGGTACTATTTTCAAAGAAAGTACTGAAACGACTTGTTTAAATACATCATAAGCAACTCCATGAAGTGCGGTGTATACAAATTGAATGGGAGACTTTGAAGCTATGGCTAAATATTCTTCTATTACAGTAGTACATACTAATTGGAGATAAGCATCGAGTACGTCAGTATAAGGATCCGTTAACATTGGAGCCAATTGCAAAATATCGCTCTCCCAACAATGCTCCATTGGTTCTAAATTTTCTGAAATATGATTTTCTATTTTTAAATCTGCTGATGGGATTACTTGGCAACCATTTGAAGTGAAAAGCTGTTTCAAATAACAATTTAATTTTATTATAAATAAAATTATTATTTTTTTAATACCTTAATTCCATTATAAGTTTTTGGACAAGCCCCTCCTGAAACCATAACACCCCCAACACAACCAAGTGTAGTAATAGCATAAGACACAAAAGGAGTTATGACTTCTTTACTGAACAATTTCACCGCATAATTTTGGCTGAGAAAAATCGTTGCAATGATTTCTGCGAATCTTTTACTATTAACTCGGGCATCATAACCAATCACAATACCGTATTTTTTTAAATAATTCTTTTCATCTATCACCATCTCCATTTCTTCTTCTTCTACATCTCCTTCATCATTCTCTTCCCAGACCACCTCTGGTACCTCTTCTTCCACAATTTCCACTTCCTCCTCCTCTTCCGCATCTCTTTGCCTTTTTTCTTCAACGGTTTCCAAATACTTAATAAATCCTTGTCCAATTTGTATAACAACCAATTCATTTATCGCGTTAAATCCCGCCACCATCTCTCCTTTAACTGCCCCTCCTAACAGTTCTGCTCGATTCACTAACATTTTTCTGAGAGTAATTAGTTCTTTTTTGTGCACCAACGATTTTACCAATTCCAAATATTCCTCGTTTTTCTCCCATTGCAGATATTCCTTAATTTTCGGATCGATGTTTTTATCATACGTTTTAAATTCATCACCCATTTTTTAATTAACATTTAGTTTTATAAAATACTTAGAATTTGGATTAAATTTGGTTTTAATGTGTCAAAATGACAAAAGGTATGAAACTATAAAATCCCTAGATATAAAGTCTACATACAATATACTTTTTGTAATTCGCGACGGTAATGAAAGCTATTACAGTACTCAAACGGGTGCTGTAATGAGACTCCTTACAGCATCCGATGGTGTAATGAGATTTTAGTAACATTTTATGTAACCACAAGTTGGTGATATTGGGTCATTAATTTTTCTAGTTGTCAATGTGACAATTTTTGTTTATGAATGTTTAAACACGTTCTTAGCATCGAATACAAGGTCCACAATGATGAGAACATTGAGCGATTTCTCTTGTTTTGGGAGGTGTACATGAAATATTTTTTTAGGTGAATACATTTTGTGTTTTAACAATTTCTAATTGTCAATTCAAATTTCTACTTTCAAGTGTTACCAACTGCTACATACCTATTTCCCTACATTGTCAAAATTTATTTTATTTTAGTTAAAAACAAAGGATAAAAACGCGAATTACAAAAAATAGCATAAAAACACGTTTCATAAGACTTAAAACACTCATTCATTAAAAGACTCGTGGCTTAGCCACTCGTTTTTCAATTTGAATTCGTGCATTTCAAGCGTGTCTTACGAAACTTGTTTTTTAATATACCATTCTGTAAATCGCGATGGTAATGAAAACTATTACAGTACTCAAACGGATGCTTTAATGAAACTCCTTACATCATCCGATGCTAAGAATTATACAATAATCAAACAAACCCAAATAAAATAACACTAAGCCGATCGATAAGAAAATAAACGCATTAAGAATGATTACCAAAAAGCTGATTATTTACATCTACTACGGCAGCTACTACAACATCTGCTGAATTCACTTAAGATATATTGCGTCAAAGTGGGCGTCGAGATTACACGTGCGAATAATTTAGTTAAAGAAGCGGTTCTGACCATTTCCAGTTGGATACGTATTGTTATGTGATAAAAACCATTGCGAAGTGGTTGGTCTCTTATGAAATTTACCTCCGAAGGACATGAATACTTAGAATGATCTAATAACATCGTCTATATTATTTTAAGCTCTTCTAAATAATTATGATGGTTTTTATTAGTGTTATCTTATACGGAACTAATCTAATAACTTTTTAGAACAATTCCAAACAAATCTATTTCACCCAAACAACTTTAAATGGCTAAACGTGTTTCTATTTTTAAATTAATGTTAAAACTATAGACATGCTTTAAAAACAACGATCACTTTCACTTATCTCCTTAAGAAGATATCCATTTTTTTTGATTTCCTTGTATAGAACATAGTTACAGGCTTAGTTTTTTTTCCATCTCAATGAATTGTTCGTTCGGTTTAAAAGAATGGCAATAATGCAATAATCGGTTTTGTAACTTGAAACTTGACGTTAACAATTATCACCGCCCAAACATCTCAATTATCGTAATTAATTTATGCTAATGAATAGCTGTTAAAACGTTTTTTTTTTAATTTTTATTTTTAACGCTGAACTTTAATTATTATTGCATTGACCGGTTTTGTTCGGAACGAGGCAACTCCAAAAAAATGAAAGTTAACGGAATGCGATTACAATAATCCAAAGATGATGTTTAGTTGTTAATTAACGGAATGTGTAAATTAGAAATTGCATTGGTTTTTTTTCTTCGTTTTTTTGGCTAATTGCCAAGTTGAGTGTAAATACGAGAGTTTAGAACATTTTTTATCGCAATGAAAAGTTGTTTTAGTCTACTTTCACTTCAGGTTGTTTAAGAGATTTTAACATCACATTTTATCAACTAAACCGATCTAAAGTAATATTTAACGTTGATTAATGCAAACAGAAGAAAAATACTATTATTAGTTTTGGTTTAAAATATTTTCTATTAAGAAATGTTCCAAATTGACAGGTTTGTTAACTTAAGAAAATAGTATATAATAATCATTAATTTATGAAGATATTCCTATTGTAGGTTCAACCTTGTTCTTCCAAACATTTAACCTTTTATTTTTTGTTTAATGAGAACCACACCTGATCACATTCAACACGAATGCGAATCGTCTGTCTGTTACTTTACATCATTACGCGAACGTGCACTTGTTAGAGACCGTTTCGTAACAAACAAGAACCAAGAGTCTTGTAACGCAAGAACTATTGTGAGAGCATGTGGAGTGGAAAAATGGCGATTGTTAGTGAAGCAGGAACTGCAACCGATACTCGTCGGTGATACCACAACGGCATATTACCAGTATTACGTTACGGTAGCTTCGTTCGCAGGCAACTCAAAGAGAAGAGCAGAAACTGTACACAAATCGTTCTACGACGTTATTATATTTAAAATTATGCGCGTATTTGTCCACATAAGGAATAGATTTATCGTGTCTTCGACCAATTTGTTTCCGCGTTTCTCAAGAGATCTTATCCTTATTTGCGTTTAGTTAGCTTAGGAATTCTTTAACAAATGCGATGACATAACAGAAATGGTTAAAAGACTGAAAAGAAATTCAAAAAACTTTGTGATGGAGAATTTCTCAAGATCAGATAAGAAGGTAACCTTCCCAAGGGCCGCGACGAGTAAATTTGTTGTATAGTAGTAAAGAAGAAAATGCTAAACACGAAAACGACGCGATTGTTTACGAGTTGAAATTGCAAATTGTGGGAAAACGCGTAGGAGAGTGCTAATCGGCCGGTTTAGCGACCATCAAATTTATCCTTGCCTGTTCTTGCACTTGGCACTTCGTTTCGCTTAGCTCTTTCTCTCTCTTTACCACGCGGATAACAGGAGGAGGTAATCGGTAATCTGTTCGTCCAACCTTCCGGTCATTGAAGACCAACCTGGCGTTGCTAATTACGTAAGTACAACGCGCTCGACGTCGTTGTTGTTGTTTTCCAAAAGACCCCTGGGGACGGACAAACAGACTTGACACAAAAATTAGACAACAATTACTTTTATCCTGTATGGCCTTAAGGCATCTTTTTATTATTACACAGGATACATAAATTAAAATGGTTTTTGGTAAAAAATGTTAAAAAACTTTTAATATAATCAGATCGGAAACAGTTTATTTAACTTTCAACAAGAGAGATACTTTCAATTGCGATTTTATCGATTCATCTTGTGCGGATATAATAGCTCAGTTCAAGTCCGGTGGAAAGTAAAATTATTTGTCGCGTCTATTATTAAAGCTCTAATATCATTCTAAAAACTATTCTCGGTGAAATTTACTTTCACATCTTTGATTATAGTTTACGCATGTACTTTCGATTAACAGTCATACGCAATTTCCGATGGTATTTTTTGTTTACCTTCATAAACAAGGTATTTAACATAACTTCTGTTATTTGATTCGACAAGGACAGTAAACAAACAAATTGTTCTTTGAAATCTCTTAAAACGTTCATTAACCAGGAAAATTACTACGATTTTCTTCTATTAGTAATAACACACATCAATATATTTCTCTATGTTTACGCTTTATTTTTCTTTTTTTGTTTTAGTAAATACCAAACATAACATTTAACTTTTAGTCCAGTTACAAGAAAGTCATTTTATCTTTGAAATGTGTTGTAAATATTTATTTAAAGGTGTGAACGTTCGCAGTTGTCTCACCTGTTCAATCAAACGACACATAACAATACCGTTTAAAACCATTACACAATGGTTTCTTCAATTTACAAGACAAAGAACAGAAGTAAACCTTGAATTCTCGCCTAAAAAATTCTTTAGTGGGATGTGAATAATCGAAAAAACAACATGGAATAAGCTTGCTAAATACCGAAAAAAAATTATAACCATTTTAGGCAGGAAAATCTAATTAAGCAAAGAGCCTTTCAAAAGAAAGCTTCGTCGAAATCACACCTCTCGTGGTCCTATAGCAAAGCTTTCAATTACAAACCTGGTTCGCAATTAGTACTTTTACAAACCGTTTACAGCGCCTATTTTAATAGCTACTCATAAACGGAGCGCGAAGAAAGTTAACTACTTGTAAAAGTCTTGTCTTAAACGACTTTTCCATCATTTTTTTATATAGTACTTGTTTAACGGTTGTTAATAGTGAAACTTCAAAGTTCTTAAGATTAAGCAAACATTATTTTTTAATTGAAAAATTCTGATGAATAAAAAGATCGATCTATTAATAGTCATAGAAAATTTTTATTGGAAGGACGCGCATCACTGTTTTTACTAATATCTAATTACATTTACATGTGCTTTATCGAATTTCGACCAACATATACTATAAGAATGAAATACGAATGATCTTGTCGAGTTTTGGAATACTATCAAAACTAACTAAATTAATTATGCTAACTATGAATGAGACCATCAATCAAGTTAAAATCCAAAGTAAGCTTATAGATAGATTTATAAGTAGTTACCATCAGTATTCAATCTGATCCTGGGATAGGTCATGATATCATATAAAACAACAAATCCTAAATAATACTAAATAATAATAAATACAGAGGGATATTAAGGTGAATTTGAGGATTGGTGTGAGAGAGGAGATGTGGAGAATGAGATACAACAAAGAGCTTTATAGTTTGCATGATTAGCAACCTATCTCTGTTACTGTTAGTATAAAGTTTAAAAGGTTGCAATGGGCGGGTTATGTACTAAGAAGTAGTTGGGTGGATGCTCTAGAAGAGGACACGAGGATTTCTAGATGTAAGGTGTTGGAAGTGGAGGGCTAGGGATACTCAGGATTGGAGGAACCTGAACAAACACTGTATACATCAAGTCTACAAACCAACTTCTTGATGACATCAAGTCTAAAAACCAGATGTCACCAACAAAGACAGAACTCCTTTTTCAGGAAAAAAGGAAAGGAAAAGGAGGTGTTAGTTTATTTCTGCATGGTGGTGAGAAAACATTTTAATGTTCATCAATTTTATGGCATTAAATTACTTCTCAACCCAACTCAACAAAGACAGAACTCCTTCTTCAGGAAAAAAGGAAAGGAAAAGGAGGTGTTAGTTTATTTCTGCATGGTGGTGAGAAAACATTTTAATGTTCATCAATTTTATAGCATTAAATTACTTCTCATCTTATGCTTTGCTTATTAAAGTAAGATAAAATGATTACCATTATCCATTAACTCAAGAGTTTCTGTCAACTATTAAAATCCTCTTACAATAATCCCTCAAACTTTCTCTCAAAATTATTCTTACATAACCATCTCACTTTACATATATTAAAGTATAATGCAAGTGAAATTTCAAGGTGAAGTACTAATAAAACCGCTTTAACCAAATTTTCTCTTCTTTTAATCCTACCAGCACCAACTAAAGCAACGAACCGCAGGTCATCATCTCCTGTCGTCTTTAAATCTTTAAAGAATCAAAGAAAACCACAACGATAGTTGTTGGTTTCGTTCGTTGCGGTGCTTTCTCCGAAGCGGTTCGAAAAGTCTTTACGAAGAACGACTTTGGCTCTGGTCATTCGCGCTCGTGCTGCTGTTCTTGAAGCACCTTCGAAAGCGAACGGATACATCGAGACCTCTCTCTCGAACGCTCGTATCTTCTCGCGCCTCGTGTTATTATTTTGTTGCTTTTTTTTGTTCGTTTTCTCGATTCTTTTTACGTTCGGTTTTATAGCGTTTTTAAACGAAAAGCGAAAGTGTGAATGTAATCGAAACACCTGATGTGACGATGATGACCCGTCCTTTTCAATTTATGAGAGGAGAAAAGTATCCTTTTTAAAAATAATTGAAGAGGATTGATTTCGGTTTTGAGAAAATTTTCTTTGAAAGTTAAGGTAAGAAAATTAATCAAAATTAATTGATAGATAAAATTTCTTTAGATAAAATTTATGTAAATTGCGAGGTGTATTTAGTTTTTTTTTATTATAAACCTATAAGGTAATTTATAAGCACATAATTAGAATATTCGTGATTTTATGATAGATGAAGATCACTATCTAAGTTAAATATGTACTCTAACTTGTGATTTAAGTATATTAAAGTTTTATGTGTGTTATAAGGGTTTCATTATTTGCGTTGGACGCATTTCGTTTACGAAATATCCATTAATATTATCGTGTGATGTATAGGAATTTGTATCACAACGTGTATTGCTTATGCGCCTTTCTGTCATGTGCCAATACTAAATTGTTGCAATGATAATTTACGATATAGTAACCATTCAAACCTACTTCAAATGTTTCGAATAGTTGTCTTAGGACACCTCCCTTTTTTGACGAGAAATACAATGGATAATGGATTTAATTAAAAAACTTTTTTTGATATAAACAACAATAAATACAAAATACTACAACGCAATAAAATAAATAAAAGAAAAACGTTTGGTATTCAATGGGATTTCTCCCACATAAAATATTTTTAATGAAAATAACACGTGGTAATCATCGTAGTCTTTCTATCTATCTATTCACAATCACTCGTTTTGTTCGAATCCCTGACTTGTTTATCCATAACGCAGTTTCGTAGATTTATGTTAATGACCCCTCTTTGTATGGATTTGTGATTCACCACGAACACACTGCATACCGAAAGATATTATCGAAAGGATGAAGCAATTAAGATTTTTTTTTCAAACTTGTATCCATTTTACGATCGAGGTATAAATCATAAAGAAACGGGAATAATGCATATGCAATCAAATGTTCACTGCACCAAAACGCATCCAAAAAAAGGGTGATTAAGCAAACGATGTTTTAAAAAAATGATTCTATAGAAAGCAAATTGTGTTACTTAATTAGATTATTGATAGGTATTGTTTTAACGTAAACTGTTTAAGGAAATCCATTGCAGAAGTAATAGAGCGTAACTTTCACGATACGATTATGGATTATGGCACGGTGTTATTAATAAATTCGATGGAAAACGTCTGTGGTTATGTAAGGAAATTGTTCAAAGAAAGGATTGAAATTCGATAAAAAAATTTCTCTATTGTTAGATTTGCATATATCTACGTAACTTTAATTACGCATCTTCACTTCGGTTTAGCTATATTAACTCAATCTTTTGAGTTAAACGATTTCGAATTTGGTTTAGAATCATTGCAATCATCAAAAGTTTAAAATTTCTATTTAAAATTATTGTATGATACCTCCACTAAATTTGCTGTGACAGTATCTGAATTCCTACGTTTACCTCGCGAGTTAAATGTTGATGGAATGCTGTGAGCATCGCCACGTATTTTATTACTTTCTTCTTCTGTACTTGTAATTTCAGCAATTCCTTAAAAATTTTCCTACTACTATCCTGTTGCACTTTCAAATAAATAAGTTTGATGCAGAGTGTGAGTCATATGATATGGTATGTACATTTTTACTCTATGTACTAAATCTATATTTTAAAAAAAATAATAAAAATATATTTTGTGAACTGTTCTAGCCATTCAGTTCAGTAATTCATCTAAGTTTGGAACACTATCGTATGTAGAACTTATGGTTCGTGAAAGAATCTTGTTTAGAAACAATTTCTAAAGTGAACTGAATTAATGACTAATTGCAAAGTTATTCTTGTAGCGATAAATTTCCTATCAAGTATTTCAGTATTGTCGATTTTTTTTGCATTAGCATTCCACATAGCACGATTCACTGCTGATTGCTCAATTAATTCCAATCTGGTGTCCCTTTCGTGTTTTCCTATTTAATACTTTCAGCCACAAGCCAAATGTAAGCAAATGTACTCCATGCCCATACAATTTTCAATACCATGTGTTCAGTATATTAAAATGATACGCATGGACATGAGCTACGTGTGTCGTATCTATGCATATGGGGCTGAAAGAGTTGAGAGTTTTGTCCGGCATAAATTTATCTTTGATGACATAAACATGCTTATGTTTCTCTTATAGGTTTTTTTATAACATATAATTGAATGGTATATATTTCTTCTTACTGTCAGTTTGCCCTCTTCATTATAATTTTTTGCCCCTAAACATTTTTTTGCCAATCAGCATAGAATTGAGCATTTCTGTTCATTTTACGATGGTTAGGTCGTCTTCCAGTTGAGCTGGTTGTGGCATTGTGTAACGATCTTTTGTATAGTTCTTTCAAATTTCAGAAGCCATGTCATGTCAACAAAATTAGGTTGTAATTTTGTTGGAGAATTGCATCCATCTGATATGCGGAGTTCAGTAATTCTGTGTAATCTTCTGGTTTCAATTTGTGGAGTGAAACCAAGTATTTTCTGGAGTACATGTATTCTGGAAATGACTTCTGTGCACATTAATATGGAACACATCATAAAACGGTTAAGTTTTGTGATTTACTTGTTTCTTCATATCAAAAGATTTTCTTACAACTACGTCTGTTATAATTTAACACCGCATCTTTTTCTATTTTTTTTACTACCACAAAAACTAGTACTATAAAGATCCAAAATAATTTATTTAAAACATCCTAATTTTGAAATAATTTCTTCTCATTAATTCTAAACATTCGATATCGAAAATATGCAAATAAATACCAATAAAACTATAACACTCCTTTTTTAATAGATCATTCGTCAAGCTTCAAAGTATAACTAAATACTTTGATCCAAAAACATATTAACCTGATTATTTTAAACTGAAAGCATTCGATAGTCTTACTAATAACTAGACTTTTTAGTATGTTATTATATTAATGGAGCAGATGGCCTTTAATAACAAGAAAAAATGAAAACCACCTGGCTGATTTTATGGCGTTACCATCATTTAGAATACTAACGTTCAAAGGAAGCGACCAAGACTAGCACGGAATGAATACAAAGTGATTCATAACTGATGCATCGCTTGCATACGTTGTACTGTAATTTTTATTCCGTTTTCCTTGGTAATAAATAATGTAAATGTCGGCTTCTTTGCTACGAAACCCTACGTTATCTATTGTATTCCACAAGAAGTTAAAATAAGAAAAAAAGATACAAAATAAGGAGATAAAACAAAATATAAATGAAAAAGTTTCTCTTATTTAATTCATACTTGTACGATTCAATGTTTTTTTTAATTAAACTCCATAAATCATTTATGTGTGTATAAAATAACTTTCATTTTTTCATCAATTTCAATTCACATAAAATTTATGAAACTTACACAATACAATTAAAAATATCTACCATTCGTACATTTTTAACATCATTTTGTAACAAAATTTTAAAGTATAATATCAGCAAATGTAATGGATTCTGTCTATCCACGTAATCCACATAAAGGAAATTGAATTTGTAAGATATTACACAACGATAATTTCCTGTTCGTTTATTTGCTCGGCAATTATTTTTATTAATCGTACGTCTACATAAGTGGCAGACATAAAAAGAAAATGACATCGAAGCAAACATTCCTATTTAACTTCACTTTTTATAGGTGTTACATTCGTTTAATTCCACAGAACAGTTACATATTTACATTGTGTTCAACGCTTTACCAAAAAAAGAGTCTTTTTTACCACGATTTGAATACAATTAGAAACGTAAACTGAAGCGTTTCAACATCCGAAAGATTTTCGAAAGTATCCGTGAAAGTAATTACTAGAAGAAATAAAATTGCTATTTTATCTCAATTATTTCCTTAAATACTTGTTTCGTTAAATGTACTTTTATTTACATCAATAAATTTCTTCATCTTTGATGAACTTCTTTGGTTTTGTTTATAGTATATTTGTACTCCAAGAGAAGGTGTTGTTAAAATCAAGAATTGGTAATCTAAACGTTGTAATCGAAACCGTTAAGAATAAACCGAAAAGGATGTTACTGTTAAATGTAAACTAATATTAAATATTTATATTATAGTTTAAATTTACAAATAGTTCTTGGAAACATTTAGATTACTAATTTTGCGATAGATAGAATGAGACAGTAGGTGATTAAATTTTTATCAAGATCGTATTTCCTTTATTTGCAGTTGTAAGAAAATAAAAGAAAATGCCAGCTGATGATGTTTATTGGAGTCCAACAGAATTGGAAAGTGAAGAATCATCAAGTAATATTTACAAAAGTTACATCGATCCGTGGGATTTAGAAAATTACGCCTACATAAGAGAACACTTAGATTCTCTTGATTTATCCACGACATCTTCAGAAGCTGATGGTGGTGGTGGCGGGGGAGAAATGCATTCTTTGCCGCCATCCGCATTTTCGTATACGTCCCATCAAAGAAATCGGCCTCAAGAGTTAAGAAATTCGAACGTAGTCGATAAATATGGCAGTTTAATGAAATCGGAACGAACGACAACAACCACTTCTAATTACGCGGCTATTGATGAAATCCGCGATACAAGAGACTTTGATGGATTTTATTATGGCCCCAAAAGAAATATCGAGCGAAGATACAGCATGAGAAATCGAGATTACGGCCATCAAAGTGTGGGTAAGTTTCGATTTTTTCTATAAATTAATTAAAAAAATAATGATCTAAAGAGATAGAAACTACGACTTTATGCTTTCTAAACTTAGAGGGAGTGTATCTTACAGCGAAACTGTTTTGATTCATGTCGTTTAATAAAAATGGTTTGTTATTGAGGAAAATTGTAGAGAAATCTCGTTAGTGGTTCAAGGAAAGTGAACGAACGAGAACAAAAATCAGATAAAACGTGCCCCATTGCAAGACACTTCTATGGCAAATTACATAAATCCATCCTGGACATGCGAGAGACTATAATAAATTCCCAACGACTTTCCCGCCGACTTCTACATGCTACGTTGCACATTGCTCATGAAAAAAAGATGCACGTAAAAAAAATGGCACATAAAGATTCTTACTATATGGTTATTGTTACCATTATTAGCACAATGCATTCAGGGTGAAGAAATATGAATAAAAATGAGAATAAAAAATAAACTTTAATTAAAAAAAATTAATTAACTTATAATCTAAAAGCATTAGTAAATGCTATTAGTTTGTTTGATTATATCTAACTATTATAGAAACGATTCAACCATAACGAGAATTGGGACATAGATAATTTTCCGTACATAATCGGTAAATAAGAATTATGAACAATAATCTTGTACGGAAAAACGATTCGATAGATTTGCTAAATGATCAGCTCGGTTAGATTTGCGTGGATTTCGAAAGGATTAGAAAGGATCTAAATGTGTGTTGGATAGAAATTCACTTTTACAAAACATTATTTTATATTGGAAAATTTCATTTAAATTGAAACCAATTTTTTTATCACATATTCATAATAGCAAATTTCCGTATTTATTTTACTTTCTAATTGGAGCAATCCTAGTTAATAAAGCAATTAGGTAAACAGTGACATTAAATTGTATTTTATGTAATTTCTTACATAATTTATTCTATAATTTATTATTACATTATTTATTATTATTATTATTATTAAATTGACTTATTTTTATTTATAAATACATATTTTTTGTTATTCTTTCTCTTCCCCAGTTTGAGGTTGAGCATGTCGACCACCGAAGTTGCTCTTTTTCTCTTGCATGTCTTCAACCATAAAAGCTACAAATAGCAATGGGAATAAACTGTCTCCCTGTCTAACACCTTTTTCTATGGCGAACATACTAGAGCTCTTCCTGTTAAGCCTCACCTCTCCCTCCACTTGCTGGAACACGACCCTGATGGCCTGAATCAGTTGTGAGAGAGTCCCTTTCTTCTCTAATGCTTTCCGGACCTCTTGCCTGGGCAATTCATCAAACGCAGAGTGTTTATCCAAAAAAGCTAGGTATGCAGATTTCCCTCTTCTGATCTACTTATTAGTTATACAGCGCAGGGAAAAAATGAGATATTGTGGTTATCGTCCTGGTCTGAAACCATCCAATTCATCTTCAATGCAAGTCCTTAAGGGTATCTCCAGAATTCTGGAGTATAGTCCCCTTTTTTGTATATAGGGATGAATATATTTCTTTGTCAATCTGCTGGTATCTGCCCTAGTCTCCATACCGTTTGGAATAGTTCTTTAATTTCGTCGGCCAATACCATGCCTCCTGTCTTCACCATTTCTGGCACAATTTTGTCCTCCCCAGCTCCTTTCTAGTCTTCATTTTCTTAAGGGCGTCTTGCATCTCCCTCGAAAGTTATTAGGCCTGTTTTGGTTTAAGTGTTCTGAACTACAGAACTCTTCTTTATCGCTGATTCTGATGCTTCCCCTCCCCTGCACCTATCTCCCTCCACTGTTTCCGGTTCCCCTCGTCATCCATCCTTGAATTTCGCCTTATTTTAGGTAATCCATACTTCTAGTGCTTCTTCCATTTTCTCTTTTATCTTTCGTCTTTTAGGCTCATTCCTTTTCTTCCCCGTATGTGGTTCACAACCTTCCTAAATTATCTCCTGTGTTGTCAGAGTTTCTTTCCACGTTTTCTTTTGTTAAGTTTGTTTTTCTTACATTTTTAAATAAACATTTACATAATAAATACTTCTACAATATCGCTAAAAATAGTTTAATTCTAGATCTAATATAAATACACGATATAATCCGAAATAAAAACCGCATTTACATATTTATAATAGATATTAACTTTCGTAACATCAACTGTCTATAAAACTCGTAATTAGTTTCTCCACAAGGTTGAAACGATTCGTGTTGCGATTTCCTCTCTGTTCAGAAGTTATAATCATTTAACTTTAACCATGCATTTTTTCACCTTCGACATTGACTGAGTTTCGTTGATTGCAATTTCTAAAATTGACGAGATCACGTATTTACACGCAACGCGTGCTAATACACGTCCTTCTTAGCCATTGAGAGGTCACTAATCTCTTCTTGAGTCAGTTTCTCTGCTGGCACGTGAGGGAAAACGTTTAAAGCCAACGTTGTCGTGCGTCTTTAAAGAAGTGAAAATCACTGTTTACGTGTTTATTTAACTTGTCATAAAAGAGTTTGTTTTGAACCGTTTTCTTTCTGGAACTAGCATTAGTAAATAAATGAAATGTGTCGCTTTTTAAAAGTTGTTGAACTTTATTTTGAATTGTTTGACCTAAATGTTAAAGATATGATACACCAACGTTTTTGTATAAATTAATTTAAGTTTATGTTATAATTAGATGCAAAGTCAGTTTAATAACCGTAAAAACTACGCACATACACACTCAATTGTATTTGTTTCTTGATTATTAGCATACGTGGCGATTGGGAAATACAAAATACAAAACGTATTTGTGTTTCAACAGGAAGGAAATGCAAAATAAATAACCCGCTTGATATCCTGTCGCACACCAAGAAGGATGTCGACGAATTAGATATTATAGAAAGTTAGAATTGACCGATACTGTTTGAAAAAGGCTATTCGAAGAAGATGTAGTAAAAACAGTTTGTTTCTCCTTTTTTATTTTCTTTTGAAATGTTTTTTTTTCAATTACTTATTGGTGCATGTTGCACGAGTATCCCATTGCGGAGAGATGGAGGTCGATTGTAAGATGAGAACTACACTTTTTATTGACCCAGTTCTTTTATCTGTAAAATAACCTTACAAAGTGGATCGTGACTAGATTTGTAATGGGATATATTACATAGGAAAAATTGTAAATCTTCAAAGAAACACCGGTTATTAAATTATACTTCATCATATCAAAACAAATTGCACGAAGAGAAAGACCATAAAACATCATGAATGAAACTTAATGAAAGAATTAATAAATTAACTAGAAATTATAGGATTTATGAAATGTCACATACACTTTTATGTATTTCTATGCTTTAAACACAATAGGTGTATTGAATAAAGTTTATGTATGGCTGATTGTGATTTTATGATACCATTAAATCGTAAAAGGTTTCTAGTTATTAAAAAATTTACTGTTGGAAAGTCGTCATCTGGAAGCTGTAATAACGAAATCGTATTGACGAGTTGTATGCTTTCTATTGATTTCTAATTTGAGCCCCACAAAAAATTATTCTAGATTGATTCGATTATCGAACTAGTTCCAATCAATCATCATGGCCGAGACTGTTAATTGTTGTATTAAATAATTACCGGGTGACTTCAACTTCCATATTTTCACTCCCCGTATAAGTCGTTGAGTTTACACAATTGGAAATTCATGTATATTTATGGATGTGCGGAAAATAACTGTTCGATTGTCATGAATATAAATTTAGCAGTGCCGTTTTTGGTTATGTAACTGGGACGAGCTGTTTATCTTGATTTAAGAACGAAGGTCAATTTGCAACTGGAAGCACAATACAGTTATTTAAAAAATATTGTAACACATAAAAGTATTTATTAATGTTTTTTCAATTTAGACGAAAGCTTGTATGGAGATGTTGACAGCATGTCTCATATTTACGCAAAAAGGCGCCAAGAAACTAAAATACCCGCCGCCAAAATAAGAAGACGAAGAAGTTACAGTTATAGTCAAGGAGATTATGGGTATAATACTAAATTTGTTTTTTGCATTTTGTTCTAAACATATATTTTTTAAATTCTAGATACGAACCATTAAGCTCTTACCAAATTTATAGTCGATTAGAAGACATAAAGCAACCCATCCCATCATCACCAATTTACGACGATATCCGACAACCAACTCCAACGCCGACCAATTTCGGCTTGAGCAATTACGGTCATTTAAAAATTGACTATTCCTACAGCTGGAACACGCTAAATAAATTTATTTATAATTGATTGGTATTCATGATCTGTTTACGTTAACTTTCTGAAAGTCTAACACGTTAAAGATGATGTAAAGGAACGTGTTGGAACGTCACTATCGTTGTATTTAATTTTAATGTATTGTTTACTGTTGTATACTATGTATTAACTCTTTACCAAATTGAAAAACACTATTAAAAAATAATTTGTTGTAATTAATTGTTGTAACTCTTTACATGCAATCATGTATACTAAGCAAAAGACGAGAGTCTAATTCAAAATCATTTCTTGTTTAACAGAAAGATGAAATACTCTCTCTTTTTAATGGACAGAAAAATTTAAAATAACCGTTTAAACGAAATCGAAATTTATTTCATTTTATAATTTTATTTCATAGGTACCAGATAAATTGCTAACTTCACAAATAATAATTAGGCAATGCAAGATAAAATTGTCAAGATTCACATAAATATGTGTTTTCTAAATGTGTTTCACAAATATTTTTGATGGCTAATTTATCTTAGCAAATAATGACAGTTTTGAATAAAAAATGTTGTATTCAATGCTTTGATACACATAAGGCGTCATAACGAATTTTTTAGTGTTCAAGTGTTAAAAAAAATGTGTAAAATTTACATGCGCATAATTGATACATCAAAAGCCAAAATAGAAAATTATAGGAATTCATTCATACACTCCTTCTTACATCGACTTCACTACTTTTCTTCCGTCATTCATCCAAACTCATAAAAGAAAAACAAGACCAGTTCAAACTGTAATACCAACAGTCTAAGAAATCATCTTTATATGTTTCATCCTCCATTCACAGAAACCTCATCAGCGGTGACCTTTTCACGTTTATTTATCTATCCATCCAGACCGATTTGAATTCAAATAATAACACATTGAATGTCTTAGTCAAAAATTCAAATCTTCTATATTCTGTTTTGTATCTCTTTGTCTATTGTTCTATTCTTAGTAATAATGGTGTCCATATATTACAATTTATCTAGTATTTCTAGTCTCTCCCCGTATAGTCCCATACTCATGTTTTTATCTTCTTCTCCTTTCTTTATGTGCGTAATCTTCGTTTTTCCTGTATTTATTTACATTCCCCTTTCTTCTAAGGATGCTTTCCAGATATTAATTCTTCTTTGTAGTTCTATTGTCGTAGTATCAACATTAGTTCGTCTGCATGGATTACATCGAATGTCTTCATCGGTGTTCCTTGTAATTTTCGCATCGGAGCTTTTCCACATCGACTATAATTGCTTGAGCAACCATCTTTTAACGTTTCTATACGGTGCGTATCTTGTCAGGTCCAAAGTCAATACAGTTTTCAAGTTTGTCAATAAAAATGCAGATGTATGGATACTGATATCTTTTCTTTCACAATTTCTACTTAGAATTTTTTTTTCAGTTTATCGATCTTCGATAATTCTTTTAACTGCGTTTTTTCTAAGTCCTGTATTGCCTTTATTCCAATTGGATGCCTTTGACTAATTGAATTATCTGTCCATCAATCAGATTTCTAACAGGATCTAGTTTAGGACTAGTTTTAAAGCTATGTATAAATTACTTAGTATTTATATTATCTTAAATGAAAAGCCGAACAATAACAGAACACAGAATACAGAACACAAATTTGAATGCAATTACGAAGGTGTTGACAAACAGACGTGCATTCCAGTTCGCACGCACGTTTCTCATCAATCATGAATTGTTTGGCTAAAGTAAAAAACACGCAAACAAAATAACCACTTCGCGAAGAATGCGTACCGTAACTTCCACTGTTGTTATCCCATAACAGTGGGAGTAGCACGAACACTCCTTTTCTTAATTTATCGTTTCAAGAAACGACGACTCGAACGTAATCCAGTTTTAAATTTAAAACTATTTCATTAACCACCAAAAAAATTATTTCCTCACCTCTATTTCCGCAACCTAACCCGAACTTCATAAACACGAAAACCTGAGGAAACAATCTTTTTTGCTTCTCGTCCTTTAAACTTAAACCTACACAACCTAGACACAACTTTATCAACACAATGATATAATGATCTAAACACAAAGTATCTTATCTGCAATGATATTGCATCATATTGAAATCAATCACCAACTGTTATCGGTAGTAAAACCATTCGTTGAAACAACATGAAGTATGTATTAATTAAATATAATCTTTAAATGTTTTGGCTATCTCTATTTCGGCGCCTAAGCTGCGAAATTGAAGTAGACACAACTCTATATCATAAAGATAAATGTAAAAAAATATCAAAAATTAAAAGTCGATCATTATTCAAAAAATACGATTTATCAATACAATTATCACTTTATAATCTTTCAACCATCAATGATAAACAACTTTTGCGACTATGTGTTAAGAAATAAATACAGATATTTGTACAATTTATTAATAGTGTCATTTGACTTCTAAAATAAAACTATGTTAACAAAAATTTTTTGTGTTAAAGAGTTAATACAACATTAATAGTATTCGCACCAATATTTTCGATGCTATGTATCATTCATATCGTTGTTTTTTTCTTTTTATAATTATTATCGATAGATTTGGTTATTTTTAATTTTTATTTTATTCACGCTGTAATAAAGGAACATATTATTTATTTTTAAATAAACCAAATAAAATTTTACTATTTTTAATTTATACATTTATTTCGCTTAACAAATTTACATCAACACTAATAACACAAATTACAAAAACAAAAAAATTTTTTTTTTCATCTTTTTCTTCTATTTTTTATGGTCCTCTGGAGGTTTCATCATATATTCTAGATGAGCTGAAGTAGGATCATATAGCTTTCTTTTTTTCGGTTTATCTTTAACAGGACCCGATTCAGAAGAACTTTGTAATTTATGTTTATAATCGTTTAACTGAAAGGCATCGTCCTTTTCGGCGGTGATTTCAAGTACTGATTCCGATACCATTGAAAGACTTGGTCTTAAATAATCGTTGGAACTAGATTTAGGTGAATCTACGCAAGTATGAGGAGATGAGGACTTTTTAGTGAACGTATATGGACCTTTTTTAGTATTCGTTTTATATAAATCTCTTCCTGGGCTAGGTGATAATCTGTAATTTTCTTTTACGTAAAGAACTTTCCGAGCCATAGCTAAGTCTTTCTCTTTCTGTTCTAATTTGTTTTCAAGTTCGCGAACTTTCTATAATTAAAACAAAAATAAATGCACTTAATAATAAATATTATAGTTATTTCAGTTTAAAATAATCAACCTTTTCTAGTAAATCGTTATTTCTTTGCCTATAATTTGCCTGAACGAGTTGAGTTCGAAGAGTTGAACACGATAAATTCGATTCTTTTAATTTACGATTAGCATCATCTAAGCATCCTTTCCATTTCATATCGCACTCTTGTACTTGTTTAATTAAACTGCTTGAAACATTCTTCAACTCATTTAAATAGTAATTTTCTATTTAATGAAAATTAAAATGAAAATTCTTAAATTAATTAATTTCTATTTACCTTTTTGGGTAAACTTTTCTTGCTCTTTAGCTAAAATATCTTGATAATGTCGAAGCTGTTCCTCATATTTTTCGACAATTTCAATTTCTTGCTTTTTAAAAGCATCCGAAGATATCTTTTTTTCGTCAAGTATTTTTTCATACTTTTCTAAAAGCAACATAGTTATCTTCCAGGAAAAATAATTGATTAATTAAAAAATACAAACAAAAATTAACAAGAAATCTAAACGAGATATCAATACCGAGTAGTTTGATTACTTCGCTATATTAAACGGTAATTTGACTCGTTTCATTGAAACTTAATACATAAACTTTGTAGATAATTTAAACCACGGACAATTTACTTATGTTCACGCCACCAGTAGCTAAGTGCTAACCATTGTGTTAAGACGATAATCCACAAAAAAAAATTATTAATCTATAAAGTTTATGCCATAAATTTCTAAATACTTGCACTAATTAACTCAATCATAATATTGGTAAGTAGTTGCTTAAAAATCTGCTCTACGTTTTTATTTTTATCAATCAAAAGATTTTTTGATTCGAAATAAACCGTTTTAAATTTAGTGTTCTATCTCCTAGAAATATATTTGATTCCTCGTGACATTCACAAATACAAAACAGGAATTCTATTGCGTATTAACAAAATATGGAATAGCAAATAGTAATAAGCAACAATGGTAGTTACCATAAATACGGGAAAATTAATTATTGTACGCAGCTATTGTTAGGACAAGAGTTCTTTCATACCTGCTTATTCTAATAGATAAAATAGATATTGGAAAATTGACCCATTACATGCCAAAAAAAGCAGTTGTTATAATCCCTGGCACCTGCTCGTTTTCAGAACTATTACGCCAGGATGTTGTCATATAGGTAACAAAATACAGAAATGTAGTTAAACATCCGAACAAATTAATACAGAAAAATCAAGAAACCTCGAAATTCTAGAAAAGGATCGGAACCGCAATATACAGGGTGTCACAATAGTCTCGGTATTACTGTTGACAAAAACAGAATAGAACCATAAAATGACATGAAATTGGGCATAACTTTTATTTAAACATTAAAAAACAACAATATAAAATCAAAATTTGAAGCATCCACCCTTTGCCTTCACATAAGTCCGCAGACGCTTGGGGAATGCAAACACCGTGGTGGAGGTACTCGACATCGAGATCACCCCATCCTTCCTGAAGGGTACATTTCAAACTGTTGAGCATCTTGTGGGGAGTAGCATAGTCCTTGGTCCCAAGAACCAACCGCAGAGAAAAATCGAGGGGGTTTAAATCAAGCGAGAGGGGTGATTGTCATATAGATATTATGATCACTTCCTTCTTCAGAATCTCATCAAGGTAGTTCTGGAAGTTGATCTTGACCTCTTGATCCACCTGTCGTTTTGGCGGTTGAATGTTTACTCAATCGTTAATATCTCAAAGTCAGTAAAGAGGATGTCTTTGAGCTCCGCCGGTGAGAAGCATTTCAGAAATTCGAGACATGTCTTAAGGAGGTCTTCGTCTGTTCCGTGAAAGTTTGAGTCTTTTGTATCTTGATGCTACGAAGCCCTAAACCATGTTTGACAATTTTATGCACAGATTCGCGGCTGATATTCAGCTTCTTAGCGATTTTTCTAAGACTCCTAGAACCGCTAGAATCCTTTGGGAATTCTAGCGGACAAAACCTTGTCCCGGACACGCTTAATCATGGTGGGAGTCGCGGTAGTCTTTGGTTATTCACTTCTAGAACGATCCGCGATATTGATTTCCTTCTGAGTCATCACGACCTGTCTCAGCCCCAAAATCGTGGCATGGTTTACCCTTTTTGCATCCTCCACCTTATCCTTCTTGAAGATTATACTCAATAGCTCTTTGTTCGAGCATTCTTATCATGTGTCCAATCCACCTGAGTCTTTGCGATTTAATAAACCATATGACATCTTCGCCTCCTATTAAGTCCTGAAGTTCGGAATTCATTCTTCTTTGTCTTTCCTCCTCCTCTGTCACGAGGGTTTCACGAGGTTGATCCTAATATTTTACGGAGTATTTTTCTCTCAAAGAGACGAAGAGTTGAATCCTCAAAGTTCGAACATTTTTATTTTCAACTTTTCTCTCTGCTTTTCCTCATTTATGCATAGATCTTTGGAAGTCAATGTCAGTAAATATCTCTACAAGTCTCCTGCAACTTTTGGACATTACCAGTACATCATCTGTGAATGCGCATATTTGAAATAATTTCGTTATTACATTATCGCTGTTTTCAAGGCCCTCAATAGCAGAGTACCAAGCAAGATTGAACATCAGCCCTGTCTCACACCAACCCGTAACCCGAATTAACTCATTGTCACCACTACCAGCGTTGTTAATTTTTGGGGGATGTCACTATTACGTGAACACGCACAAAGCAGTGCTTTGGATTTTTTTAACAAGATGAACAAAATTTCAGATTCATACGACAAAAACGAACAAAGTTACAACATCACAAAGTTAGGCTTTTTTTTGTGTGACACCCAAAGAGGACACGAAACGAATTTAATTCGTTTTAGTATCTTTGCAGCTTTGTCCACGACCGACGTAGCAAGTATGAACAGGATAATTTTCTATTTTGGCATCGAAGATGATATGATTGAAAAATTAGAAGGCAATAAGTTACTATATTTTTACAACTTTACCACTTACAACATTCCATAAAAACTGATATCATTGGTATCAAATAAGTTTTGTACTTTTTTATTACAAATATCCTAAATAGCCAAACCTGTGGGAAATCTGACTTACTTTTTATAACTTCTGAACCAGAAGGAATATTAGAAAAAATTATTTAGTCCAATTTTTGTCATTGCTGAATTATAGCTTAGACGATGTTGTAATGCCAACAGAGGATAGATGATACTATTATGATGAAGAACGTTTTAGGACTTAAAGGATCAAAGAAGAGAGAAGTGATAAGTATAACTTATCAATCATTTATTATATTATTATTTAATCAAAATCTTGCAATGACTTTTTGTTAATTTTTGTAACAAAGGTACTATTGCAAATTTCATGAAGTTTCCTCTCCCACAGATTAAACATTTCCACGGCGGAACTTAACCAGCTCAGAAAGAATTCGTTTTGGTAAGTACCGTGAAAACACTTTTGTTGAACCCAACGGTGTTTTCAAAAAATATGTAATTTAACTTTTTACTTGTTACAAGGAACCCGCGTCGACGACGGTGCTATAAAACTTTAAAAAAACACATTGTTGCGTCCTTAACTGCATTGGCAGCGAGTTTTTATTGCATTTAACTCGACGGTGCTTGGAAATGTCGTTTCGTTCAGTTTTATTTTAAAAAATATTTGTTAATCCACACCATTTACTTTTAAATTACATTATTTTAACGTTTTTATTTGGTACTTTCTAATACCTACCTTTCATATCCATATACTTTCCAGTAATATTTTCCACATTCAACGTATTCTCCAAAGCCTCTTTAATCTGATTTTGCATCTTTAACTCATTATCCCGTAACGTTTTAATTTCCAACATTTTCTCATTTAACGTTTCGACCAAATTTAAATTTTTCTGTTGAATTCTTTTGTAATCCTGAAATAATCTCATCGTCACTTTCTTTTTCAAACCTGAAATGAAACTTTATTGTAACCTGAATTAACGTTTTAACATCACTTAAATAGTTATTATTCATGATAACGGACGAATAATTTATAATGGCCACTTTAGAACAAACAATAAGATTTTTTTTTCATAGAAAATTTCAAATTAAATTGTCATTTGTCAAATATTTACATCGAAAATTATTGGAATACGAAATAGCGCCATCTCGTAATTAATTACTTAATAATTATTTTTATTAATTTATATCGTAATTATTTATTTTGATTAGAAGATATATTATATCTTTTTTTTTTAATTATGTTTAAATGGTTAATTAAAAAGTATGTAAAAATTAAATTTTCTTAATAAAATTTTATTGAAATATGAGCGCCCTCTATTATTAGATAGTTTAAAAGTATTCACAAACAATAATTTGCGCATGCTCAGGGCGACCGAAAAGATGGCACAGATGCAAAATAGCTTCGAACATTCCTTCAAATTTATTCTAACGTTAAAATTAAACGAGCTTCGTTTTTTAAATCCCTTAAATATGTATAATTAATATAAAATAATTTGATACGGTAAATTTCTTACCGCAAACGGTATTATGTTGGCTAACCTGTACAGTATTGTGCTATATAAAATGCAACGCCATTTTATTAACCTTTTAGGCGGGGAGACGTAATTTTGCGAAATATTACGCTCCTAGCTCTTAAATTATCAATCGTGAAATAGAAACGTTGAAGGGAATACACATAACGTTAATAAAGGTAATAAATTTAATCTGATATCCTCGCGTTTAGTAAAAATTCCGTATTGTACGTTTACGTGTGACGAAGTAGTGCGGTTGTGGTGTGCTGCTGGTTCATTGTCATTATTCGTTTCTCGTTTGTTTAAATTATTTGACATTTATTTACAACGTTTCTAACCTAAACGTCGTCATTTGACAGGTAAACGTCATAATTGTGTTTTGGTTGTAGTAATAAAACTGGAGGAAATTGAATCCGGAATGGAAGATGGTTCTGATGGTCCTCTGGAACCTATCAAAAACGGCGAAGTGATGGCCAAATTACCGGAAGAAACTGAAGAGAAACAAGAACCAAAGACTTCGATTAAAATAAATGGAAATGCAAATGCTAATAATGCCAACTCAGAGGACAGCGATGACAGTTCAGATTTTGATGCACTGGTGATAGATGAATCGGTGAATACAAAAAAGAAGACGCGGAAAGGGCGGCAAAGAGGATTTAAGGGGTTTAAAAATACCGGGGAGAACCATGTGCATAGTAATCCGTATTTTAAGGAGTCTATTTTTGAATTGTTGGAAAAAGCACAAGGTAAGAAGAAAGAAGTAAAAATAAAAGAGGATGATAAAGTGGTAAAAAATAATAATAGTAATAAGATAGTTGAGAAAAAAGGAAAAGCAAATCCTAAATTAAGAGAATACACACAATATTTGGGTTTACAACCGACATTGCAATTTAAATGTAAAAAGTGTTTACGTGCTGGTTTCCCCTCGTTGGGATCATTAAACGTTCACATTTTGAATTGTACCCAAACACCTCCTTTAAATAATTTAACAAGTACAAATAACATTTCTGGTCAAACAAATATTCGCGTTACTAGAAACGTCTTTTTATGTTCAGCTTGCGGCACTTATTACGAAAACTGGAATTTATTTTTGCATATGCGCGAAGTTCATCGGCGGTACATTTGTCTTTATTGTTTAGGAATGTTTTCACATCCGGAAAAGCTCTCGTTGCACATAGTCTCGAAACACAATTGCGTTCCGAATCAGATAAATACCCCCGAAGAATTTTATAACATTTACAAAGTACCCTGTTTTCTAATGTGCTGCGAATGTCAAAAGGGTTTTACCGAAACCGACAATTTTTTTGAACACCAATGTCTCGAAAATTCTAATAAAACCACCTCCAAATCCACAGTAAAAAATTCATCGAAAAATTCCAAACCAATCGATCACGTTACGGGAGACTCAGCATCGCAAAGCCCACCGCCTTTAGAAAACGAAATCGAACGGATCGACGAAACTAATTGCAATGAAACAAGCGCAAACGATAATAACGATTGTAACGAAGATTTAAATGTAATAGAATCTAAATCAGCACATGAATTTAAATCCATGGAAACGAGAGAAGATCATTTGACAGATTCAAATTATGATGACTCAACAAAAATAATGTCAAAAGAAGAGAATGATTTAATACAACCTACAAATACGCAACAATTATCTCCAACTCACAATTTACAAGAAGACGAGAGACTTAGTGTGGATGAAGAAGAATCTATAGAAACTCGCAAGGTTCCAAAAGTTAGACTAAAATTACCAAAAACTTTTGATTATCAACAAGAAAAACTCGAAACGGAAGAGAATTACGACAGCGATGATAGCGAAAAATTAACAATGGAAGTCGACCAGATCGAAAACGAAAGTCAAGAATCAAACGGAAATATTGTAGAAATTGAAAACCATCAAAATCAAGATGCTAATAGAATGCAAATCGCCGGCGTGGAAGTTCCAATTATCGAATTAGAATTAGAACAACCTTTGGATAAGTTTGATATACAAGTTTTACTAAGGAAATGTTTAAGTTTAACAATAGCGACGTGCGTTTATTGCAACCACGCCCGAAAAATTTCGGTAAATGGTAAACAATTAGGACTTCACGCAATCGCTGAGCACAGATTTAGCGCCGTTGTAAACAGCATAACAGCCGAAGAATTAATACCGGAAAGTTTCGTTGCACGAATCAAAGATTCTTTACCCGACTTAGAATCGGTTTATTTCAATTTGGAGAGTAATTCGTCGGAGGCGATCACTTTTTCGCACGTTTTCGAATGTTTTCAATGCCGATACTCAACAACGGTACACAAAGAACTTTACCTCCACAACCGAAAAATGCACGCAAAATCAATTTTACTATGTATAATGTGTAAATCGAATTTTTATAGTTATAGCGAATTAATTTGTCATTTATGCCCCGGTTTATACGAACTAAATAGCGAAATACATTTTCGTTGTTGTATGTGCGTTAGCGATGACCTCCCATCAGCTTTCCGCTTAATGGTACACGTAAGAAAACGGCATCATGCATGCGACGTTTGTTTAGAGTTGTGCCATAACCAATCGAAGCTTTCGAATCACGTCTGGAAGCATAAATTGCATCATTTATGCTACCGTTGCGGAATAGCGTATAGAAACAAACCAGACATCACAAAACATTTATTTTGGAAACATGGAACTGAAAGTGTGTTATGCAAAAAGTGTTTGCAAAAAAAATGGCCGCATGTTTATCATTTTTGCATACCACCATTAAATTTTATTTGCGAAGAGTGCAACTTAAGCTTTTCTAAATCCGTTTATTTGATGGTCCATAAACGATTACACACCGGTGAGAAGCCTCACGTTTGTTCAGAAGAAAATTGCGGGGAGCGGTTTATTTCTAAAAAGTTACTGTTAAAACACGAATTTAAACATAGAGAACCCCAAGAAGAACCGCCCCCCATTGAGCCGGAAAAAATTGAAGAAACGGTTCAATCGGAGCAACTTGAAAACGCCGAAAAAGAAAATGAAGGCCCGATAGAAGCGCCGGAAATAATCGAAGAAAAGCCCAAACCTAAAGTCGACGTTTACGATTTACCCGAATTAAATTTATCGGAAAGCGATAGCGATTCCGACGATGAGAACGCATCAAAACCAAACTTATTAAACGCCGAAAATCTCGAAACTAACAACGAATCGGATAAACTCGAAGATAAACCTGTTTTAGAAACGATTTGGGACGATTTCCGAAACTACCAAGCGATCAAAGAAAAAGAAGAATACGAAAGCAAAATCGAAGAGATAAAAGAAAAAATTAACTTAGAAAACATCTTAAACGACCACGATTATTGCGTAATCCCGGAACAACCCGACTTGGAATTACGCGAAATCGATATGAGTGCAGACCACGATTATTGCACCGGCCCAAAAAATGAAACCCCCCAAATCGGGCAAACGGCAAGTAGTAAAAGTCCGCAAAAGAAAAAGCACGAAGGCAGCTCGTCAAGCGATAGCAGCGATTCCGATTCATCAAGTTGTACATGCGGGTCAAATTGTTCGTGTAGCTCAAGTTCCGGGAGTAGTTCTTCATCATCAGATAGTTCCGAATCGGATAGTTCATCATCGGAAGGGAGGCGGAGACAAGAAGCCCGGAGAGAAAGGAGGAAACAAAAAGCGAATAAAAAGGCCGAAGTCGAAACCGTCGATGTTGTTAATAACGACAACCAACCGGTTATTATCCCGGATGTTCCCATCCAAGAATCCGATTTAGAAACGACCGAATCGGACACGGACGAAGATTTTTACGACAAACAACCCCAAGAATTAACGAGTAAAATTTTAGCGGAGAAGAAAAATCAATTATTACAAATGGCGTCAATTGGACCCTATATAAACGGGTCAATTATGGATGGGAGTCGACCCCCCACGCCCAGTTTACCCGAAGAACCTAAAAAGAAAAAATCGAAATCGAAGAAGAAAAAAAAGAAAAATAAAAGTTCTAAATACGACGTTGAAAATCCAATCACCACCATTAATAATTATCAATCCGTGGCTCCTTTAACCCTAACCTTACCGAAAAATTCCCCGATAATCACACCTTCATATTCGCCAGATCCCGTTCAAACACCCACACCAAGTCATCAACAACCAAGTGAATCCGACTCAAATGTGCGAGCTTCTAAACGAAGACGAGTTCCAAATAAATTTTATGGATATTCGAGCGATGAAGAACAAGAAAAAGTTCAACCTCCCGTGCAAAAGTGGAGAAAAACCGATTTACCTTCAGTACCTAGATCGCCGTTAGTTGTACCTCCCATTACTATAAAAACTACGCCTATTCCGGAACAATCCAGAATACCAGATTTTACACATCACATAAAACCTTATCGACCTCCAATTATTCCAAAATTAAAACCTTTACAAATCGCTGAACCTGAAAGTGGAACAGATTCAAACGATACCAGTTCGGATGAGGAACCCCCTCCTGCACCACCACCAATTGCTGCTCCACCACCGCCACCTTTAGCTCAACCTCAACCGGCTTTGTATTGTTACTGTCGGTGTCCGTATGATGAAGTTTCGGAAATGATCGGCTGTGACTCTAGTGACTGTGCGATAGAATGGTTTCATTTTGAGTGTGTCGGGATTATGGTGCCCCCGAAAGGACAATGGTTTTGTCCAGATTGTCGGAAGAAGAAACAACAGCGTCGTGAGTTACTACAAGGTCACACAGTGTAGGTGGCATTTGTGGATGTTGAATTGTGTATATAGATAGGGACGTTTCTAAAAAAAAATGAAGATACCTTTTTCTTTAATATTTAATGACAGTCGAACTAAAAACGTGAATTGTGGCTAAGTTGTTCAAATAAGAATAAACTTTTTTTTTTTCATCTTTTTATGATCTTTTTTTGTGAAAAACGCATAAACGATCTTACCATATTAATTTTTTTTCTCTTGTACATTTTCGTTTTATTTTTACAACTAACGAACTTTAGGTATTATATTAATACACACAAAGATGTTTTGGTCAAAAAATTGTTTGTTATAGGTTTTGTAATTTCACAAATTTATTTTAACTATGATGTAATCAATGATCTGTATAAAATTGATAACACAGAGTAACACAAAAGTGAAGGTTAGCAGTTATGATTGACTACAGATAATAAGATTATTTTAACAAGAACTATGATATTTATTAATTTAAAATTAAAACGATATTGCCCGGTTAAGTGAAATGTTACTCTTTGCAAATTTGGTGCGCAACTTAAATGGAGTGCTTTTGTCACATCAAAAAAGAGACGCCATTGGGTTCATTTATGTGTTATTCTGTATTATGTGATTATAAAGTTATCCAACTCTGACAATTTAAATGATAGATGTTTAATTAATTGATTAGTAACCATAGTTTTGATTGAAGAATATAAATGATGCGTTTACATTAGACATATTTGTAATTTGCAATGCATTTACACTTAATTACAACAAAGATTATAACAACATTTCCAGATAACGCTGTTTTTGTCAGTTCAAAAGTCGCTATACAACAATGTCTTCCTGTTTTAACTCTTTACGTAAAGTATGTCTTTTAAATTGGCAAAACACTTTAATCCTGTTGCCTCTGTAAAGAGCTGCTAGGCTAGATACGCAGTTGATGGCCAAGTCTCAACGGCCATCGATATCTAAGTGGCCACGATTACATTATGCTTATAGAATTTCGGTGGCCAGATCGCCTAAAGATGTATCCAAACGTAACGCGGCGTTCGCAGGATGCAATAAGTATGCGCAGAAAGATTTAGAACTCACTTATAAGCTACGCACTTATTTGTCACTCACATATCGCATAGCACTGCTGCGAAAATATTTTTTGGTATGTCCAAACTTGCGCACGGCAAAATTGTGTCCTGTACTTGCCGTGCGCAAGTTTTCATATTGATAGTGGACACGCAATTAAATTGTGTTAAAGCCAGTATTAATCGGGGAAAGCGGTACACAACATTGATATTTGATTGAGTTAATGAGTTTTGGTAAACCACACAAACAGTTGTACTACTAAGTAGTCAAATAGTCATATAATCAAGGTAATTTTCCTCGCTGTCACTTATGCTATTAAGTAAAATTTCGGAAGTTCTGATAAGATTTCAATGTCATTAGCGATAGATACCGTTGATTGAATCCTGAAGGATTTACTCCAACAGTAGATACATAACTTCTGTAGGTCACTATAAAATATCCTTTAATTATAAGTCTTATTTACTAAGATTGATGAGTAGGCGTTTCCTTTCATTGATATTATATACATTTTATTAGTTTATTTCTTTCGCAGATGTTGGTACAGATCAATATTTTTCTCTTTTTAGTTCCCGCAAATTTAAAATATTTATCCGATCATTTACTGTTTAAACCGCTACATTCCATTTTGACGTTTCCATAGTATTATACATATCATCGCACATTATCGGTGAATGGCAAAGTTCCAAAGATATTTGTTCACAATTTTCTGCTATAATATCTGCAATACGTCATTTTTTGGTATTTGAAGGTCAAAACAACGAAATTGAGTTTATTGCTTGCACTTATCATTTTTCATTGTACATTTGCTCAAGAGCAGTCTTCTACTCTGTTGTTCAGAGCGGTATCTACTATAACAGAAATCTCTCTTACAGTTAGTGTAATATGGTAATTTAGTCTTTTCTTCTTTTGGCCTGTATCTTCTATATTACAATCTCATTTCATTTTATCTGCTTTATTCTAACGAATTTTTTTCACTTAAAAAGAGCAAAATACTTAAAGAGTAACTTACACTCATAAAATTTTCTTGTCTTATCACCTTTCTTTTATGAACAATTGGCCACTGATTGGCCAATCTCTTAACATTAACTTTGCTTGACATAGAGTCATTTAGACTAACTAGACACCTATTAAGTCTTCCTGTAAGTGTTTCGTATGGTTGTGGAACTCACTGCAACTAAATATCAGTATATGTGTTGTGCGAATTTATTTCGAATTTTTGACACCTTGGATAACTTACCAAAAATTGTATTTTGGTAAGGAACTTCAAAAATCAAAGTCTAATTACTGCCACACATTAATTTTGATAAAGTCACTGTTTTTGCCAAAGCTCTTAACATTCATTTAATCATTTCTGCTTGATTTAAAAACTCATATTTGTAAAAAAAATGATTTTACCAGAACGTCAAAGCAAAATAGCTACTGTAACGGTTAGTTCAAGCCTACAGAATAATATTTGATAGTATTTTAAGATCAAGTGCATATGCGGAATTCACCAAATTCTGGCAGATTTACACTCACAGTTGCAGTGTACTTCCCAAACTTTTGGCCAAATTCATTCCAAATAGAGAATAAACTTTTTTTGGTTACATATTGAAAGGGGGATTGGGTTTGACATAAATTGCATGTTAATAACAAATGTTAGATGTAAACGCATCATTACAAAAAGATTCAGACTTCATGTACCATTTTAAAACTTGCATCCTAGCGAGATCAAAAAATCGAATGTGGGTGTAATTGCATAAGTAATAGCTTCCGTTTGATTTTTTGATGATCGTGACATTCAAGAAAGAGTATCTCACAATCATCAGGTGGTTATATAAAAAATCATGGTGGCGCGTGCAATGAGAGTATTAATTTTGCACTGAATTTTTTTGATAATTAATTGTCAAATTGTTTATAGTTAGAGAGTTGCAATCAATTATTTATCGTAGCCAATATCAATCAAAATTTGGTAATTTTTGGTTTAAATTTATTACTTGCCGTTGTTTTTGCCATTTTGTCAATTAATGCGTATTAAGTTTCGTATAATATATATAAAATCGATGTAGCCCCTTTTCACGGTTCGTAAATGGCAGCTACGAACGTAAGCGAGATGTCATCCTGAGTTTTGGAAAAAAAATCAAATCATTATGTTAAATTATATTAATGTATTAATTTAAATTATTTAAAAAAGGATCAAGGTGACGTCCTTATTACTATTACTCCTTATAATGTTCGGTTGCTTCCTCTTATGGAGAAATTAACATATTATGCTATATTTCCCAATTAGGATGACTTAAATTGAAAGCAACTTTATTCGGTTTTATGACGATGTCAATTTTTTTGATCTGGACAGAAGCGCTCTATAACCAATAAGGAGCAGATAGCCGAAAATGTTAAAAAAAATTTTGATTTTATGGGGTATAACAAAAATTTGCTTCAAAACGTTTTATTAACAGTAACGTTCATTTTGAAACTATTCCAAAAAAATATGTGACCTGTTACAACACCCCCTGTAATTGTCAGAGGCAAAGAAAAATTTTGATTATATTTTTTTACATCGGTTTATTGGCGTGATAAAATTTTATTTAACGAAATAATTGTTTCCTTTACATAAACGCATCAGTATTAGTCACAAAATATACACTTATTTTTTTCTGTACTTTAGTTATGAGTAATAACAATATTAAATTTCACTTCATTTTTGTTTATTAGCTATTCTACTTTTATTAATTAGTACAGTTTTATTGTAAATATTTATAAACAAACTTTCAATTAGTAATTATTTCATTGTTTATATTGTAAATAGCGCATATTGTGTTTGTACCTGTAAATAAGGTATAATCCCGAAATACTTAAGCTATGTGATTCTCTTCAAAGGCAAGTATTTGTAGTTTTATTTTCACTTTTTTATGTTATGTTTATCATTTTTTTTTGTACGACGCCAACGTTTTCTGTAATATCATTATTTAGTAGTAATAGTAACCGAAATCGAACCAGTAACGTTTTTGCCAAATTAATTAGTGTACATTTTGTAAATAGATAATTGGCCGGCTCTCTATTCGTCGTCTTCGAATGGAGCGTAAGTGTTATTTTTTAGCGTAGCGAGATGATCTGAAGAGAAGAGAACGAGGATTCTATGTAATAAAGAACTTTCTCAATAATAAAGTAAGATTTTTTTTAATGTATATCTTAAAAAATTCCCTCTCTTATTTTTTTTTAAATTCCTGAAATAAAATTAAGTGTTTGTGTTAACATAAAGATGATGGATTAGCGTAAATATTAAACATTTTTTTTACAAAAATATTTTTATTAACTACTACTGATGACATTATATACATACACTTTTTGCATATATGTAACAGAAAATAAAATGTGAAACGTAATGAGATCAGTCCACTTTTTTACGCATATCATTGCTTTCTGCCAAGGAAGGTACACATTTTCTTTGGCACTTTTCAAAAACATAAATATTCCTCGATTCAACAAAACTTGAAAAAAAAATGTACAAAAAAAAAAAAAGAAAAAATTAAAATTTTCGCTTAAAAAGAAAAGATTCAACCCAAATTTAAGAGAAAATCAAAACGAATGAAATCGACTAGCATTTTCAAACAGCATTTTAGACTTTCCAAAAATAGTAAATAAAACCGCGCGATAATGGAGACTAAAAAGTCGTTTCGAAATAAATGTAAATGATTGAAAATTATTTTAATAAATACTAAGACTGAATTGGTAATGTTATAATGAATGTAATTATGAAATTAATATTTTAAAATTGAGTATTCTTATAGTAATAGAATATTTTTAGATTCTTCTATTTAATATTACGTTTTGTTTGTTCAATCACATACAATTAATAAAACCAAAACGGGTTCATGTATCTATTATCATTGACGCGGCCAATTCGACGTTCCAATTTGAACGTTGTAGCGCTCTTTCACATTGTTCTTTAGTTGCAAGACCCAACCTAAAATAAAAGCAATTTTAAAATAATAAAGAATTTACTTAATTCTTTATAGAAGGAATAATATTACTTACTTCACTAACTTATCTACTTTTAATGATCGAATGGCTGCGCCTACATCCCATCCTAAATTTTGTAAAGTGGTTAGACATAATTCGGAATCAACATCTGGAACGGAATCTTTTACTTGGCTAATTTTATTTGTGCGGTATTCTGGAGTCATTAATCTTTCAGCATCAGCACTTAACTAAAAAAATAATATATTAATAAAGGTGGTATTAATTTAATTTGTCAATATTATAGTTAAACCTTGATATAATGGATTAATATAGGGAAGGACATGTTCTATTTAGTCTAAGAGATCTCAGAACTCGAAGGCCCGTTCGTGACGTCACGCATGGGTAGGCAACTACTATAACTAACATTAGAACTATAAACATTCAGGTTTAGCCATGCGTTTCTTAAGGTGGCTAAACCCGAATGTTTCTAGTTCTACGTCGTCTTAGATAAAATTTTAGTTCAATAAAAAATTATAACAATCCAGCTCTGAATAACAATTAAGATTAAAACTACCGTCCTTGATTTATACATCATATAGGCATTGAGGATAATGAAAGGACGGACAAGCTGTCCATAGAGGAAGCGAGAACGCCCTACATTGGACTCCAACCCGGCTGTGGACAACAAAAAAGCCACTTAAAACAGGTAATTAATAGTTGGGAGGCCTCAAAGGTAGCCTTACGCTGGAATGAACTTCCAGGTCACAGACAGGCGAAGAGTATGATAACTCCGTCGCAAAACAAAACCAAAGAGGTTTTATACCAGCATTTAAAGTCGCTTTCAGGTTTCTTGGCCGGCCATGCGCCCCTAAAATACCACCTCTTCCATATAGCTGAGGATCAAGCTTTTCCGACTTTGCAACGACGAGTCAGAGACTGCTGAACATATACTGGATGAATGTGAGGCCTAAGACACAACATTTTCGGTAAAGTTTGCCTGACACCTACTACTACACTACTAAAGTTTATAAAGAACCTGCATTTGCCCTAAAGTTTTGGTGGGAGTAAGATACAATAGATGTTATAGGTTACAGTGACGAGAGGGGCTGCTCCCCCCAGCAATAATAATAAAAGAAGTCCCTGAGCAGTAGAAGCCACGCATGGCGTCTGCAGCAAATTTTGATACGAATGTGTTTGCTGCTGTAAGTATTACGTTATTTTTAATAAAATACATATTTTGCTAGAGCAAAAATATTTAATATATATTAAACAATTGTTAAAAACATAAAATTAAATCAATGAAATAAATAAATAGATATAATTTTAGTAATAAATTTCCTAAGTGTTAAAAACTGATTTAGTAAAGCTTGTTGAAGTGTGGTCTTGGTCTTGGTGGCGCGCGATCTTGTTGGAATAACTGCCATTGGAATTCAGGTTTTTTTCCATCATGTTCCAAATACATAGTTACACAAAACCTTAGTATTAAATCGTCTCAAATTCATAATGTATAAGGAAATATATTATAAAAACGAAAATTGTCATAAATTTTATGACAACGCGCCCGCTCGAAGTTTAAATATATAACAAATAAATTTCAACAAGGTCAGTTATTATATCAAAGTCTTACTGTATAATAATAATTCAAAATGTACCCACTTGTAGTTTTCTTTGAATTTGTTGCATACTTTGAGGTTGTCCAAGTACTAAAGGTGATGGAGGAGCTGGGCGATGTGGTTTCAATACATCATTAGGTACCGTACTGTAGACATGTTCTGGAATTTCTGAGTAAACACTCCCAGCAACTTCGCTGTATTCCCTACTATTGTTACCAATAGTACTATAATACGTTTGTGGTACACTGCTTTGTTGATAATAACCTAATGCGTCGTTATTATAAGTCGGTTGGTATGTTGAATATTTATTTGGTACATTTCCATACGTAGTAGTACTATAATGATTATTATGTGGTGAATTTTGCGAGTAATTTAAATTAGATTTAACATCAATGTCGTTAACGCTATTTGAATAATTAACGGATCCGTTCAATTCGGGCAAAGCACTCGTTTGAGTAAAGGCGCTACTTTGTAATGAATTTTTAATTTGTAGATTATTTACGAAAGTGGTATTTGTGGATTCGTACAACGTTCTGTTTTGGTTAGTATTTTTCAAATTCGAACCACCGTTCGTGTACAAATTATTATAATAAGTCGGACTAATTGTACTTTTCCTATTTTTCCCATTCAATTGAGGCGGCGGTTCTATCACAGGTAAATCTTTATCGACGCTTATATTCAATGTCTTTTCTAATTCCGCAATAAAATTACTATCCAAGGGTGTGTTGGTATAATTTCGAGATGATTCACACAACGATTCGTTCGAATGAAAACTTTGAACCGAACCAATTTGCGCACCACTTAAATTAGACTTTGTTGGCGATAAATGTGAGGAGTAAATTTTTTGTGTGGTAGCATACGGTTTTGATGTATCAAATGGGTCATTTAATTCTGATTCTGTTTGTCCCGGTATGCTTAAATTACCGTATTCAGGAGGAGCGGCGTAAGGAGGTGGTACTCTTTGAGGAGTTGTATTAATCCAGTCTAAATCTTGTGGAACGTCAATTGGTTCGTCTAATAAAGAAACTATTCGAGTATCGATTGTAGATGGTGCGCTTTTTATGGTTATTTGTTGTTCTTCAGGAGAAAAATCAATTAGAGCATTTTCTTTGTTTGGTTGAATATTATTGGGTTGTGGTGGTCTCGCTGGTTTTACTTTGACTAAATTTTCATTTTTTAATTTGTGGTAGTTAAATTGACTTCTTTGAGAAGCGCGAACACTTAAACTAGTACTTTGATCTAAAATGACAGAGTTTAATGATTATGTAACATTTCGAATTAAACTAGATTTACTTTTATGTAGCCTTTTCTTATCATGTTGTAATATAACCGACTCCCTGGGAAGTCCCATTAAATCAGGGGGCTCCATTGGATTATTCAAATACATTTCGTCTATATAACTAGGACTTCCCCATGATTCTCCAAAAGCTGTACCATGTCCAGTATGAATAAACGAGTTTTTAAGGGGTTTAGAAATATCTTCTGGAATTTTTGGCCTTAAAGGATCCACAATACACCTAAATAAAACAAATGGAATGTATAAAATTATAACCCCATTTCCAAAAACGTTTACCTAGGAAAAACACCAATATCATAACTTCTTTGGTGCTGTCCTTTCCACCAATACAACTCAGCATCGCCATCAATAATAGCTATTTCATCGCCCTCTTCAATTTTTAATTTTTCCGGATCACTTTCATCTTGCCTTGCTAAAGCTTTCATCACTGGAGGAGCCATTTTCCGGAAAAACTCCTTTAAATTTGCGAAAGACGGTCGATCCTGGGGATTCCTAGCCCAGCATTTCAACAACATTTTATAAATAACCGTAGGACACGCGTCTGGATGATGCAATCGTTGCCCTTCCTTATCAATTTTTCTTAAAATTTCTGACCCCCCCAATCCCATCCAAGGATCTTCGCCGAACGTAAACATCTCCCAAGCTGTAACGCCAAACATCCAGGCGTCGGAAGCATGACTAAACTGTCGCGAACGTAACGATTCAGGGGCGCACCATGGAAAAGGCACTTTTTTGTGTTCTGTCATAACGTAGCAGTCTTCTTCTTGAGGTAATGCTCGCATTAAACCAAAATCGCCTATTTTAACCTAATCGAAAAAAGTCTATATCAAAGAAATTTAATGTTATTTAATTTTACCTTATCTATAGCGGCTAATAAAACATTTCTACACGCAAGATCTCGATGTAAAAATCGCTTGCTCTCCAAATAAGCCATCCCCACAGCCACCTGAGTGGCGTACTCGCACAGCATAGGAACAGGTGTTTGTTGGCATTGTTTACGTAAGTAATCTAATAAAGCTCCTAGAGGAGCTAGTTCTGTAACCATCATCATTGGTTGAGTTAAAACTACGCCATATAATCTTTAAAATATAAAAAAATATATTAATTTTGATGTATTCTTGAGTAATTAAATTAATTACCTAATTAAATTAACATGAGTTAAACTATGCATTGCTTGAACTTCTCTTATAAAATCTTCTAATATTCCTGGTTGACTTAACGTGTCTGCTTTTAATATTTTTACAGCTACAGGAAGCATTCGTCCATTTGGGCTATGCCATTCACCTGACCAAAAAAATCATCATTATGAGATGACGTAGTAAAATTACTACATTATGATATCATTTCTAAATCATCTAAGCTTTTGACTTTAATGTAGCTCCGGAATTATAGATACAATATAAATAGGGAGCATGTATTTAAAAGGATAAACAACATCAAAATATTTTCACCATGATTAATAAAAATAAATATTGTACTCAGGGAAAGATCGAAAATAAACAGATTTGATAAATTTGTATGATTTCGTGCATAATCGCCGTCTCGAAATGCTTTAAGTAATCTGATTTTGTTTGATATTACATTTTTATTTAAAAAAGATAAGATTTAGTATAAACTTTTTTTAAATTTGAATCAAATCATTTCAAGTAACAAAATTATTAATTAAAAATCGCAATTAAATATAAAAATAGAAAGATAATGTGTACCTCTTTTAACGACTCCAAACGAACCATCTCCCAACTTAATAGATAAAGTGATGTCGCGTTCCGGAATTAGGCAAGTCAAGGCAGGTACTAAATTATCGTCAGCGCTTTTCTTGTTAGCCGTTTGCTTCGCGCCAACTGGAATCACCTTTTTTAATATGTCTTTTTTCCATTGTTTCGATTTACGTTTTTTAACGGCGTCTAATAATCTACGTATACCTAAAATAAATCATAAACAACGTCTTAAGTTTACTGTTTTATATCAGCTGTATTTAATGTGTACAATTTCTTTATTTTGGGAGAACTCTTAAACCAATTTCAACAATATATAAATTTTAAAAAGATATAATTTAAAAAATCCGTTGTTATATATACAATTATTGAGCTATATGAAATCTATTTTTTAAAAAACTAATGTTGCAATTTAATTTATGACACTTTCAAAATGCATGCTTGCTTGATCAATGGCTATGATGTGGCGCAGACAAAGAGCAACATGTTATAAAATTCGCTTAAGTGTCTAGACATCAATACTTTCAATGACCTACTCATAAGCTGTTTTAAACTCGCCAACGTTTCAGGGTTCATTTCATTATCTTTAGTTCTGGACTAAACTACTTCCATCACTTCTTCTTCTTTGCCTTTCCCTTATAACTCTGCTGAATCGCACTTTTCATGCAGTTCAGCCACTTCGTTCTGGATCCCCTCCTTCCCCTGTTCACTTCTCATCAGTATGTGTCACAACTAGGGTTCCTCACTTCTGGTTGTATTTCTGACTCTATCCTGCCCTTGTACTTCTGGTCCTGCCCATTATTCGCCTTAATCTCATTTCTGCAGCTATTACTTTGCTTTTATGTTTATCCTGCATTAGCCAGGGTTCCGCGTCATATATCAATGTTGATACATATAGTGATTTAGAGATACATATTTATTTTTTACTCTTTGTTATTAATCAAAGTTGTGTAAATCTGGTAATACACTTATGTTGCTTAGGACGTTTTTTTTACTTTCTGATCTATCGTCCTGTCATTTCTTATGACTACCCCGAAGTATTCATAGTGATTTATTACCTCTAATCTGTTCTGTCCACATCTGACGTTTATGTATTCTTCCTCGTTGGCGATTGGTTTGCTAATCTTCATATTTAATATTTCATTGCTCGTTGCCTGTGGCTTGAAACTTCCTGAGTAGTCCGCCAATAATACTATATCACCTGAATACACAAGACTTTGTAGGCTTACTTTTCCATTCTCCAGTGTCCAAGGAATTCAAACACATACATAAAATTCGAGGCAGAAATCAAAACCAAAGAAGGCATAGATAATCAAAATTAAGTCTCCAATGTGAAAGACATTAATGGTTTGAAACGTTAGGAGATAAAAATCATTGTGAATAATAAAGCTTAGAGCATTGATATGACAGCGACTAAGGTTATTTCTAAGATCATCTTCGAAGTTATTTCAATCCCATTGCTCTGGTTAATATTGATGATATAGGTGCCCCCCACCAATTGTTATCTTAAATGTGTTTAAATAAGAATAAATATAAACTTTCAGTCATTCGAAAAAAAAAACAATTAAAACCTGTGTTAGCGATAAGAATTTTATAGTTTGGTTTCGGCGAATTTTGATAACTATATCCTGAACCCATACAATACCATGGGATCACCGGATTAAAATTTTTTACCTTAAAATCTAGTATTATGTAGAATTCTTCATATAGTTGTCAGAATTTAAGGTTCTTCTTAAAGACGCTTTGCGTTATTGGCGATCCTCACGACTGACAATGATGTTTCTTCCAAATTGCATTTACCTACTGCTGAGGTTAAACTTTTGTACTCTTAAAAGATGAGTGTCAGACTTTGTCAGTATCATGTGTTCAGAATTTCCGGAATTCTGATACTCTTTTTCTCTTCAAAAAATAAAAATTCGAGATTGCGGAATATATCACGTTTGCAGTGGGTCCAGTTAAACATTAAGTAATGAGGACATTATTAAGAAACGATATTGGAGAGACTTAATCAGAACTCCTTGTGGCCACAAATTCTTTAGTGAAGGGGATCTCCTTGTATGATGTCATTTATATTTTTGGACACTTCTTAACACATTTTTTACGTTAGAAAAATACTCAAATAAGATTTTAAATCGGTAGATTTCGAATGTGGTGTTTTTTTAACAATGAAACAATAGATTGAGATATTATTTATCAAAATTGTTTAATAAGTTCTCCTAAAATAAATCTTAGCACAAATTTTTAAATTAAATATTTATCTTAAACTAGAAATTCTTATGCAACTCTCAGCAGATGATTGTTGTGCTATTTTACGTTTTGTTTTCTAAAAATAGGTAATTATAATTTTAAATTTCAATTCTTTTTTGAAGCAAAGAAAACGAGCGTGGTGATCGTTAAATTAACAAGACACGTTCGTTTCGAACACGTAATAGCAGAATTTGTTGTTTTTTTCTTTTAAAACGCCTTTATTATTCTATTTTTATATTTACGATGTTTATCAAACCAATCTTCAAAATTATTTATTGTCTTCTAAACGTTGAAAAACAAAATCCATCAATATCGGTTATTGCAATAATCTAATTTACTACACATAACAATTTTGCGTATTATTACAGCGCGATTGGGTAACTGTTTTTAGAAATTGTAAATGATCAATGAACTTTGGACCATTAAAGAGAATTATCTATGTTTTATAGAACAATCTTCATACTTGGAATTTCCAATAAAAAATTATCGAAATAACTGGAATTATTTTTATTCGTTACTTAAAAAATGAAATTGATAATAATCTTTAAATAACTCTAAATCAATCGTTTTATGGATATTTTTGTGAATGTTAAATAAGTAACTCATATAACTGTGAAAATTAAAACCGCAAATACATATTTATATCATTTAAATTCATTAATTTACATAACAAGTAAACATTGCTTCTTCTTAAAACATACAAAACAAAATTTATTCGAACCTACCTGGTTTACTAATTCCAATTTTTTCAAGATCCTCACTTTTAACGTAATCGAAATGCTCCAACCGAGTAATTTGTAAGTCGTCTCTAATTGGTGCCAAAAATTGGAGTAATTGTACATCTTGTAATACTTCGTGTAACCACTCAATGCCTTCCTCAGACATTGCTCCCAAAATACTAAAAACTGCTGTTAAACCGTTTTACTTTATCTGTATTTAAAGAAGTAGATAACTTCAGCAATTTCCGCGAATTCCGATCACAAATAAGGGTGAAAGTAATACAACAAATCGAATTTGCATTAACGATGATGACAAAACGTTTTAAAAGGCAAACGTTACGGTCGTTTTTTGGTCGCGCTTATTATTACACGGTTCACTTTCATCCTCAAGTTAAATAATAATGTATTCAGAGGAAATACGCCAATAAAAGCAAGGTTACACTTATACAATAAGAATAAAGATTACACTTACCTTGCGATTTTTTACGGTTCCCTTTATGATTTATAAATACATTATAAGTAAATATCACAAATGTTTAAATTTTTTTGCACTTCTTATCAATAAGCACTTAAAAACACACTTTCAGCTACGGTTTTATAAACATTGTCATATTTGACAGCTCTCAAAAGCAGACTAGATTTATATGCAGGCGTACCAACTTAAACTTACAGCAAGTAATTTATGGAATTATCCTTAAAAACTATTCTTTTAATACAAAATTAATTAAATATAATAATATAATACTTATTATTAATGATAATATCTAAAATTATAAAGAGGTTAAAATGGTTTTAGAAATTAAAAGTTTAGTAATTTTTTATTCTTAATGTTAGATTAATACAAAAGGTCAAACAGTTTTAAATTTACATCAAATAGGTTAAATAACTGTCAGTTGATAAATAACAGAAAATGAAACTTTATAAACAATATAAAGAAAACTTAGAAATACGAAATAAAATAAACGTTATAAACAAAGAAAAAGAATTGTACGAATTAAAACAAGAACTATGCGATATAAATTCCATTCAGAAGGAAATTATTGATAGTTTGGAAAAGATAGTTGGAAATATTCAATTTATAAACAAGGAAATACCTAAAGTTTGTAGTGTAATTAATCACGAAAATAAAGTTCCAATGAAAGAAGAAGATGCTAAAGTTGTAAAAGATCTTTTAATAACAATACCAACAACCTCAAGGGAAATGATACCCAATATAACATCTGGTGTTGAAAATATAAGTCGGATTAATACAGATATTTTGAAGAATGCTTCAAGCAATGTGGATTATTATCAGCAATCTTTCCAGTCTAATAAAGAGCTTATTGATAGTGTTAAGGATTTAATCGATGGTGATTCTACCACTGATGAGGAAGCTTGTTTTAGAAGAAGTTTAATTAATACTCAGTTATTTTGTGAATCATTACGGATAGCTTCAACTCCTATGCCAACTCAATCAAAATAAAACATTTTACTGAAGAATGCCAATATCTCCTTTTTATTAAAAAAATGTGTTTCTTGATACTAAATGTTGTTACTTTAAATAAATTACTATAAAAACCTTTGTTTTCTGATTCTAATCATAAAAATAATGATTGTAAACAAATCAAAATAAATACATATATTTGGTAACTTCATCTTTTTCATGTTTGTTCATATAAAAAATGACAACTTAGTTCAAATTTGGTTCAAATTCGCTTAAATTAGGTTAAATAACTGTCAGTTGAAAAAAAAATGAAACGAAAATGGATCTTTACAAGCAACATAAAGAAAACCTCATGTTACAACGCAAAATAGAAGAAGCAAAAAAGGAACAGCGATTATTCAAATTAAAAAAACAACTAAGCGACATGAATTCCACTTACAAAGAAGTTACGGATGGTTTAGAAACCATATCTGGAAATATTAAATTTCTTAACAAGGAAATGAACAAAGTTAATAATGTGATTAATCATGAGAATAAAGTTCAAATGAAAATGGAAGATGCAGACGCCCTAAAAGATCTTCAAAAATCAGTGTTAACAGTTCCACTGAAAGAAGATGATGTTATTACTGGTGTTGATAATTTAAATAAGTTGAAAGAAAATATTTTGAACAATGCTTTAATTAATGCTGATTATAATCTGCGATCTTATCAATCTAATAAAGAACTTATTGATAATATCAAGGAGATAATTGATGGAAATTCTGATGGTCATAATGAAGAAACTGTTACTGCTGCATCTTCAATGAATACTCATTTATTTTTGGAATCAGAATTGGTTTCTTCTTCGCCTATGCCTACTACTACTACTAAAGTACTAAGTAGTACAAATTCTAAGATAGAAACAATTAAAAAGTGAACCATTTGGCGAAGAGAAGTTGCACTTTTGGTTCATCTTCTTTTTTTTTTGTTTTCATTGTATTATGTTTAAGTTACAATATCATCACTAATAGTCAATCTTTTATTTAAGTGGAATTATATTAACAAATGTTTAATTTTTTTGTATTTAATAAGTGTTGATTATTCTTATGTAAAACTTATACTATCAGAATTGGTAGCTTCTACTCCTATGCCAATTAATAGTACTAAAATAGTAGTACAAATTCTAGAATAGAAACAATTAAAAAGTGAACCATTTGGCGAAGAGAAGAAGTACACTTTTGGTTCATCTTCTTATCTTTTTTTGGTTTTCATTCTATTATGCTTAAGTTATAACATTATTACTAATAGTCAATCTTTTATTTAAGTGGAATTATATTAAGTAAGTTATTATAAAATGTTTAATTTTTTTGTACTTAATAAGTGTTGATTATTCTTATGTGAAACTTATACTATCAGAATTGATAGCTTCTACTCCTATGCCAATTAATAAATAGTACAAATTCTAGGATAGAAACAATTAAAAAGTGAACCATTTGGCGAAGAGAAGAAGTTGCACTTTTGGTTCATGTTCTTACCTTTTTTGGTTTTCATTCTATTATGTTTAAGTTATAACATTATTACTAATAGTCAATCTTTTATTTAAGAGGAGTTATATTAAGAAAGTTTATTAGAAAATGTTTAATTTTTTTGTACTTAATAAGTGTTGATTACTCTTATGTAAAACTTATACTATCAGAATTGATAGCTTCTACTCCTATGCCAATTAACAAATAGTACAAATTCTAGGATAGAAACAATTAAAAAGTGAACCATTTGGCGAAGAGAAGAAGTTGCACTTTTGGTTCATGTTCTTACCTTTTTTTTGGTTTTCATTCTATTATGTTTAAGTTATAACATTATTACTAATAGTCAATCATTTATTTAAGAGGAGTTATATTAAGAAAGTTATTATAAAATATTGAATTTTTTTGTACTTAATAAAGTGTTGATTATACTTATGGAAAACTTATACTTTAAGGCCCACTTTTACCAGTTCTTGATAAATTTATCTGATAGATAAATTAGCGCTCTTAGCCAATGAGAGCGCTTAAAGCCGCTGTAACCATGGTAATTATCCCTTAGTTCCCAAACAGTTTAGGATGGTAAAAGTGGACCTAAATAAATTAATATGAGATATCTTGTGTTACACTATTTTGACATTTTAGATAATTTTAGCCTTTTTATTCTTCTATTTCTATATATCATCCTTATTTTATGCGACCAGTTCCTCTTAAATGGCTCACAAAATTTCTGCCCTTGTCATTATATTTTATCTTCCTGATGCATAACAAACATAGAAAAATGCAACAATGCTATTTTAATGTTACAATAATTTATTTAAGGTAGGTACTGTACTACGGTAATTCCAGGCGGAAGTATTTCCTATTGACATGGATCCTAGAATCCTTCTTGAGAGAGGGGTGAAGAACATAGCACTGTAAAAGCCGCCATCATTTGTAAAGGTACCAATAGTAGTTGGAAGAATGATCTTCCATTAATTCTATTAGGTATCAGATCTTCTCTTAAAGAGGATTTAGGATGCTCGTCTGCCGAACTTGTTTATGGGCAACCCCTACGTCTACCAGGTGAATTCTTCATCACATCTCATGATACGACTAACATTAGATCCATTACTTATTTCGCTAAAAAAATCTTTTCAAAATTAAAACCTAATCCAACATCCTCACATACCTCTTCCAACATTTTCGTTCATAAAAGTCTGTATAAATCAGAGTACGTATTTATTCGACTAAAAAGTATTAAGTCAATTTTAGCTGCTAGGACCTTTTAAAGTGGTACAAAAGTTTCCCAAAACTGTCACCATTTTAAAAAATAATCAGCGACATTGTATTCATATCGACCGATTGAAACCAGCATTGATTTTAAACAACAATAAATCTTCAAGTATTGAATCATTAAATAAAAACAAAACAATTAGATTTAATTTTAATGAATAATTAATAATTGATTAATAACGATTTATTTTTCAACCGCTGCAATTATATTTACTCTATTCCAGCACTTGTCAGTGTGAAGGGCGTTATAAACTTATTAAACCCATTCAACCTAGAACAGGAAATCTTATCAAAAGTATGCAAGCTCATCCATCTCATTGATTGATTCGTTCTTTCTTAACATACGTGTGTGAAAACAAAATTTTATTCTTTTATAATAAAAGTTTTACAAAATATGTATTGCAGTTATTATAAAATTATGGGGTGTCATATTTTGATTTTAGGTAGCAGGAAGGCGTGATAAAAAACGCAGTGTTGTAGGACAATATACAAAAGGTGCTGGAACTAAAAGAAAAGAAGGAGAGCTAACTCTTAATTCAAAAAAAGAACATCCACACTTGTAATCATTTTCATAGTGATGTAGAAGTTCATAAATGATTATTGTAAATAAATAAAGCTGACTGTTTCATTATTCAAGTCAGAGTATTTCTTTATTTTTAAACTTCTTGTTTCTTATGAGATCTCTTAGTTTTGCTCTAATCTTTGGGTGTTCCTATTTCATGATAGATAAGAAATATAAACATCTGGGAACAATGTGATAAGATGAGGGTGGCATAATGATGTAAAGGGAATGAAGACCAACAGTTCTAAAACAAGTAAAAGAAGAAGTTTCTTGTTAGATTTTCACCTTTTTTTAAGATCTATTTTCAAATAATAAAATAAATTTCACCTCTATTATCTTTATAATTTAAATACTTATTATGTATATACAACATATTAAAAGTCATTTACTTAATATAAACAATAAGAAAATTACCACAGTTAAACCTTAACTTAAATAAAAAGGAGTAGGTATTAATTAATAATTTTAATATAAACTATTTTCCCAAGAGATTTTTTGTCCAATTGCATTAATTCATTCCGTTTTTAGTCTTTTAATAGGTGGCTCGCTGCTACGCGAATTAGAGTCTTCCGAAAACGTTATGTGTGATGAAAAATCAGTTGGACCTTGAGAATCACTTACAGTTGAAAAACCTAAAAACCAAAATATTTTTTTAATATGAAATCAAATAAAAAGTATTTCTTACATGTATTTGAATCCTCAGCCATGGTAAAATTTGAATTTGACGAATCTGCTTTTCTTGCTAAATTCTCCTTATTAGAATCTTTATGTTTAAGCTTTTTTGGTTCGTTAGTTGCCACAGGGACCCATTTGTAAATGCGCATTGTGGTATCTCCTATTGTTACCCATTTTTTCTCCCTAAATCAAATTTCACAAATTAATTTAATCACATTAATTAAAATCGAATGTATTTACCAATGCCGAACTCTATCAACTACTTGCATAATCTTTTTAATATCATCTTTGGCTCGACTTCGTGTCTCTGCACGAATCGATCGAGACATCTTCAATGAAGAAGATATTTTTTTAAAATTTGAGGAATCAATTTTGCCTGTAACAATTTAATTACAAAATTATTTCAAACATTAAATAGTTAAAATTAATTCTATTTATTAAGATTTCGTTCAATAAGAGTGATTTGAACGCAATCAAAAGGAAAATTTGATTATGAAAGTTACCTGCGTATGATACCAATTTATGAAGAAGCCGCACCTTAATTTTTCTTAGTTAATGAGCTACGTGAAAAAGCTGACTTCTTTGTATATTCTTGCCGATACGGTGTAATTCTTCTGATGAATCTTTACAATTTTAATTCATACAATTCGTTTATTTGAGTTAAACCAATATCAATTTCATTCAATATGGCTAAGTACAAACCGCTGTGAATTTAGTTTCGGGTTTAGTATCTTAATAAAATTTGATTCCCCTAAGTATTTCACTAAAAAATATTGATTAAAAATTTTAAAAAACGGGTAATAAGAAATAAAATGTAATAAATGATTAAGTTAAGTGTATAATTTGAATTATTTTAAATTAAAATTATTTTTTTTAATCTTAAATTAAATTGTGTTTGAATCGTGCAAAATGAGCCAATGAGAATCGTTGAAGTTCGTCTATTTCTCTCTAACATGCGTTAACCTATAAACTCGTAAAGGTTCTGTTTTTTTTAAGACGGTTTGAGCTTTATAGTGAAGTTAGCTTGAATAGTTTGAAACCATGGCCGATTCCGTAGAGTTGCGTATGAGTGTAACGTCTATAAAACGAGTCGATCCATATGTTAAGGACATTTTGGCAACATCGACCCACGTAGCCCTTTACAAATTCAATCCGTTAGCGAACGAGTGGGAAAAAACGGAAACGGAGGGAGCCCTGTTCCTGTACAGCCGAAATGGGGAACCTTATCATAGCTTGGTGATTATGAACAGATTGAACACTGAGAATCTAATCGAACCTATCGTCAAAGAGTTTGATTATCAAATGCAAGCCCCTTTCTTGCTTTACAGAAACTCCATGAATAAAATCTTCGGTATATGGTTCTATAACCGAGAAGAGTGTGTGACCATAACCTATATATTAGAATCTCTCATGGAACAAATCAGAGAAAAGGTTTTGGAGAAAACCAAAAAGAAATCAGGGAGCAGTGTTGATATTTTCAGTATGTTGAGTAAAGCTCAAGAAGATTTTAATAGAACACCAAATAAAAGGGAATCCCCAGTTAATAAACCCATGTGTACATCAACCCCATTGGCCAATACTTCGCAAAGTGTTATGGATTTTTTCTCAAAAGCTGCTTCTAAATCTAGTAAACAAGTACCTGTTACACCTGCAGAAGGTATGTTTTAAATACAAAATAAAATTTATCATAATAAAATTAAATTAAATTTCTTAGGTGAAATTCTTTTACAAAGATTAATGAGTAATCCTGAACATTCAGTTGAACACATAGAAAAACAGCAACGTTCAACAACTCCTCAAGAACATCGCCATCAAAAACAATTAGGAAATCGAAGCGTACCAATTCAAATGTCATCGAATTCGACGAATCTTGACCGAAAATCCGAAAATGGTTTGAATTTTATGCGCGGAGTTTCTTCACCTCATAATCATCCTGCAGCATCCGGAACGTCTCCTTTAGCAGCATTATTAATTCAAGCACAAGCGCAAGCGGTTGATGATGATTTGTTGGGAACATCGCCGTTGGCCCACGCGTTAGACACACCACAAAAGCCGTCGTTGATGCCACCAATGATGTTTACAGCATCAGTTAATAAAGATAATAAGTCTGATATGGTGTTAACACCGACGACTAGCGTGGATAATGCAAAAGTTGTTAAAGCAGTGGAGCCGTTGACGAGAAATCAAATGTTACAAGCTTTAACTTATTTAATTAAAAATGATTCAGATTTTGTAACAAAACTCCATGAGGCTTACGTTAAATCGTTAACGGAAATGGTTGCGAATAATACTAATTCATTGATTTAAACCTAAAAATATTTGATTTTTATTAATTAATGATATGTTTATTACTATGACTATTTTTTTTTTTACAAGACTGTGAAGAGGAAGATTAACAGAAAAGACTATAAACTAAAATCCGGGCCTTAACGTTATTAATTGTTTACAATTTGATGGAGTAGAATATGTATTTCTGATAAAAAATATATAGGTTTCATTTACTGTAACTAAAAGAAAATTAAAGAGAAACGATTTTAATCCTCAACAAACTTTAAAATTGATAAGTGTGATTTTCGAAATGTGATTGAAACGAACGTGAATAAAATAGTATATTTTAAACTAGACATAATTACTTTTTTTTCTTTTTTCATCGATTAGTATTTGTATTTAACTAGACGCTAGTCGTATAAATTGAACACTTATTCATGTTATATCGTTAGTGGGATATTGTTCATAATACAACAACCTATAACAGCGTAAATGTGCTACTTCTCATAGAGTTGTACACCAAAAGTACTGTAAAATAAGTTTTTAATGATGCTGTAACATTGATGTCTAAGATTGTCCTACTTATACGGATCGTATTGTAAAGTTATTAAAAAAAAACAACTAAAAAGTCACAATTTAAGCGAACGCTAGTTTTATATTATAGTGTCGACCTATTTATTGATTTTTTTTGAAATAACTACAATATAATAAAAGTATATTGAGATATTCTTTTTGTTTAAATTATAAAATTCCATAATCAACTTATACAATGTGTGGCAAAATTATACAAACAATTTAATAATAATAACAACAAAAATTTTACAATTAACTAATTTTGACTCGTTTTATTGAGAACTTTATCATAATGAGATTGAAGTTAAGATTTTGCCATTCTAAGAAAGCCACCTTTCATAATAACAATTATTACCCTAGAATGTATGCCAAGGACTTATTACGGTGTTTTAAAAATAGTTACGGACATATGCTTCCAGAAATACCAAAAAGTATCCTATGTGACTTAATTTTATAGCTTTTTATGCCGTATTTACACGCCCCGGGCCTTAACGGCCTAACAAGTTTATTTCTGTATAATCTTGTCCAAATTACACGTGTTGCTTGGATCCAACAACAATGGCTTCTATTTCAAAATCTTTCAAATAAACTACGTGTCGGTGATAAGAATTGTGAAGAAACGCAAAAGTTCAGAATCATCTTGTAAAGATGAAGACAAAAACGCAACTGATTCCACATATGAATGAACTACACCGTGTGTATAACATTATAAGAAGTGCTCCAGGATCTGGTACATCTAAAATATTTTGTTCTCCTCGAAATGCTTTTGAACATTTCATGACAGAAGGCAGACGTGTTAGTACCCTACAACATATAGCATGGCACGAAATAGACTTGGTTGAGCTTTATGCATTTTTGGGTTTGGTGCTGCAAGCCGGTGTTGAAAGAAATTGATGTGTCAATAAGGGAACTTTTCCCGGAAAAAAAGCAATCTTTTGTATAAAGCTGATATGGCAGTTTGAAGATTTGAATGTACCAACAATACTTATGGCGGCCGACGTTTTTGATTTCTTACATCCAGTCATCAACCATAAGTATTGTTGAATTATTTCTGTTGATATAAGAAATACACCTTTATATCATGGGGACCGCAATTACGATGGTTAAGTATCTGGGGTTGTCTCTAGACAGCAAATGTGTGTTACGAACTCACATAAACACGGCTTGCGTTAATGTGGAAAAAATCATTACCATACTTAGCCACATAATCCGCACAAGATTTACGATTTTGCCAACAATGCAAGTTGTTTGCAAAGAAAATTTAAGTTCGTTTATAATCAGACCATTGATGAAATCACATTGATGTCACCACTAACTTTCACAAAACTGTATCAGCAGAAGCTGCAAAGCTTTTCTCACAATATGCCTTACAAAGTTTTCACCAAAAACATTTGATGTGAGCAAGCAAATAATGGAATTAATTATTATCTATAATATATAGTATTCGGTGGCAACCATAATATGGCTCTCACAGTAAAAAAGCAGATCGCAAGTTTTTTACAATCTGATGAATTTACGAATTGAATCTGGTGACATAATATTAAAAAATTATCTGGAGATATGTCAAAGAAACGCCGTTTATGCGTCACCAAATACACAAAATTAATTGATAAGGGAGAATGTGGAAAATGATTTTAAGAAAGTAGCTAGCTTATCATCGGCTTGCGTTATTTTGATGAAATAAAGAAAAAGTTCTAGAAGAATTTGTAGGTTTTGTGAGGCTCACGGCACAAAATGCCTCAATATTTGCCATTGCAATCGTCAATTTTTTGGCAAAAGCATTTGTATTATACTGGATTGGGTCCTGAAAAATGCAAAAAATGGTATTAATAATAATAATTCACAACCCAACCCAACAAAGAACAATTGCAGGACAATATTACAAGAAGAAAAGTAATGCTACAAATGCTATAAAACAAATATAACTCACATAAACACTCCTACACTATCATTGTTAGTTAGTTTACACATCCTCTGCATCGGCGATGTGTAAGTTCCAATATTTTGGCCAACCCAAAATATTGGAACTGCAATTTTCTAAAACTCATTGAAACGTTTTCCATATTTGATTAATGTGCCAGGTGTCTTAATATATTCAGGCAAATTAAAGTTACCAAGGTTGCACTAAAGATGGACTTCCTAAAGAAGCCTTCCATCGCATACGCATGAAGACATGCCAAGAAAACTAAATAAAATAACAGAATGGTGTAAGCAAATAGGGCTAGAGATATATACACAGATTTAGAATATACGGCGAAAACATATAGAGGTCGAAGAGGGCTATTATCTGGGCAGTATGAGGACTAGAGGCAAGCGTGTCGCAAAGAATAAAGAAAGCCAAATAAATGATTCGAATGTTAAAGGACATAATGGAACTCCTAAGTATCCAGCAAAGTAAAGTTTTGCATATTAAAGACCAACATAAAATCTACCATATTGTACAGAATCGACACATGAAAATCTAAAGTATTCATGAACAAATAAATAAATTGGTCAGATTTTGTACTAAATGAAGATCTCCTATGACAGGGGCAGCAAGAGGAAATAAAACTAGAGATAAAGAAACGGCAATGGAAGTGAGTTGGACACATACTAAGAATCAAGCAAAACAATGTCGCGAAACAGGCACTAGACAGGAATCCACGGACAGCCAGAGAAGAGGAAGGTCCAGGACAACATAGAGGAGGACTATGATGAAGGAGAAGTAAAGAATTTGCCCTACGCTCCAAATTTAATGTAATATAAAATCATTTCAAATCAATATGTCAAATACGATATAACGTGCTGATCGATGCTTTTGCATACTAAAGAAGTTGGAACTGCTTTTGAGGTTAGACATTCACATTTGAAAATGAACTGTCTAAGAATTCCAAATGATAAAATTCGTTTTTTCTTAGGTATTTAATTATGTTATGTTAAAAAAAATAACCCCATGTGAAAATATTCCATTTTATTACCTCATTGAATTGGCATAATAATAAATATTATTAACTCATCTTAAAAATTACGCAAGAGAATCTGCTTTTTATACATAAATACATCACAAAACTAAAATTAAGAATACACTATCATACAGACTTATTTACAAATTAAAAAATTGCAAGTACAGATATATTTATAAAGTAATAAAAAAAACAATTTACATAGGTCTATTAAGTTAACGCACATGTTATAGGCGTTAGTCAGTTTAATAGTTGTATACTGGATAAGATATGTAATGAAAAATAAAAAAGATAAGTATTTAGATATTCTAGGGAGTACAGTCTTCTTGGGAGGATGCCATTAATATACACAACAAGAAAAATAAAAAATAAACGCATTGAGTAAGTATGTGAACACAACCAACTGGTATAAAAAATGATAATTATCGATGACACATTTTTTATACAGAATTATTCTGTATAAATCACATTAATCGATTGAATAGTATATGATTTTATTTCCATCACAGTATTTGGTTGCTTTTTAAGAGGAATACATCGGTTATTAATCTAAGTACAAATAACTTTTTTAATAATAACGACCATTTCTTTTTTATTCAATCTTTTCCTATTTTATCTTTCAAGTCTTCCGATAATATTTTCTCTTCATTTTTCATATATTTTAATATTTTCTTTTAGTAGTACCCATTTAAATCATGTCCATATTCCATGTCACAGCCATCAAAAATTTATTAGTCCTTAATACTTGGTCTAAGATCTTTTTTTTTTGGGAGGGAAAAATTAGTGGTGGTTATAAAAAATTTTATTTCTTATCGTAAGTCTTTGTCTTCATCAGTCCGTTCTTCACTATGATATTATCACAAAATAAGTTCTTATGATGGACTTCTGGGTAACTGTGAGCGTATTCACTCAAACCAATTTTGTCCAAATTTAAGTAGTGACCTTCGATCTCCGACAATGAATGATTATACGGATGATGATTTCGCGATACGTATTTTGCGTTCACATTTTTTGGGGATGAATTCATCAAAGACGATTCCAGTTCATTTTGAACCAATAAAGGGGCTCGAATTTGTTGAAGCTCTTCCGTGTGATGATTTGAATAAACAGGGTTATGATGAATAGGCATCATTTCTTTTTGAATTGGAAGTCTATAATGATGTTCCATGTTGTTTTTATTTTGACTTGGTATATATTTCTCTCTAAACATAAAAAAATGCGAATTATTTTGAAATGTTATTATTTTTTATTAAACTCACCCTAATTTATAACGCGCATGTTGATTATTTTCACTTCTTAATAATCTCACAGCCAACATAATAAGTACCAAAACAATTACGGTACCACAAATAGGAACGGCAATGGTAGCAGCTTTAAACCAAACTTCGGTTTCGGAATACCTTAATTCTTCGATTTGTGATCTGGGCTTTAAAGGTTGTTGTTTTCTGCTGGCGTTGAATAACAATTCTAACAAAAGCAAATTATTAATCGTTAATTAAATCAATTATTTTTATTCTTACCTGATTCATCAATTAAATGTGTTGTTACTGGACTATCGACGTGATTACATAAATCCCTGTAACAACAATACAAAAGTGACCTCGAATGGGATTTCTTCTTGTGGCTACTGTGTGGTTCTAGCTGGCACCATTCCCTTTGTTCTCTAGAATTAATAATAAAAACGTTTATTAGTTTTTCGATATCTTAATCTGCTTTTATTATGTAAATAAAAGAAATCTCATTTATGTAAACAAGAAATAAGGCGCAAATGTAAACTGTCGGGTCGCGGGGAGCGATTTTAGCTGAAAAGAAGAACGTTTTATTGCATAAACACAATTAAAGTTATAAGGTTCAAACGGGCCGCCTTCGCTCGATAAGCGTATTATTGTATTTAAAGTTCAGACTTAATATTTGTTTAGACTGAATTGTGTATAACTCTCTTTGGGGTGGTGTTGTGAAACTTTTATGATCGGTTTCCGCGCGGTGTTTATAACGAAAAGTTGCGTTGAAAATGTTGTTAATTAGTGTGTTTAAAAAAATATATATTATTTCAAAATCTATAATATACATAAGATAGTGATAAAGTGAAGATGGGGGTACTTGCAAGATTATGTAATTTCAATTTAAGGTTGGAGATAATTGGAATGTGGATAAAACGGAAATTACTACAGCGTAAAAAGTAAATTGAGTGGTAGTCCGTCGAGGATACAAACAAATAGGGAACTTAATTTCGTGCGAAAGAGACATACTGGAGACTATTGAAGTTGCAAACCGGAGTTGGTGATGACGCCGGATAAATTAATCAAATTGGCACTTTCACGCATAGCTGGAGTACGACAGATTTTCCGGCCCGATAATCAGCAGTGGCTATTAGAGCCGGTGAGAACAGTCAGTTTAAAAGTTTGAACAAAGTTCCCAAGCTTTATATGCCGTGACATCTTTGATTGCACTTGATTAATTGGCGGAACTACTGAACATATCAGAAATAAATTATATACCTGAGGATGTTGATATCTCAACATTCGCCTTGAGCGTCTTAAATAGACTGATTGTGTTACATGACTCTGACTAACTGAAAATGAGTATGAAAAATCTTATTTATTATTAGCTTATATTATAATCGTTCAATTGTGGAATCCATCTCCATTGATGTTCAAAGTGATGGAAAATGACTTAACTGCTTGGACTGAGGTTAGATCTTCTTTGCTAGCAACTAAGATGTCTAGGGTTTGTGAAACGGTTAATTCTAAAATCAACGGCTTATTGTTCAGAACAATTTCAGAAAAATATTGTGGTTGATACAAGTTTGAATTATCGGTTAAATTATCTAGCCTGCTCAGAAACTAGACACCCACATCTTTCGCGAGAAACATTCAAGTCGGTCGATTTAAGATATCCGAATGCAGATTTGGTCATTTAAGTAGTTGTATTTTAATCTATCTATATTTAATTACATTTTCCAGATAAAATTTACCGGTAAATAAAAAAATCTGTGAATTTAAAAGCTTTATCTGTAAGAAGGCAGCAAAATAATTTAAAATTTCATTTGACTGCTTTTGCCACTTCTTCAATGATGATTAAATAGATAAAATAGTGGTGAAAATTACAAGAAAAAAGCTGTAATTTTTTCAAAACCCTGTATAAGACAACTTCTGACTTTGACTGAATTGCTGTTTTTTGAGGTAGTTCGTGTACGTGACTATAACTTCTTTATAGTAGATATGTCAGAGTAGAGGACGAGGTGGTGGAATTGTTGTTAAAACTTGTCATAAATGTTGTGTGCTTAATGTGCAGGATAAGACTACAATTGAGCAGTTATGGGTAAAATTCTGCGTGGTGTTAAAGTTACTCTGCGTGTTGATTATTAATTAGCAGATTTGTCTGCCACGACTGCTTTTCTTCTACTTTCATCTTATACCTTGCGCCAATTGTTGAATATCAGACTAGGAAAACACGAGTGCAGTGACCACAGAGCATTATCTATATTTATTAGGAACTACCACAAGTACTTGGACGATCAAAGAAAATAGTAATGTATCACGACAAGAATAACATCAATTGTGACAAAAGCCGAACCTAAAAGATATAATTGGACCCGAACCAGAATTGTTGAGCAGAACTGTAAATATGTAAGAAACTTAACGATAATTTTTCACGCAGTGTTTTTCTTCATGTTTATTTTTGTACTTCAGCTTCTATTTTTTTGTATTTCATACAATCACATTTTTAATTGCACGCTTTTCAAATGGTGCAAGTTGTAGAAAAAAAAGTGCAGAAGATATATCAAAAAGTGTCAAAAGGTAAGAATAAGTGCATAGAATATATGTATCTAAAAATTTAATTTCGTTGTTCTTTAAAAAAAAACCTACAAAAAAGCAAATTGCTCGCGTCGTGACAAATCACACTTAAAATCACTTCCGTTTAATTACAGAAATCCCATCAGAGTTCCAGCGGAACGTCAATTTGGCACGCCTATACGTGCGATATACGACCATGTATCTAATAACGGATTTACGGCACTTCTTTTCATTTTTTTGTATTTACGACCTCGAAGGTTATAAATTACATATATAAATTATCAATTAATTAAGAAAAAATTTTTAATTCAAATCACCTGCTTCAATCTGCTTTAAGATAGAAAATTAATAATTAAAATTATAATATGAGTATAAAGTAACCCAATGCAGTAAGTAGTCAATGACCTTACAAAGCTAAATGCCGCTTCTTTATCTCTCAGCAGCAAGAAAACCCCGATAATTCCCAACTTAACTCTTAATCTTCTTTTCTCTTTTTTCTTATTGAACAAGCCGACATATACCGACGACCTTTACCCTTCGAAACCAACCCAAAACGTGTAAGTACACTCCGTATTTTTTTTACATCTCACGTATACTATATACAAGCGGTTGTTGTTGCTTAACATTCTTGTAACTCGAGTTCCATACGCACACCTTGCGTCTTGTCCTCACAAGAATCGCTTTCTCTCTTACAAGAGAGAGGATTTTTTTAAAACGATATTTTTTTCCATGACAAGTTTCAGCTGCACCTTGTTGGTATTTGCGGAAAAGAGACAACAAAATTATTACGGTAATGGGACGTTTCCTTAGCGATAAGGAACAGTGGTCGTCTTCATACGACCATTTTTTGTTCTTGGTACTTTGCGCCGTCCGTTATCTGTGTTACGGTAGCATTCTTGGCGATGGAATGAAACGTATGTAGACGGCGCCAATAGGAAGCCATAAAAACGAGGTGTGAATGGGTTATTTACGATATTGTAATGACCTGGTTTGGAAAGTGGATTTGTCGCAAAAAAGAATGTTGAATCATAAATAGTTTGGTAAAGATAAAGAAATCCTTTAAATTTTGTATCAAAGCGTTCATGAGTTATGAAATAGCATAAAGTATTTCTTATACGTAATAACGGTGATTGAACTAGACATTTAAGTGCTCGTTTCGCATCCTGTTTCTTAGAACAGTATCATCTAGCTAAAGTAACGAGAGACTCGTGTATACAAATGAGCATAGAAAAAAAAATGTACCGGTCGACGAAGCAATTGGAAAATTAAAGAGTTCACGGCAAGAAAAGAGCCACAGGATGTTCGAAGTCGAGAATGCTGTCACATATTATGCAAAGTCGATGGCGCTACGGGAGACTCCTCTCCTTTGCCAAAGTGATCGCGGTAAACCTTCTTGAGAAGACGACGCCGCTGGTAAAGTCTTCGAGTAATTGCCGTGTATGTCTTTCGTTCGACTTTTTTGTTTCATTGGACGTCCGGTCGTGCTATAGAAGGTTTTCTCTTTCTCTCGGGTGGGATTCGACATCTCAATTCGTGTAAGCGTTGCGCTTTTCTTGTAAGCAAGAGACGCGCCGCACTAAGTTCTCTCTACCGTGACAATGCCGATGCTTGACCGTTTCTTGTGACTTGTATCTTCGCCGCGACCATTAATTACTAACGACATCGAGAAGAAAAAAAGAAAATTGAAGATTTAAGTGGTACCACCAGGATGTTTAATTAAGAAGATTTTTTCTTGTTTTAACGTAATGATGAACAATAAACTTTTTTAATTATTAAAAAAAAAGATAAAAATGTTGTTGTAATTAATGCATTTTAATTGAATAAAAGTATTCATGATAAATTCTATTGAAATAATGATAAATTTCCATACGTAATGATTAACCGTTTTCATTACTACATTGTCTATAGACATTTATTTTTTTTATAACACGTGGAAATGAATCGACGGTCATCAATAAACATTTCTGAGCTTAAACTCAACGGAATAGTGATTATAAGATAAGACTAGATGACTAACAGCTCGCGATATATTGAAAGATTATCGCGATTAATAATTTGCAATTTTACTTTCAAACCCGGCTTATAAGAGTAGCGCCGGTTGACTCATACAACACAAAGTTAATTTAACCAAGAAGTACTTATATATGTGCGTAATTTAACCTTCAATTGAATTCAAATAATCTTTTAATCGCAGTTATAAAGACAAATTATTTATTATTGTGAGAGAGGAGTACAGTAAATCGTTGGAACGATGTCTCTTAAGACGGCTAAATCTGAATGTTTCTAGTTCTAATTCAAGTGTTAGTTCTAACGCTAGTATTCGTTCTAGTTTTATTTGATATTCAGCGTTAGATTGTTGTATATTTTTCATTGAACCAAAACTAGAACTAGAAACATAGGAGTTTAGCCGTACGTCTCTTAAGACGGCTAATTTTAACTTACAATCACTTAATAAAATTACACATAAAAACAAGAAAATCCTGAAATAACTTTATATAATTAGAACCGATTTGTATCTCTTAATCTTCTTCTTATTGCAATATTAAAGCACACTCTAAGGTATATCGTGCATTAGTGAAACCGGATGATAATGATGATGATGCAAAATACGATTATCTACAAGCTTTTGTTGGCGTTTCCAGTTCATAAACATAGCTTTGTCGTCTATTTTCACAATTATTTCTCCGATACCCATACAGTTTTCCCATGCCTGTCATTCCACCTGGCACAGCGGCAGCAGCAGCATTATGTTCCGATAAGCCATCGCAGTTAATATCGGAATTCCATCCCGGTTAATTGCCCGACGCAGCGGACGAGGCCAATTAGAAATTTTCATTAGCCGCATTCGCATTATGCGACCACGGCGAACCGGCTTTGGTCGCGAACCAACAAGATACCAATAGGTACGCACTTGTCCGAAAGAATTATGTTCGACATTCCGCAAACGTAATGAACCTTAAGAGCTTTTTCTTATATCCAGCTAGTAACCAAAGCTTAAAATTAATTATAGAAGCGTTTCGTTTTACACTTGAAATCCTTTAAGTCTTATTTAAAATTTAAATGTTAAACGTTTTTCCTAAAGACGGATCTGAATTTTCGTGCAGGTGCTCAAAGAGCTCACTCGTCTTGATAAATTTGCTATCTTCATTCTTGAGCACCGGTCGAAGCAGTTTCTTATGTTGGTTGCACTTCCGCCGTTGCGTCCGTCGAGTCTAAAGGCATTTGCATTGGGATAAGATTTACACACGTCGATGGGTCCATCCAACCAGAGTAACGGTACCGAGCAATCTGGTCGATGATCATTAGCCGATGATGGAATCGCCGGCTGTTTAATGCAGCGGTCTCTGGTCGACTTGAAGTCGTGAAAGTGCGGTCCCGTTTTCGCACACACGATTTTACTGTTACGTGACGGACCTGCCACTTTCTTTTTGCTCGCGCCACACCGTCACCTCTACTAACAACAGGTTAATTCCTACTATATTTTTAGATTGACAACAAAGTATAAGATACAGAATCTGAGAAGATAATCAAAAAATGAAAAGATATTAGGAATCTGATAGCATTATTGTTTTGTTGTCTTTCACTTGGTCCAAAGGTTCAACTTCACTACCGCCATCACTATCACCGGCAAAAAATGAAATTACACATCATCGTGTGAAGCTCTGTGGAATTCTTTCGAATTCTTGCTTTGGAATTTTCTGGAAAGGAGCAGATTCAAGAAAAAAACTTTAACATAATGGCTCTTGGTAATTTGTCAGACTTACCATACTATTGTTATACTTGGTGGGATACTAGACAAGTCAAACTGACCTGAAACACTATTATGGAGTAAAAACTCCAAAAATAGTTGTATGCAGAGAGTATCTTGTTGTTAGCTAGGTATGACGAATTTATTGAACACGAATATTAAGTTGTCGTCATCAAAGTTTGAGGCATCGCCATCTTCAACATTCTATCAGAGCGCAAAATGATATTTTTTGTAGATAGTATACACACGGATCAAAAAATGTCACATGAAAAAATGAGGTTAGGAAGGACAGAAGATAGATAACAAACAAGAATCCTCTACATCATTTTCCAGCACAGCTTTAAACTAACACGGCCGTTTTGGAAGACATCGGCCGCCCTCGGACATCGCAGACGCTAGGACTTTGAGAATCTTGATCGCGAAACAGCGCCAGAATGTCAATACATAATACTTGGCTGAAGAAGATTAATATAAGATAACTAATGTTATGAAGAGAATTTAACATTGAATACCGGTAGTATATAAAAAGTTATGTCCCTTTGCCGCATCTTCGAGATTCAAGAATCGAATGAAGCTGCTTTCAATGTCTTTGCAGATTGTTTTAAAGTTGCTGCAGAATCGTGTTATTAATTACCCGATATCTGAACGTTTTTTTAAAATTCAGACCAGAACAATATACACCGGTATTGAGTTGCCATTGAAGCAGCCGAGAAGAAAAAGGCGTTGTTATCATCTTGATCTCAAGCGTTAACCCAGTGATGAGGAGTGCATTCTCTGATTATGTTATTATATATGTATAAATAACCAGTTCTCGGTTTTTCTGGATTTCTTCTTCTTTGTAATTTTGCTTAGCACACTAGTTTTGCCTGCCTCTCATTGTTATCCTGTTTAAGTCCTAATTATTACAACAAGCCTCTTCTAATATTATTGGTTATTGGCTTCACTTCTAGATCTTGTCTTACACACTCATTTCTAATTTTATTCACGTTGGTGATACCTGTCACTGTCCTAATGTAGTTTATTTCAAAAATCCCTATTTAGCTCTCTAGCCGATTTGTTAGAAATAAATTAATTTTGTTTTTGAAGATGACCCTTTTTTTAACTTTTTAAAATTAGTATTCAGTTTCTATCACTATGGAATGTCAGAGAGTAAAGACACTTAACTTGCTTGTTGGCTTTCTTTGAAATTGTTACTTTGTGGCTAAGTTGTCTGGAGTTGGATCGGCTTGCTTTGAACTTGTGTTAGCTTGCATTTGGTTTTGGTTGGGTTGGTATGTCTTCAATATCGGGGGTTTACTAAGTTATTGGGTTGGTTTGCTTTGAAATTAGGTTAGGTTCGTTTAGATTTAACATGGCTTGTTTTGGGATTAGGCTAATTTGGAGCTGAAAACTTTCTGTTTAGTTGTATTGTAGTTGGTTTGGGTGACTTTGTGAGTTGCTTACAAGTATTATGCTTTATTTAGGGTTGGGTTACTTTGTGAATGAGTTACTTTAAGATTTGCTTCAACGGTTTGAGTCATTTAGAAATATCATGAACAAACATCTGGTCTTCCCGACTCAATCTGAATTCCAAATTACATAGAACATTGTGTGAAGAGAGCAGTTCTTGCCCGTCTGAAACAATTTGCATATGATGATCTCAAATTTCACCAGAATGATCGTCCAAAAACAAACATGAATGAAATTTGGACAACGCATAGAATTTTGTGACATAATAGATAACAATTTTACGGAATATTTAGACGTCTTAATGATGAGTGCTAAGCCTGTTTCCATTTGGTTGATTATGCTAATGTACAGAACTGTGAGCAAAAAGCTCTCCACGGTGCAAAAGTGGGTTATAAAAACCCACAACAAAAAACATTAAATTATACACCAAGATGTTTCTTGAGAATACTATAATTGATGTTCAATGAAACATGTAGCAGTGACAAATAACACCATAAAACGACAAACCAAAAAGCCACATATACGAAGTGCTTCTCGTGTATTTCCAAAACGGAACGATTATAATTATGGCCGGAACAACACTCACCATTTATCTTGTCGCATATTACCAATGTCTCCATAAAACAATATTTTCTACGCGTGCTTTACCGGGAGAGAAGAATGGGAACGTGGTAGCAAGAGAAAGAAGATGATAATCTCAAGAAATAAAGATCATTTCGTGTAACAAGAAGCAGCCTCAGCGGATTAAACGAGAAAGGCACATTTCGCAATAATTTACGAGCGGCAAGGCGCACGACATCATGTATAAAACATTCGAAAATAAATTCCGCGCGCAGATATTACGCAATGCAGCACGCACTTACGGGAGCTATTCGAAGAGACATAAAAAGTTACAAAAAAAAAAGACATGGTCGAGAGCTCTATATAGCGAGATCTGGTCTCTTCTTCAAGTGTGGTGTGCTTCCTGTGACGTGCCAAGTGTATCGCAAAAAGTTGAAATATTCAATGGCTGATTCCACTAATAGCGACATCATTGTAACGGGTCGATATAGAATGATTATATCTAACTGTACATAGAGGAAGAAATAATTTATGTTGCAACAGGAGGAAGAAATAAATTCTTTCGTAATTAATTATGTAGATAATCTTATGAATATCAAAAATGTATTTAAAATAAAACACAATGTTTCCATTGGAAAGCGTAAACGGTATTAAAATCGATTAAAACTAAGTGAAACGTAGAAAGTTTCTATTCAAATGTGGCGGATGTTTGAAACGCCATTCAAAAAATAGTCTAAATACCAAGAAATCTATGTAATAGGACGACGCTGACTTATTGGTCGTGTTGTTTATAAAAGTGCGTTCTCCGTTACAGGATTCCAAGAGATGCAGGAAAGAATACTAACAACTGAGTCTATATATAAATTTATGTCTACCGGGAAACTAACGTAAGCACTCGGATTTCTCTAACAGCATCCCACTTTTATATTTATGATTATATTAAAATCATATCCATAAATCATCTTGTTTCTTTTTGTTCCACAATCGTAACTTTTAAAGACCTAATTTTAAAGCCCGCTTACAATGTGTTTATATATTCAATGTACTTTATAAATGCACCGATTTTTTTCAAAGAAAAACTGGAGCAAAAACATCGGGAAACGCCAGATCACATCCTACATGTGCAGAGTGACGTACACCAGGCACATATTGTTGTAAGTGTCGCAAGGACACCTCTCTTTACCCTCTTCTTCAAACGCGATTGGATTGAGCTGTTGAGGTTAAAGTTTATCGTTTGGAAATTCATTCGAAACCATTGCTCCAACGGTCATTCCACTAAACAAACCATTGTTTAACGTTCGCGCTAATTAAAATTACCGCTGTTCCGAGTTCGAATGTAGTAACTCATTTATGAATGAATAGACCCCTTTATGGCCGTTAAAAGATGACCGATAACGACGGTAAGACGATGATATATTATTATGAGATTGGGAAAATAATTTTTTTAATTTGTTATTAATTGCTTACTTATCGGTTAAGAGTTCGATGCAACCGTGACGTCCTTTGTAGGCGCCGGACGACGACGTCGATTGGTGGAGCATGTTTGAAAAGCAACCGCCGGATGGCGACATGCACATATATCCGGCCGATATACAGGTAGGCAGGTTGCAGTAACACCTGGTGTGACCTAAAACACAAAGAGAGGGTGTACGTTAATGCAGGAAGAAGACAGGAAGTAAACAACGATACGCGTGCGAAGGTGAAATAATTAGATATGGAGGGTGGACGTGGGAAATTCACATAACATATTTACTTGCGAATGTGTGTAGATGCATGGCTAAATCCGAAACTTTCTAGTTTTGGATGTAGTAATGTAAGTTCTAGTTTTAATGCAATGAAAAATATACAACAATATAACACTGAATAACAATTAATACTAGAGCTAGAATGAACATTAGAGCTAACACTAGACCTAGAACTAGAAACATTCGGGTTTAGCCGAACGTCTCATAAGACGGCACAACCCGAATGATTCTAGTTCTAGGTCTAGTGTTAGTTCTATTTTTCGTTCAATAAAAATGTACTATAATCTAACGCTGAATTACAATTAAAACTAGAACTAACAGTAGACCTAGAACTAGAAAGTTTCTGGTTCTAGTGTTAGTTCTAGTTTTACACTAATACTGTTACTATGTAGAACTAACACTATACCTAGAACTAGAATCATTTGGGTTTAGCCGCACGTCTCTCAAGACGGCTAAACCCGAATGATTCTAGTTCTAGGTCTAATGTTAGTTCCACTTTTTGTTCAATAAAAATATACAACAACCTAACTCTGAATAACAATTAAAACTATAACTAACACTAGCTAAAGATGTTTCTTCTAACGTGGTTCGTTATATCGAGATTTTACTGTACTAACTTTGAGAATACAAGTTTGCTAGACAGGTGCGGTTAATAATTTATTACAAGCTGATACTCAAGAGTTACTCAATACGTCTTTTTGAGTAACCCATAGGAGAAGAAGCTTGGATGAATTCAATCAACATTTTTATCCTTTTTTTTGTCGAAGCCATCTCGTTTCCCGCGATTTCGTCACTCATCGTTGAGAGATCACTATCTTCGAATAAGTAATTACCGGAGCCAAGCGGCGTGGACAAATCCAAACAAACAATTAAGCGGGGCCCTCGTGGAAATCAAAGGCCGTTTACGAAGTAGAAACGGGTCGCGGCGATAAAATCTCTTCTACTCTTCGTTAATGTTCTCGAATTCCTCCCGGGGTAATCACCGTCGCGAAACATTTTAATTTGTCCCATTCGGGACAATCTTACACGGACTGTTAATATCTCTTCTTGCTTTACCGCTTTCCATCGTTTTTCTTCAAAACTAAACTTGCAGGAGTATACTTTTTTTGTTGGGTATTTACGTCGAGGATTCTTGCATTAAGAGTTATTATGTCATTATAGTTCTTAGTGGTACTTAAGTAAGTAGGTTTTTTGTTAAAGGTGTCTCGGCGGCGTAATTCAATGGTATTTGTAGAGATTATTTTGTTTAATCAAGTGTAAGGATTTTAATTGGTATGAATTATAAATTAGTTAAATTAATTAAATGGGAAATAAAGCGTGATTTAAAGAACAAATTTAAATTGTTAATTTAAAATCATCGACAAATGACACTTTGGAATATTTGCTTTTTGGAGCTTAACAAACGCAAATAACGGTGCTGTAGAACAAACACAGCTGCAGTCGTTAACGGAGCTATTTTATAAATGCAAACAACATTGTTTCCCAGTTAAAATCCCATAAATACCGTTGTTTTGAAGTTAAATAACGCCACTGTAAAATAACTTTGAAAGAATTATCTTTCGACATAGTTGTCTATGAATTGAAGTATTTATTCATAACAAACAAAATTGTGTACCAACTTTTTTCTGTTAACAATAATAAAAAAGAAATGCGACAGATCTCTATTACAAAGTAAATTCTTTTGTTACATACAAAAAGAAAAAAAGGAAGCAATTAAATGTGTAATAAAATGAGTAGCATTTATCTGATCGATTTACAAGAAAAGAAAAGGAAATGGGTGGTAACTCGCGAATGATGTTGTAATGCTGGTCCCTGATGTTCTTCGCGACAAGTGGTTCATCACCGATTCCTCCGTCGTTTTTAATTGTGGCGTACAGTATTGTATCTCGGAAACAAAGGAAAAGGGAAACGCGAGACGTCTGTCGGCGGTCGACTCCGGTAATTTCGCAGGGTTATTTTATTGCGGTCTACAAGAAAAGAAAAAACAGAAAGAGATAAAATACACGGAACAGATAGGAAAGAACGAACAAGAAGAACAAAAAGATAAAAAGGAGGAAGAACACACGAAGAGAAGGTCTTCTTCCCGTCGTTCGTCCTCCTCCTCCTCCTTCTTCTTCCCGCATCGCTAAGGCAGATGAGAGAGAGACCTTGTGCTAAGCCAGACGTTGGGCGCCACTGCACCATTATCCGCAATTAAACCCAACCGGTCGCGACTCGTCTACAATTGAGCCGCACGCAAACCGAACCAACGAAGACCCAGCAATTTACAATGTCCGGGAAACAGTGTGTTGTGTACTGTATACGTACGCAACTACTGAGTTGTGTTGTCGGTTTTACACCAAGCAATGATACGCCTGAGTGTCAAGGAACATCCGTCGTAAATCTACTATAAAATTTTACGACACAATTTTCAATTTTCACTTACATAAAGGTCGACGCGTAGTGAACTACATAAAAACTAGACACTAAACAATTCTTCATAAAATTATAGTAGCTAAACGACGAAAGAAGAAAGCCGGAATTGTGGAAGAACCTAAACTATTCGCAAGATCTCAGCGACAACAGAAGAAAACAGCCAAACCATCAAAGTCCAGCTTGACAGTTGGAGAAAGAATAGTTTTATTGTATAAATGAGGAAACTGAAATAGTAATTTTGTCGGCAAATAAAGGTAATGCTACCATGGTAATGGACAGAAAGAAATATGAAGTCAAGGAAAACTTTCTACGGAATCCAGGTACCAATACTAGAATTAAAAAGACCTCGGGGTAAATAGTTAGGAAGATGAAGAGGTAATTAGGTTGATGGATATTCGATTGCAGGTACAGAAAAGTATGTTTTTTCAGGCATATGTAACCCCAAGGATCTATGGCTTACAAAAAATCGATAAGACTGTCATTCGATGCGATGTAAGCAGAATTAACTTCTACACACCACCATGCGAAACACTTAGCCAAAGTATATGTGTCTTTTGCAGAAAACAATTTTATGAAATTAATTAGTAACATTTGATTAGAAATACAGGATCTATTATTCAGCAGAGATGCATTCTAAAAGTTTGGAGTTTTGTCTTTCACCGCCTTAGTTAAAAAAAGGAGTCCACGAGCAATTCAAATCACTATAAATGAGTATGATAATATTGTAGCTATATTATTTGACATATAGCAGTGAACTTTATACCAGCTTAAAAAGATTTGTTAAGGTGATTTAGTTACTCTATATGATCAATGTCGGTGCTTCCGCAGATACCAGATCTATAATCAAGTACTTTCCATACTAGACATACCAAATCCCTATCCATTTGTCCATAGGCTGGTAAGTACAACAAAATCGTACAGGTTATGTTGGATGATAATGGTGACGAATTCAATTTCTGATCAATGTTTGTCAATCCTGCTGTACATATTATGACAAGATATACCTGTCCTGTAACGTTCTGCTAGCCGTAAAATTTAAATTATAAGACCATAATGAATACATAAACATTATAGGAGTTACTAGTGTGTAACACGATAGTGTAGAGATTTTGTGTGTCTTAAGATGTGTGCACTTTTGTATACAAAATGCAAACCGACTCACAATTTTAATGAATGTAAAGATTTTAAGAAGCTTCAATCTCTTTTCGTACTCGAGTTGAGACACATAACGAAAGATATGCCTTTCGTTATGGTGTATTGATGTGAATGTAATTCTTTGTAAGATATCTTTGTTAATTTCTGCGTTTTCACGATATACAATTAGTCGATTTAACAACTAATTAATAATAACCCAAATAGAGGGTATACCATAAGAAAACGAACAGGAATGACAAGTTGCAATAGCTACATAACATAAAACAAGATGTCCATAAAAGATCTTGAGATCTGACTCTTAAAGAACATCGATGGGCCAATAAGGAGAAGAAGCAGTAGACAACATCAGCAATTAGTTGTCACAATTAGACGTGTAGCAGAAATTATTTCTTGTTGAGGAAATTTTTGTTTACAGTTAATGTTATTAATAAAATTTTGTAAATATTACTTAAAAATAAATGTTAAGTACTAATCGTTGAAGGATTTCACTATTTATTTCATTTCTTTTATTATATTTGAATTTAACGACCGTAATGATTCAATTTTATTAACTATGAACTTCACATTACAAGTTTTGCCTTAAGAGTTGTTTTCATTTCTGTACCCGATTTATTCTGATTGAATATTTATGTTTATAAGAGTTTATAAAAATTCTAAACCAATAAGTACGCGAGGATTGATTAAGTTTGGGAACCCCTCAATAAAAACATGTCACAAATATTTTCAAGAAAGAAATTTTTCTTCTATTTGTTTACCTTTTTACAAATTACAGGAATATGAAGATCCTGGGGCACAGACATGTGAGAAAGACGATATATTTATGACTTATATGATTATAGACCACTACAACTAATACAGCAATGTCAATTTTATCACCAATGATTGTTGCATGATAGATCACTTTTATCTGGTTACACTTATTTACTATAATATTGTGCTGTTGTTGAAACGATTATGATTAGTTACTAAATCTCCTAATTTTTTGACATAATAATGTCAATTCAGAAAAATGTGACTTAAGTAGATTCTTAAAAATCTTCTTTAATTACGTTTCATCAAGAAACACGAAAACAGTCCAAAAGCAAGCGATAAAGCAAACTAATTTAAAGTTAAAAAGAACATTGTTACCAACACGAATCACCAAAATAACCATGATTTTTCCTTTCAACCTAACGTCATATTGAGATGTTTGTAAACAAATTATATATTTCATATACGTCTTTAGAAAATGTTGTTGACTAACAAAGACTTTTTCATCTTTCATACACAACCTGAGAGACCTGCTTAAATAAGTAATTGCGGGCTTGCACAA